TGTTACATTTGAGATATGNATCATTGATTAAAAAATAATATAAAATAGAAACAATACAAAAAATTTCAGTGACTCCCTATGTAACAAACTACTCAAATATTAACTAACTAATATTTGGGTGTTTCCAGGAATTTGTAGAGTTCAATGATGCACTTGTTACATTTGAGATATGTATGAAGGTTATTTTTTTTTTAAATGTCTTTTTCACTAACGCATGAAAAAAAAATTGGAAGCATGTGAGACGGGGACAGGGTTGCACACCTAGTAAGTAGTATATTCCCTCACCACTTAGCATTGTACCAAGCTATTTTAGACATTTGCTACTCTGCAGTAAACACGTAAACATGATGCCGCCAATCCAGTCTTGAAATATGAGCAGTAATTCAATTTCTACAGGGGAAAAGGCTGAATGGAGGTGAAATTCATCAAAAAATGTATAATGTGTATGGTGAGAATCTCATGAGCTATGAATGTGTACGTGAATGGTGCAGGAAATTCAAACAAGGACATGACAACGTTTATGATGAGGGTGGTCAAGGGAAGAAGTGTGGGATGAGCGACGATCTGGCAGACAAAGTGGATCAATTGGTGCGAGAAAGGCATCGGTTCACGATTTCTGAGCTCAGTGAGGAGTTTCCTCAAATTTCAAGGTCTACACTATACCGCTGACTGATGGTGTTAAAGGTTGGCTGAATGGCCTGGTGACAACATTCTTCTACATGAGTATACAAAAGCTGGTGTCACGGTATGATGTCTGCCTGAATCGACAAGGCAATTATGTGGAAAAATAGGTAAAGACTGTAACTATCTTATACAAATAAAGTGGTTTTGTTCTTCATCCTTGTTTTTTTATTCTGGGTCGGTAGAGGTTAAAAAAAATTTCACAATTGCCAAATTTCTCTCATACAATTAAAGAATTGTATGAAAAGAGTCAGCAAGCTGATTGAGAAGCCACCCGGTGAATATTGACGCTGGCCCAAATCAAGGTCACAGAGTCTTAACAAGGCATGAAGACTTTTCTGATGAGTTTCAGCATAAACAAACAGGTTGTACATGATATTGCTAATATTAAGTGGTTGTTGTGTTCAATAGGTAAAAAAGTAGCCTCAAAACCAACCGACATGGATTAGTGTTTTAACAAATTGTGAAGTCAAGTGAAGTGCTAATGAGCATACATAATTGACCTGTTTTGTGCTTATGGTATATACCAGACGTAGACAAATGTGGCTCTTTTTGAGTTTTGCCGAAAGTGGTAATTTCTGCTTTTTATTATTATTTTTACAATTTTATTTCCACAATTTTGTGAAAATATGTTTATTAAAAAAATTCAATATTTGTTTTATATTATATTTATATTATTTAATAAAATCGAGGTACAGAATTGTGGTACAGAATAAAAAAGTACAGAACTGTGGCTCCCATGCATTTTGCAAAACCTACATTTCGGTTCCCACTGAACTTTTGCTTGATCACTTCTGGTATATACAATTTTCATCAGCTTTGTTGTACAGTATGTGTAAATACATTACATTCTTGATTACAGTACATTACATTACATAAATACATTCTTGTAACATACATGTTTATACAGTGGAACTCCGGTTAACGAACGTCCTGGTTAACGACCAAATCGGTTAACGAACTTTTATTTTGCAAAAAATTTGTCTCGGATAACGAACGTAACGGTATTTTGTGTCAAATTTTAGTTGGTGTTAGGCATGCGCAAGTTAAGCATTGCTTTTCCGAGTGTTTGTGCTATACTTCTTTTTTCAGTTTTGTGATTTATATATTTAATCAATATGGCATCCAAGAAAGAAAAAAGTCATAGTGGCAATAGAAAACGACAACGCAATATAAACTACAATGCGTTATCGCATTTGAGAAAAATTTTGATTAAAAGAGTAAGACAATCAACTTTAGATCAATTTCTTGTTCCTTACGGAAAGAGTTTGTTTGTTTGTTAAGTTATGGCAACGCAACACTTGGGCGATCTGCCTAGGGGAATGCCTTCTGGGAGGTGTTTTTAAGGGAAACTGGCCCCTATTTAGGCGTTACAGACGTGGAGAAAACCCGGAAAACTCCACATGGCCAGCCCGTCTGAGCGAGGTGCGAACCCACGAACGAACTCCCCATGTTTAATGTACGAAGACCACTTAGCCACTGGTGGGTTTTTTTACCGAAAGACACTTCGACTCAAAGAATCTTCCAATGAAGTGCTACCCGTTATTTTTTGGAGGAGATTCCCCTTCTAAGCATTAAGGTTCGTATATCTCCACTTTACTGCCACCACCTACAACAAACGAAGGTATGTACAGTGCTAGTTTATTAAACAAAGTTTACATGTTTGTTGCTGTAATGATACATACTACGTTTTCTTACAATTTCATCAAAGAAAATTACTGTATATTACAAATAAAATCGCAAAAATTTCGGAGACTAGAACGGATTAATTGCATTTGCATTAATTTCTACGGGAAAAATTGCTTCGTTAAAGAACAATTCGGTTAACGAACGAAGTCGCGGAACGGATTAAGTTCGTTAACTGGGGTTCCACTGTATAGAGTAAAGAATAAACTGAATAATTTAAAGTACAGGTATTTCTTATATGTAGGGAGTTAAAAAAATGGATATTTTTCTGGGTTTGTAATATAATGGATTCTCAGAACAATGGATAATTTTTGGCAGCCTGAGTAATCTGTTAAAACAAGATTCTACTTTACCTGTAANATGTCCTTTATCTAGTCCAAAACGGTCACCTACGCCTCTAAAGGATTCCTGATTTCCTAAAATCCATAAGGACAATAGGACAACCTTTTCTTTTTTTACCTCTATAATGGATGACCGTCCAATTTTCTTCGTTTCTTTTAAATTCAGAATCTGGCAAAGGTATTCAACGCTTTCACGCTGAAGTCTGAAGTGGCCTTTAAAATCCAGATCACTGTATCGAGGAATAATTTCCTCATAATAGTTTTGTATCCTGGCTTTTTTCCGCGGTTGCACCACAACAGAACTTGCCATTCCAGCAATTACTTCGTCGTCATGTTTACGCTTTCTAAATAAGACATTGTATCGCAAAAATGAATTCCTTTTAAAATTTTTCAAATTAAATAATTCGTTAAACATTCCAACAATTGCACTGAGAGCCGCCATTTTGGAACTGCAGCGCTGCCCCGTGTGCATTGTAAAAGACATTCAGCAGCGATCGCAGCGCTCTTGCAGCCTAAGCTGCAGTGCTGCTCCGCAGAGCTGAATTTAACAACAACCCGAAACTTTATCATTCTTGTAGAGCTTTTGTCAGTATATTCTGCTATTTTGTCTTCAGTGTATCTGTTGGCTCTCATAATATTTGGATGTGTTGGTCTGGTGCAAATCCAGTGCTCTAATTCATCCCAAAGATAGTTTGATTGAGTTAAGATCAGGACTCTGGAAAGTCCAATCCATGCATTAATTTTCATGTTCCCATTGTCTAACAGAAACCACAATATGCATTTCACATTATTGTCTTAAAATATGACATTATCCATTCCATAGAATTGCCAGCATTTTAATATCCAATGTTCAGATTGACAATGATCATGACTAGTGGGTCACAAATCTTACAGCAAAAAAAAGAGTCCCATACTATTAACTCCTCCTACTCCAGAGACATACCTGCATGTGTTTTTTTCTTAACTTGGCCAAAATACCATGGACATAAGCATTTTTTCCTTATTTTGCACATATTTATTTAGCCACTCCACTATGGTAAGGTATTATTGTACAGATGTTAGAACTGTTGTCTGGTAACACAGACAACCTCATAACCTCAACTGTTGAGGTTATGAAAACAAAATTATTTACTGATTTTAAAAACTCATGTTAAATGTGTTTCATGTGTTTTGTGTGATTTGTTTTTAACAATGTAAGTGAATTACTTTACAAAATTACCAAAATTAAACTAAGGTATTCTTCATTTAGTCACTTGTCACTAGTCAATAACAGCTACTATTAGGGTGTACAAAGACTTTTCAGTAGATAGTGCAGATGCATTAATATCATAACAAATTATTACACTGGTCAAATATCTATATATATATATATATATAGATATTTGACCAGTGTAATAATTTGTTATGATATTAATGCATCTGCACTATCTACTGAAAAGTCTTTGTACACCCTAATAGTAGCTGTTATTGACTAGTGACAAGTGACTAAATGAAGAATACCTTAGTTTAATTTTGGTAATTTTGTAAAGTAATTCACTTACATTGTTAAAAACAAATCACACAAAACACATGAAACACATTTAACATGAGTTTTTAAAATCAGTAAATAATTTTGTTTTCATAACCTCAACAGTTGAGGTTATGAGGTTGTCTGTGTTACCAGACAACAGTTCTAACATCTGTACAATAATACCTTACCATAGTGGAGTGGCTAAATAAATATGTGCAAAATAAGGAAAAAATGCTTATGTCCATGGTATTTTGGCCAAGTTAAGAAAAAAACACATGCAGGTATGTCTCTGGAGTAGGAGGAGTTAATAGTATGGGACTCTTTTTTTTGCTGTAAGATTTGTGACCCACTAGTCATGATCATTGTCAATCTGAACATTGGATATTAAAATGCTGGCAATTCTATGGAATGGATAATGTCATATTTTAAGACAATAATGTGAAATGCATATTGTGGTTTCTGTTAGACAATGGGAACATGAAAATTAATGCATGGATTGGACTTTCCAGAGTCCTGATCTTAACTCAATCAAACTATCTTTGGGATGAATTAGAGCACTGGATTTGCACCAGACCAACACATCCAAATATTATGAGAGCCAACAGATACACTGAAGACAAAATAGCAGAATATACTGACAAAAGCTCTACAAGAATGATAAAGTTTCGGGTTGTTGTTAAATTCAGCTCTGCGGAGCAGCACTGCAGCTTAGGCTGCAAGAGCGCTGCGATCGCTGCTGAATGTCTTTTACAATGCACACGGGGCAGCGCTGCAGTTCCAAAATGGCGGCTCTCAGTGCAATTGTTGGAATGTTTAACGAATTATTTAATTTGAAAAATTTTAAAAGGAATTCATTTTTGCGATACAATGTCTTATTTAGGAAGCGTAAACATGACGACGAAGTAATTGCTGGAATGGCAAGTTCTGTTGTGGTGCAACCGCGGAAAAAAGCCAGGATACAAAACTATTATGAGGAAATTATTCCTCGATACAGTGATCTGGATTTTAAAGGCCACTTCAGACTTCAGCGTGAAAGCGTTGAATACCTTTGCCAGATTCTGAATTTAAAAGAAACGAAGAAAATTGGACGGTCATCCATTATAGAGGTAAAAAAAGAAAAGGTTGTCCTATTGTCCTTATGGATTTTAGGAAATCAGGAATCCTTTAGAGGCGTAGGTGACCGTTTTGGACTAGATAAAGGACATGCTCATAGGTTGTTCATAGTACAGTAGAGCCTCGAAAACTCGGCACTCCAGATAACTCGGCCACACCCTGGCAGGCCAAAAAAATCCTTAGTTAATTAATTTTCATTATAGACAGCTTTATGCCTCAAAGTATTTTTCTGGGGTCTGTCTTATCAGGTAAATTACTGTACACAGCATATTCATTAATTTTCATTTTCATGTAGTAAAGGCTCTATGCCTTCATAAAGGTCGTACTTTTCCTTTGTTTAAGGGTATTTGGGCAGTTTATTCTCTGTTGTATTCTCAAGTAAACAATACATACAAATACAGTACAGTATTTTCTGAGGAAACACTCATACTTAGTTTTTTTTAACCCCATTCCCGATAACCCGGCATTTTCACAAACTTGGCCACCTTTCGGTCCACATTAGGCCGAGTTTTCGAGACTCTATTGTACTTACTCTTAATCTATTTGTATAATTTTATTATGTTTTTAATTGTAATAAGGAACGATATGCTAGCAAATAGAGATGTTCTATTTGATTTTAAGAGTTAAAATTTTAGTATTTGGATCTGACGATGAGAGGAAATGATCCCAAAAAGTGCTTTATTGCATTAAATGATTTTGTAGTTATTTCTGTTATGAGTTCAACCACAGAGTTGTCAGATTTGATGTTATGGTACATACAATTTTAGAATATGTTTTAAATTATTTAATTATTTTAAATTCATTTACTTTTTATTTCAGATAAAACAGTGTTAGCTTTATATAGTTACACTGCTCGAGATGATGGTGATCTGAATTTTAAAAAAGGAGATCATCTGATTCTTTTAGATGAAAGGTAGGCTTTTGAATTTCATTATATATCAATAAATTATACTGTTTTAGCCATAAACAAATTCCTCTTGTTTCTCATTTCTTATCAAGAGGAAAACAATATCTTGAAACAGATTTTGTCTGCTAAAACCATCATACAGTTTTCCAACTATGTGATAAGGTATTTAATTACTTCTATGGGGATTTAGTTCAAATCTGCCCAAGACATAATTTACTGTGAATAATATGAGTTGAGGCATCATTCTATCCCTTTCCTTGATGATTTTATTACAGATCAGTCCTGCCATAATGGATGTAATTAGGGCTAGTGACATAGTCTTAATATGTTTCAAGTTAATCAATTATATAATTACTATACAATTTAAAATTATAAAAATAAATATCACAATTCAAAGAGCTTAAATTAGTATGCAATACTACTTTATTGATCAAGGCCGTGCATGGAAGATTTAACCCTCTCTCATTTGGGAAGAATTGGAATATGTTAATAAAATACTATTTACATTATATATAACTTATATTTATTTTGTACTTATTAAGTTCCTTCACCCACTCTACACTTAATATTGTAAAAGTTAATAAATTGTATTTTGAAATTTTTTTTAAACCATATAATTTTAAAAACTCTGAACTTGGGCTCACTGACAATAGTTTTATTACTAAATAAAAACGAGCATTTTGATATTTGCTGCTGATTAAGTTGCATTAATGTTTGTAACTGCTAAAATATATACACTTAATTTATTGATCAACAACAACTCTATTAGTGTCAGAATATAAAAAAGTAACTTGAATAATTGAATTTCTTTATGTAAAACTATGAAACAAAAATGATGATTGATATTGCTTACAATTAACATAGAATCAAATGAGATTATTACAGTTATTTGCATAAACTAGTGATATTCAATCACATGGGAAATAGTTCTGAGCAGTACTATAACACTTTTTACATGTTTTTTTTCTACCATATTTTGAAACTTTGTTGTTCTTTTTATTTGTTCTATAAGCGCAATGTAGCGTAATAACGATCACTAATGCATATCAACAAAAAGTGAAAGAAAGAAGTGAATAGTGCCAAGTGATCGTTATTATGCTACATTGCGCTTATAGATCAAACTTTTTACATGTATTATTAAAAACATGATTACTGTGTATTCATATGGAAGTAGCAGGGTCGCAAGAAAAAACTACTAAGTCTATTATTAGGAAAACATTGAAAAACATTGGCATAAGCTGTAGCTATGGATTTCAATAAACAATTTCAAACAAAATATATACTATGCAGTGTGTAGCGTCTGTGTAATCCAAAACGAGTTGGTAGACGAACGGACAGCAATTGGTTAGAAAACGTACGTTTTATTTAAAAAATTCCTAATTCATATGCATTTCGGGTTGGCTTAAATTCCCAACCCCACTTCAGTGCTGTTAAGATTACACAAAAAAATATAATTTAAGGTTAGTTTTGATGTTATAAATAGGTTACTGAAAATACAGAAAAGTAACACTGACACACTAATCAGCCTAGATGTCAAAAATATGTACCCAAATATAAAATTGAAATTAATAGAGGAAAGCCTAACCATGTTAAATGTAGATAAAACTTTAATTAATCTAATACACTTCGCATACACCAGAAACTATTTTCAAGCCAATACTAACTTCTATAGACAGGTAGATGGCATCAGTATGGGATCAAAGATGGGACCCAAATTAGCCGAATTAGCTATGATAAACATAGATGAAAAAATAAATAATATCCCAGGCATAAAACTTGTAATGAGATACGCAGACGACTACTTAATAATATACAATAATAGAATAACAAACGATAATACTATTCTGAACACTGCTAACAAATTTAACGAAAATATTCAATTCGATATTGAAATAGAAAACAATAAAAAAATTAATTTCCTCGACATAACAATCATGAATACACTTAATAATTTCTCTTTCATCACATACAAAAAACCATGTAACGTTAATAAAACTATCAACTACTACTCACATGTCCCAGAATATATAAAAAGGAATATTTATACCATGGAGTTAAAAAACATATATACCAGAATATCTGATAACAAATGGCAAAAAATAAAAATAAAAGAGCTTGAAACTAAATTTTTACTTAACGACTATCCTAAATCGAAATTAAACACATGGCAAAAGCAATACTGGGAAAATAGATTTAACACAAAATATAAATCCGACAAAAAATACAAAACCTTCCCATATATAAAAAACATTTTTGAAGGCTGTAATAAGTCATTAAAAAAAGACAATATCAGTTTGGCTCCATCTTTGACCAACAAAATATCTCATAGTATCCATTATGACATTAATAAACAACATAACAACAAACTAAACGCCCTTAAAACTATAGGAACTGTTTACAAACTTGAATGCAACTGTCAAAATCCAAAAACTTATATTGGTGAAACAGGCCGGTCACTAGAAACCAGAATTAAAGAACATATGGCAGCCATCCGCCTAAAACATAACACTTCCCCCTGGTACTACCACACAATAGACTATAATTGCCAAATTAATAAAAACAATACAAAAGTGTTACATGTAGAAAAAGACACATATAAAAGAAAATTTAAAGAACACATAGAAATCAAAAAACACCCTAAAGAAAACTTAATTAATGTTTCAGAAGGCATGTCCATAGACCCCCAATGGTACAAACTCATAGAGAACGCCTCCACGCGTTAAAGATTGTTTAAATCACAACCCCCGTGTACGGAATGTGGGTAACTGTTTATATAACATTACTTGTCGGTATTCTGTTACTAAGCGAACAACGGATAAGACCAGTTGTTAAAAATGTTTTGTACTATGTTCCTTTTTGTATTCGGAAATAATACATTCTAACTAAAATGTAAGTGTGCATTGATATTTTTTAAATTAATATTCTATGTTATACAGTTCGTCATAAAAATGATATGTTAAACAGCCTCCCCCTTATACCACTTTTTTCATATCATAGGCTATGCCATACTACTATGTAATCAAAAAATTTTGTAAAATACATCTATGCTGTACCATTATATGTCAAGTAAGCAATTTTATGTTATCATCACCTCGCGTTTTTAGTTATGTTCCTACTAACCAATACCGTAAAACTAACCTTAAATTATATTTTTTTGTGTAATCTTAACAGCACTGAAGAGGGGTTGGGAATTTAAGCCAACCCGAAATGCATATGAATTAGGAATTTTTTAAATAAAACGTACGTTTTCTAACCAATTGCTGTCCGTTCGTCTACCAACTCATTTTGGATTACACAGATGCTACACACTGCATTTGATGATACAGCAACCACGTCCTCTACATTAAAAAATATATACTATTTGGATTTGAAAATATATAAGAAATTTTCTTATGAATAATCTTGAAGGAAATTGTTTTGTGCAGAAATAATTGTCTAGTGGTAAATGCTTCCTTGCTACCAAACCTTTTACTCTTTTATTGCATTTTAATGGCCAGTTTTTTTGTTTTATATACTATATTAATATCTTGATTTATCTAAACTTAAATAATCGTAAATTAATCATATGCACTCATTGCCATAAAAATTAGCACATCAAGGGAGAGCTGTCACATTGCTGCAAAACTTGGCAGGCTGATAAGTCTCAAGCATATATGGATATGATTAGAGTTATAGCATGATGGTTCATTGCATAATGTCAGCAGAGGGCATTAAAGTGTGTCCCCTTTGGCCTGTAAAAAAAGCACACAAAGACATCCTCTCTGTAGTTTACTTGTTTCAGAGGGATGCTGTATCACTACAATGCCTTTACATTGCATCAAAGACCATATGAACAGCTTATTGAGTTTTATAGGGGGAGGATCATCAGGTTGAGAGAAGCCAGATGGTCATCTTGCTGAATAGCCCACCATCTAGGCCATTCTGACAACACTGTGTAGGTTGGGACCAGGGGATGAGATAGAGCTCACACACATGGCACCCAGACTCAGGAATCATTTGGAAACCACTAGCTGAGAGGACCACCTGGTTCTCTGACAATCATGCACATAGCCAGCTATATCATTGCTCGTCATCAGGCACAGGTAGTACTATCATTACATGCCCTGTGTTTATCTATACCATTTTGAGGAACATTTTGTATTGCAGTGGCTATTACATGTGCTGACAATGACACCCCCCACCATTGCCTCTGTTTGGAGTGGTGTCACTCCTGATGAGATTTGACCACAATGGAATGGAACTGGGTTGTCTACAGCAGTGAATCCAGATTCAGTTTGGATACCGATGATGGTTATGTTTATGTCTGGAGGCCCCATGATAAATGCTTCAATCCTGTTTACACTTTGGAGTGGTACACTGCTCCCTCAGCTGGTATGATGGTCTGGGGTGCCATCACATATGATCATGGTTACTTCTTTTAGTGATCCAAGGGACCTTGACAACCCAGAGATAAGTTAGTGATATCATGCAGCCCCATGTGCTACCTCTCATGGCAAGGCTTCCAAGAGCCATTTTCCAACAGGATAATGCTCGACCACACACAGCAAGGGTGTCACAGGACTGCCTCTGCCAAATTGCTATACTTTCCTGGCTTGCCTAGTCCCTTGATTTGTTACCAATCAAATATGTCTGGGATCACTTGGAATGCCAAGTTAAACAGCCTAGGAGTTTGGCTGAACTAGAGGACTGCTTGCAGCAACTGTGGACTGAGAAGCCACAGGACACCATATGGCACCTGTATGCCTTCATGCTCACCCATATTACATTGTGTATTCATGCTAGAGATGGCCCAATAGGATATTAGAACCTCCTTTCATTTGTAGTTTTTCCTGCAATAAACAATTTTTTTGCTTTTATTTTGTAATCACTTACTTATATCACCATTACACTAACACATGCACAATTTCATTTGATTCCAACAACTCTTTTCTGGTGTGCTAATTTTTATGGCAATGGGTGTATATACACATACCTGTAATCAAATATCCTAATTAAAGATTAAAAAAAAATGTTTATGAAATTCAATTCAAATTTTTTATTTTTAAATTATTTTAAATTCAGTGATCCTGATTGGTGGCATGCAAGACATCTAGCAAATAATGAAACAGGATACATTCCTAGAAATTATGTGGCTTTAGAGAAAAGCATTGAAAGTGAAGAGTAAGCTGTTAAATTTCCATGATATAAAATATAAATTAAATAAATAATTTCCAAAAATTATTTCAAAAAAATAAATATATTTAATGAATTTATGTATAAACTTCTAGTTGGTTTTTTGACAAAACTTCCCGCAAAGACTCGGAAAAACTGTTGCTGGCCACTGCCACTCCGAGAGGCACATTTCTCATTCGTAGAAGTGAGCATACTACAGGTAAGAAATCTAAAGCAAATTTGTAAATATAGTTTAAGATTTTTCTTAGTATTTTCTTAAATTTTGGTTAAATATATTTTTAAAAATTATAATGATGTGGAAAGTAATGTGTTGGAAATTAAGAAGAATGTTCATAAAAAGTCATAGATTAAAATATTTTAATTTTATATAGTTATAAGAACTTCATAGAAAAACAAAAAGCAAATGTTATTGAGTTTGTTACAAACATAATAATTGTCAAAAATATTATGATTATAATTGAAATAATTAACACAATAATAGCTGAAAATAAATTTTGCATTCCAGGTTAATTTAATATAATTTTAACCTGAATATGCTGAATATGAATTAAATAATTAGCTCAATTAACATGATGGGTTGATTTCTCAAAAAACTCAAATTTTTAATTGGATTAATTAGTTAATCCATATCCCAAGTTTAATTATATTAACTAAACCAATTTTAATTAAAACATGGATTATGGCCAAACTAGTCCACTTATAATTTTGAATTTTTGGAAAATTAACCTAATTAAGCTGGATCCATACATCAGTGACTTAAGAATTTTTGCACATTTTGTTTTTTGATGTTATTTTACTTTTAACTGTTTTGTACATTATACAACGTTATCATAAAATTTCTAAGTATAAACTCATATATCTAAGTATAATTCTCATAAAATATTTTAACTTAATATATTATTTCTTTGTAACGTTCTTTAAGTTTAAAACTATTAGAATTTTTAATTTAAATTTTCAGGAGAGTAACATCCCATATTAATATTTATTTTTTTAAATTAATATTTAAGTTCAAGTGTAGTTTTAAACAGTTGGTAACTTTGGATATATGCATGATAAGAGAATACTGTAAATTGTATTTAAATCTTAATTTTTGACATTATACAGTTGTATTTTTATTCCTTGATATATTTTCTGACACCAATGGAATTTTTTGATCAGTTTCTTCCTGATCTCAAGTGCTTTTTTTGTTGGCTAAATCTCTTATTTTGTCCAATTGTTGATGTAGAGTTTTTGCATCACATTGTTTTAGAAAGCATAGGTGGGCCAGGTACAACTTTTTTCTGCTATTACTTTACATTTGCTCTTAAATAATTTTGCTAGAAGACTTTGTTTAGTTTGAGGTAACAGGGTTCGAACTTCAGTAGGAAATGAGTCGTACTTAAGAGCTATGTATTTGGGGATGAGACCTTTCTTGCGACACTAGTAAAAACCAAAGCTGTGCTTTTTGCTTTAACCATAAAGTTCTTGTATTCAATAATGAAAAGAAGTGTTTTCTAGTAGTTTCCATAATAAAGATGAACTACACTTCATGCCAACTTTTAAATATAATAACTACACTTGAGAATTGTGGCGTTATCAATAGCAACTTATAGAGTATAAGGGTGTTCGCTAGCACTTTCAGTAGCATAAAGTTACCGTTATCAGGTGAATATCGAATACAACTGCTATCAAATTTTAAGCTTTTGAACAGCTTTATGAAATAGAATAAAGCATGTGGATGGAATACCAATATGAATTTGAAATATAGCAATGTTCTAAAATTATGAGTGGCATTACAAATGATGTAATTTCCCAAATACATAGTGAGCAATAGCAAGATGCATAAATGATTATACGAAAAGGAATTAAAATTGTGGATTGAATTGCTTGAATAATGTTATCCACAATTGTGGGATTTCAAGGGTTGGTGTGTTGCATGGTGTTATAGCAGATATGTAGAGGTTCTCTCAAATAAGTAATTCTTTCCAATTGTTGCACCTTTTGACTAATTTTGTTTGAGCCCAGAGTGGATGATAATCTTGGTCAAGTACTTTTTTTGTTAATTTCATTGATGGCCTATGTTTCTGATATCCTCCTGATGTTCTAGGATGCGAGAACTTAACATTCTGGCCTTGGCCCCTGTGTAGCTAGTTTCTTCTTCTGGCAGAGCACATTTTAGTGGAATTTGATAGATCCCAGATTTTTCATTCAGTTTAAAAATATCTCTGTTGTTGCATTCCTTGATATAACTGTCATTACGTGAGACATATCCATTGAACCAATTTTCTCATTTGACATTATAGTTTGGGATTTATTCATGGATCTATTATCATTAAAATTTTTCATCTGCTTGTTAATTGAGTTTCTATGTAGTCCATCTTTGTTGTAATGGGTCTTGAATTCCTGCTTTACAGCTATTATGGATTTTAATTAGTTACTTTTTCTTTATCCATGCTGCTTTTATTCAGTTATAAGATCTAAAAATGAATTTAAATTTTAAAATTGTTTTAATTAGTTAATTCAAAAGCTAATATGCATAAAATCACTCTGAGAATCATGTTTCTAAAGGTCTTTTATTTTGTTCATGCATCATATGTATGTCCATGGTTATTAACATTTAAAAATGTCACACAGACCTTATAAACATTCTATATATCTCATAAAAGTTTTTTTTTATAATAGTTAACTTTATGTAAGTGATATGGTCAAAAAATATATTTAATCCAAAAATATTTACTTAATTAGGAGCATTTTCACTCTCCATTCGTGATTATGAAGCTGATAAGGGTGATCACATCAAACATTATAAAGTCTGATATGGTCAAAAAATATATTTAATCCAAAAATATTTACTTAATTAGGAGCATTTTCACTCTCCATTCGTGATTATGAAGCTGATAAGGGTGATCACATCAAACATTATAAAGTCAAAATTTCTGAATTAGGGGAGTATTATGTAACTTCACAGAAGAAATTTACTACTCTACATGAACTCATTAAACATTATTCAGGTAAACATTATTATTATTTTATGAATAAATGAAATCATCAAAGATATTGATTATACTTTTATTATGAATAATATTTAAATTTATTATTCATGTTATACAACATAATCTTCCAAGCATTAAAAATACATATTTGATAAACTTAAATGTATTTTTTTTTCTGTTCTATGGGCATCTCCAATATTAATGGAACTTGATATAAAAGCTCTTTGGTCTTTGTATCAAGTTTGTTGTGGTTTGACCAGATCCACAATAAAATATTGAATTAAATATAAAATTTTTAACACAAAATATTAAAAATGCATATTTTAAAATAATTGTATCGACAAATTTATACCATACTGATTTTTTTTCTAGATGCAGCAAATGGTCTTTGTCATAAACTGACGATGATATGTCCAAAACCAAAACCGACTGTGTGGGATCTTTCTTCAGAAACAAAAGATGAATGGGAAATACCAAAAAGTTCATTAAATTTAATTCATAAATTGGGTAGTGGAAATTTTGGAGAAGTTTGGTATGGTAAGAAAATTTGATTATTTAATAATAAAAATATGTACATTCTCTTAAATTATTATTATTATTTACAAATATCTAATATACATATTTATTCTAATGAACAGCACACTGCTGTGTTATATGTGTATTTATTGCATTATTTGAAATAAAAACATAGTTTATATATTTTTTGATTTTAAGATACACCATCAATTTGAAATTGAAAATACACAAATTTTTTTATTTCTATTAAACTACAATAGCATAAATTAATTTACAGAATCATCTATGACTTTTATTTTGAATATAAATGCTAAAATAAGTGTACACACTATATTTATTTCTGTCTCTGGCAACTATTTATGCATTCCTTTGGATACCTAAGACATTTTTCATTTTGGTTTTGTGCTATAATATAGTCTTCTTAAAGATATTTAATCCAAATTTTAGTGACATTACTGAAGCAATGGTAGAATAAGTGAAACTTACGAAAGTTTACTTATGTATAGGTATCGTCATAAAGCAGATACCACAAATACTTTTTCAGCAATAGTTTGCAGCTTGCTTAAGAAACCTTTTTCAGGTTTAGCTGATGAAATTGAATAGATATTCTAAAATGGAATGCATCAAGCATTCTATTTTAGAATATCACACATTACAAAATATGAACGATATAGCTTTTAGCTTAGTGCACAACATATATCAAATAGGATATGGATAATAACTGTGTTAATACATATAAAAAATATGCAACACATTAAACATAACATCTTTAATTTTATNTTATTAACATTTTATATTAATAAAATTAAATGTATTATTGGTTTAGTTTCCTTGTGTGTACAGCAGTAATTTAATACAATAAAAGCAATTAGAATTACAAATTGAATACAAAAATAGCATTTTGAGATTAAAATTGAACAAAATACAAATTTACAAACCTACAGGTTGTAAATTTAAACAAATATAAAATAATATTTAAATAGGAAAAATAAAACTCAATAATTAAAATTTGATAAGTTAAAAAATAAACTACACCAATACCAATACCAACAAACAATATTAAATATTCTATTTTTGGTAACTGAGGATGATTGTTGAAAACCAGTTGAAAATGTTATTATTTTATTAAATTTTGCTGGATTTGTATTGGTGTAGTTTATTTTTTAACATATTCTACTTCCAGTACATATTTGTTATATACAGGTAACCCCTGTATAACACAGCACTTCTATAGCACGGATTCACTCTAACACAGTTCGAGAATTGGGAACATCCCCCGTATAACATGGTGCTTTTATAGCACGGGTTCACTCTAACACGATTAGGGAATTGGATAAAACCCTCGTACAACATGAAATGTAATAAAGGGTGCGTTCTTTTATACCTCTGTGTAACTCTGTGCAAGCATTCTAATTGTTTTTGTGGCTACTTTGAATGCTCTTTCAACAAATACTCCATTTAATGGTTAAATTTTACAATTGGGACCCTTCTTTTGCCTCTAAAAGCTCATTTTAGAATTATAGATTCCTCCATCACAATACTATCAATAGCGTGGGCGCTGCCATCTTTCTTTTACTGTTGTTCCTAAATGCCTACAAACAGCAGCGCACTCTCGTTGTGGAATGATTGCTATTAACGAACGCACCCAAAAATTGTTACCAGTTCATGATGCTCATGCTGAGATCATCATATAGGATGAATAATCCTCTGGTATAATATTTACTTAAATAATAAATATTTTACCTATGAAAAAAATGAATAATAAATCTGATCTAAATAAGGATTTGACAGTATGTTTTTTAATTTTTTGGAACCTAACCCCCCCTTTTCACACTAGTTCTTTGTTTCGTATAACACGGATTCGCATAAAACGGCAATTTTTTGGAACGTAACTCCCATGTTATACGGGGGTTACCTGTATTTTAAAATTTGACTTTAAAATAAAGGAAACATAAATAAATTAATAATAAATATAACTACTATAAGTGTCAAAGTTCATGGTTCAAAATTACACTTCCAAGCTGTAGATAGATTCTGCATCTTTATAATTGATAGAGGAGAAGGTGGTATTATGGAACCTCAATTACATTATAGTGAATTGTAAACAAAAGTATCATAACTACACCCACATTTTTTGTGCGAAAAGTACTGGTAACTATTAAACTAAATGTTCCTAATTGGATTTTTCACTAGTGTAACTATAAGTATTGTTTTTGAAGGCTTTTGTACAAAAAGTCAGAAAGTAGACTTAGGGAAAACCGGATGGTAATATGGAACCTTATCGTATGTTTTCAAAAAATGCTTTAATGTATCCAAAAAACAAATAGGAAAGTACAAAGAATGTTAAATAATTAAAAAATTATTTACTCCAATGTATTTTATCGAAAAAATGCTTTTATAAAAGAAAAATACAATCTCCATCAACAATATATATTCCACCAGCTCTTTTTTGATATTCTCAGGAAGAATTGGCTTTCTACCTAGTGTCTTTTTCACAAATTGCTCCGGATGAATGTCTGCTGGCAAAGAGAGAGTTCGGAGGAGTTGGGTTCCGTATTAAAAGCACCAATGGGGTGCGTATTTCATGCTTTGCCATCTTGAATTAACCTATGTCTGTCAAGACCAAACTTTAAAAAACGTGAACATCACACAGATTAATATGTACAGTACCCCTAAGTCTCTGGAACGGAATACATGCACCAGTGAACCTACAACTACACAATTTATATTTTAGAAATAATTAAATTCACTTAGCATTCAAAACTTTCGCATTTCAAAAAACACAAATATGCTAATTCACTACGGACAACTGTTTAACTGAAGTGAAACGGGTTTTTCCCTTGCTATGGATGTCTGCCTAGTGCAGTTCAGCCACAATCCGCTACAGTTTGCCTTTATTATCAGTTTGAAATGGAGGGTTCCATAATACCACCTTTTCCTCTACTTGTTTGAAATATTTAAAGCTCACAAGAAACAGTCATTTCCAAGTATTGGAGGGTGTTAAGATTTTTATTGGATTGGATTATTGCTGTATCCTCCCACACAATTCTTATGTCTTGCTCCCTGGGGTAGTTGGCTAAGACTGTGTTGTTCATGTTTTTTTTGATCATGTACTTATGTTCTATCAGTCTTGCTTTGAGACTCCTTTCTGTAGCTTTCACATATGTAAGTTTACATTGAAAATGTTGATCTTCTAGAGCAGTGGGGTTCCCAAAATGGGCACTATCACCCCCTTGTGGACAGTGAATGAAGCAAGTGGGAGGGAGGGGCACTGGAGGCAGGGTGACCAAGGGCAAAGATTAGTGTCACTGACAACCCTTTCCTTTCCTCTTTTAAAATGGATAAGAAGAAACATTGCATTTAATGGTTTCTAGATGGTGACAATGATGTAAGGTAAGGACACAAAGTGTGAGGTTCATAGAAAAGTTTTCCTGAGAATTCCAAGCCTTTCTCACACAAGGGAAAATGGGTTAGAGGTGTTTGGGTATGGTTGGACTTTGGGTATAACTTTATGGAACTGAGGGGGGCAGTAATTCAAAAGAGTTTGGGAATCACTGCTCTAGAGGAATGGAGTATACTCTCGTTTTCTTTCGGTTTATAGTCCTAACTAAGGAAGATCTATAAATAGGTCTAAAATGTTTTTATTGTATTAAAACTAAATTATAACCTGGAAATAGAATAAAACTATGAAGGCACCTGTGGGTAGAGTAGTGTATTCATGCTTTACAGGTGAAGATATTCCTTACAGCCATGCTCCATTTTTTTGCAATGAGTTCCTTACAAGCTTTCTGTTATACTGTGTTTGCTTGGTTAAGTTACAGCAGCATAATACTTGGACGATCTTTTTCAGGGGAATGCCTTCCAAGAGGTCTTTTTTAAGGGTAACTGACCCCTATTCAGGTGTTACAGACATGGAGAAAACCCAGAAAACTCCATGTGGCCAGCCCATCCTGGCAAGGCGTGTACCCATGACTGAATTCCCAGTGTTCAGGGAATGGAACCGCTTGGCCACTGGTGGACCCTGTTATGCTGTGACCTATGGCAATTTCTTCTAATATGATTGCTAGAGTCAACTTACAGTAGTGGCCAAAAGTAGAGCTACCCTCGACATATTTTTTTTTTTAATGCGACCTTTGTTTACCACCTACTACATATTGTGATAGTTGAAAAAAAGCACACAAAAAAGTCAAAATACTCAATTCAATCAAACAGATTTTATTTTAAATATGATTTATAAAAGAAAAAATTAAGTTTTTATATTCTACACTGTGACAAAAGTAGAACTACCAAAGGAAGTAAGCAGATTTGTTCAGTATTTTTAGGACAAAATATTAGTATTTTGTGATGTAACCAGAGCTAATTGTTTCATCACATCTATATTTCAATACAATTATCAAGTGATATCAAACAAAGAATGGTAGATATGCATTTGAAGGATAAAAAGACTTTACTGAAATTGGTAAAATCTTTAATGTGCATAAAACTGTTGTCATGAAAGTAGTGAAGTGTTTTCAAATATATGGGACCATTATTTCTGCCAAAAAGTCATGAAAAACAACACCACAGTTCATCAAGCATATTAGTGCAGCCAGCCGTTGTTTGACTGCTTCACATATTAAGCATGAAGTGGGTAACCCAGATATAAGCTTAAGGACTGTACAAAGACATTTGACTAGTTTTGGATTACATGGGAGGAGACTAGCAAAGAAACCACTCATCTCTGCAAAATACAAAAAGTTGAGATTAGAGTTTGCACATGAACACATCAGACCAAACAAAAATGGTCCAAGGTGTTCTGGAGTGATGAATCTGAATTCAATGTCTTCTCTAGTGATGGCAAATGATATGTCAGACAACCAGTGAACATGAGATATGACCATTTATTTTGGAATACACAGTTCCTACAATAAAGCATGGTGGTGGCTGCATAATGGTATGGAGATGTTTCTCTGCAAAGGGAATTGGTCCAATTCATAGAATTAATAGAATAATGGATCAAGCCATTTATCAAAATATATTGCAGAATCAAATGCTTTCTCAAGCGCGTTGTTCAATGCCAAGGGGATGGATCTTCCAACAGGACAACAACCCAAAACAAACAGCAAATTTAGTAAAGCAATGGCTTCAACAGAAAAAGGTGAATCTTATGACATGGCCAGCCCAATTGCCAGACCTAAACCCCATAGAGAATCTTTGGAATAAATTGAGCGCCGTATATACGCCAGTGTACATATTCAAATCAAGATGAATTGTGGTCTGCCATCCAAAAAGCATGGTATGAGATTCCCCAATCAGTGCTTGACAACTTAGTTGATTCAACAGAATGTAGATGTGATGCAGTGATCAGAAGCTCTGGTTAAGCCACAAAATACTAATATTTTGTCTTAAAAATACTGGACAAATCTGCATTTTCCTTTGGTAGCTCTACTTTTGTCACAGTGTAAAATATAAAAACTTAATTTTTTTCTTTTGTAAATCAGATTTAAAATAAAATCTGTTTGATTGAATTGAGTATTTTGACTTTTTTTGTGTTCTTTCCAACTATCACAATATTAATTATGTAGTAGGTGGTAAACAAAACAGAGGCCACATTTTAAAAAAATATGTCAAGGGTAGCTCTACTTATGGCCACTACTGTATAAGCAGATAGCTAAACACATAAATACTCACATCACATTGTCTTAATGCCACTATCTACAGATTGTTCAGCAATGGCAAGGATAAAATAAACACTGATGGTTTACTCTATCCTGATTTTCGATAGTAGGTTCTATCTACAGGTCTTTATCCCATAGACTTAAAGAACAAAAACACAATAGACAAGGATAAACCAATAACAGCTCAATATGCTGCAGAGTTCAATGTATCAGTTAATTTCAGCATAACAAGGAAGGTTTCATTGAAATTAACTGACTTGGCAGGTTTTTGAAGAACATCAATAAAGAATATTAGAGACAAAATATTTAAGGCAACCTTAAACGATGATTGCATTAACAACAAAGACTAAAATACTGTCTTTTTCTTGGAGGACATTGCTTAATAACCCCTTGATAAACATGGGAGTGCACTGTACATGAAAGGAAACTACAACTGGTAACATAATTTTATATTAATTAATATCCTGTTTAGTGTGTTGAATATTTATTTTATTGTATTAATACAGTTATTATCCATATTTACTATTTGATATATGTTACATATTAGTAATAATAACAAACAACTGCACACCGGAGTTTACTAAACAACCCATACCTCAGAAACCTTTAACCGATGCAAACTAAAATTTAACAATACAAACGTTTTCAGACCTCTCCTGGGTCCTTCTTCAGGCAAAGAATCGTTTGAAATGATATTCAATATGAAAAAACAGTCGTTTGGAACGATTTTTAAATAAGAAAGATAGAACGGAAACATGTGCTCAATAGTTCCGAACATAAAAGTTTCTACGTCGTATCGAAAGTCATTTAAAATATTTTCCCTTTTTATCCAAATATTGTACGAAGATCCTTGATGTTAAGCAAAAAACATATCACATAAACACTGACTACCACTTTACTCTCCTTCCTTTAGGTTTATGATTCACTTAATCTTCCTGTTGTATTAGGGCCTGCCAAGCCAAAGAAAGAGATCTCATCTCTGGAATTAATAGGTGACAAAGTGCTTTATGCTCTGTATATCTCTATCTGCTCCAACCATTTGAGATGGTCTAAATATGAAAAGGTGATAATTAACTTAGCATTTGAAAAGTCTGCTATGATCTCTCGATCAGACGCGTAAATGGATAAGGAAGTGGAACATTTATTATGTTGAATGTCACGCATGTGTTCCTTCAATCTGATCCCAACAGCACGTTTCGTTGAGTCTATGTATATTAAGTCCTTGTCAAAACGGTGGTCCCTAAGTGGTACCCTATATATGCCCGGCAGTCTTTCCTTCTTATACTCATCCTTTCCATTGCGTAGAATATCAAATATAGATGGGCATCTTCTGTAGGCTAGGGAGACACCCTGTTGCCGTACGATTCTACTATATAATGATTTCAATAGTGGTTTGTAGGAAACCGACACCCTCTATTTATCCTCGTTCTGTTTACCAAATTAACTCTTTTAGAAGGAAAAGCCATCATTCCACCAAATCATTGTGACATTTTTTGTATGATTTGTGGTAGCCATAGTGTTTGGCCACTTCACATAGGTATTGCAGTTCCTGTTCTAAAGCCCATTGAGTAGAAGAGTGTGTGTGGGCTCTTTTAACAAGGGCCCTAATTGCCGCCATCTTGTATTGGATAGGGTCACAAGAGTCTGCTGGAATATATGTGGGATGGTCTGATGGTTTGCAGTACACAGAGGTGTGTATGATCGGTCCTCCAAAGGTATTATTCAAATCCAGAAAATGCACCGATGAATCGCTGCATTTCAACCTCTAGGGTTCAACCTCTAGGGTAAGGCCTTAGGGGTTGTTGTTCATTTGATCCAAAAATCGGGTAATGTTTGGAGAGTCCCTCCAGAGAATAATGATGTCGTCAACGTAGCACTTGTAAATTATGATGTTTTGGAGGAAATTCGGAAGTATTGTATTCTCCAATTGTCTGATTACTAACTCACATTCAATAAATGGCAACCAGAATGAGGATAAACAGAGGGTGTTGGTTTCTTACAACCCACTATTGAAATCATTATATTGTAGAATTGTACGGCAACAGGGTGTCTCCCTAGCCTACAGAAGATGCCCATCTATATTTGATATTCTACGCAATGGAAAGGATGAGTATAAGAAGGAAAGACTGCCGGGCATATATAGGGTACCACTTAGGGACCACCGTTTTGACAAGGACTTAATATACATAGACTCAACGAAACGTGCTGTTGGGATCAGATTGAAGGAACACATGCGTGACATTCAACATAATAAATGTTCCACTTCCTTATCCATTTACGCGTCTGATCGAGAGATCATAGCAGACTTTTCAAATGCTAAGTTAATTATCACCTTTTCATATTTAGACCATCTCAAATGGTTGGAGCAGATAGAGATATACAGAGCATAAAGCACTTTGTCACCTATTAATTCCAGAGATGAGATCTCTTTCTTTGGCTTGGCAGGCCCTAATACAACAGGAAGATTAAGTGAATCATAAACCTAAAGGAAGGAGAGTAAAGTGGTAGTCAGTGTTTATGTGATATGTTTTTTGCTTAACATCAAGGATCTTCGTACAATATTTGGATAAAAAGGGAAAATATTTTAAATGACTTTCGATACGACGTAGAAACTTTTACGTTCGGAACTATTGAGCACATGTTTCCGTTCTATCTTTCTTATTTAAAAATCGTTCCAAACGACTGTTTTTTCATATTGAATATCATTTCAAACGATTCTTTACCTGAAGAAGGATCCAGGAGTAGTCTGAAAATGTTTATATTGTTAAATTTTAGTTTGCATCGGTTAAAGGTTTTTGAGGTAAGTTTGGTCATATTTTTTAATACACCATAGAATGTTTGATGCATTCCCTTTTAGAATATCTATTCAATTTCAGCAGTAAAACCTGAAGAAAGCTTCTTAAGCAAGCTGAAAACATTTGCTGGAAAAGTATTTATGGCATCTGCTTTACAGTGATTCATCTTGGGTCCAGCTTGGACATTTGGTTATGTGAAGTTGTAAAGTACTAAGTTATTTTTATGCCTTTTACAATGATTAGTGACATGACTTTTTGCCGGAAATATCCGTTACCTAATGGGTACTTTACGCGGATTTGCATTAATGTGCCAGGCCTGGACTTTAAGCGTGCACTGAATTAAACAATGACAAAGTTAATCAAATTTAATATTTAATAATTCTAATAATGACTATGTACAAGATTCAGTAACAATTTATTCAATGAAAATAAATAAGAATCAACTCATTTGCTAACTTAAATCTATTCCCCTTTGGAACTTGATAAAAATTTCAAAGACTTAACTTATGTACAACAATTCTTATGAACTAAGGTCCTAATCGTCACCTCAATATACTAAGAACTTTTTTCCTCAACTCTCAAGACTTTCTCTAATCTTCGATCCACAAATCAAATAACTTCAAAATCACCTTGGAACCACTTTATCGCTATCGGACACCTCTGTCGTTTGCTGCTACGAAGTTCACCTCGGTCATCTTCACTTGAGGTTCGGACTTTATACTGTGAGGTGACATCACTCTCCTCATTTACATACTTATCGCTAACAGTCAACTTTTCCTTTCTGCCTGGCAGCCTATTTTCCGACAATACTCACTAACCTTTTACATTATTCTTTTTTACAATTTCAGGATGTTTTATTCTTTAAGGTTTAGCAAGTTCCTAAGTTGTGCTTGTGGGGTCTCCCCCTTTCTTTCTTGGTGCAGACTTACTTTTTTCCGCTCAGGAGCGCAAGTGTGCATGAGTTTTTTCTATGGTGCTTTTTCTCGTCGGTGAGTTGGTTCTCTTTCTTCTATTTTTAAGTTTCTAAGGTGATTTGTTAGGATGAAGGTTTCCCTACCAAACATAAGTCCCAAACAAAAATAAAAAGCAAAATAAAAAATAACTAAAAATAATGCTCGGACTTGGTTCCTTACACCGTTAGTGACAACTATGTTGCAGCTCATTCTTTCAATTGCATTATTCTCAAGCATAGCCTAGAATTGAGGAAATGTGATGTCAAAGATAAAATTTAATGATTTGTATTAAGTGAGAGGCTCTGTATGAAACAATAAATTCTGACAAATTTTTAATAAGCTAAATTAGAATGAAAACAATGTTTAAGTATTGTTTCAATTCTAACTTACTCAATCATCAATATATTTATAAAACAAAAAAATACTTTATAATAATTTTTGAGTTAATAATCAATAATTATATATTACTATAATTATTTAAATTTTTCAGGTAAATGGAAAGGCACTAAGGAGGTAGCGGTTAAAACATTGAAGCCTGGAACGATGGATCCAGAAGCATTTCTTCAGGAAGCAGCTATAATGAAAAAGTTTAGACACGAAAAATTGGTATCTCTGTATGCAGTGTGCTCAAAAGAAGAACCTATCTATATTGTCACTGAATATATGTCTAATGGTAGTTTGTTGGAATATTTAAGAGGTCATAATGAAAAAAGTCTGAAATTTCCAATCCTTATTGATTTTGCTGCTCAGGTTAGATTATTTGTCTCTTTGCATCATATATATAAAAACAAAATAATCAGTCAATTCTTTTAAAAGGAAGACTTAAATACATAAATTTTATTGTTTTGAGTCAATGTTGTCATCATGAGTTATACTAACCTAACACAAGTTGGATGTATTGGTTCTTTGATGTATATCAATCAAAGTTATTCCATTTCCTGGAAAACAAAAGTAATTGGAGGAGTAATTAGATACCATTAATAATCAAACAACCTTTAAATCCAGCAACAAATTAATGTTTTTAATCTATGAACTTGAAAATGTTTATTTTAAATTCACCAGCAACTTCTTAAAGCATTTTCATAGATATAATTAGTTCAGAAACAATTATAAAAATCAATTTCTACTTGTTAATAGAACTTGAAGATTTTTACAATAGGCAGTTTATTGATTGAAATATCATTAAATGACATCTACTGTAGACACTGTTTATTGAAATAATTACAGACAACTACTGCATTCCAGTTCTAAACTTGTTGTCATATAACATTATTTTACTTAGAGGGACAATTCAAAATGTATTGTTTCCTATGTACCGAGTGTTTTTGGAACAATCTGCCATCCTTAGAATATTATTGTTCAGAAAATCTACCAAATTATTTCCATTAGATGTACTGTGGTGAGCACGTGGTGATGAATGAATTCTCACAAAGAGACAGGAATATAAAACAATAAGACGTGCTTTATTTTACTGTATGAACATATATACAGGAAAGGTTCGTTGATTCCGACCTCCTTGTTCCTCACTTTAATTAAACAAAAGGGAACACACAACACCGACATTTAATCTACAGCGGAGCTAAACTCTTCTTTCGCGTAACAAAGGAGACACTTAATCACTAACTTAAAACTACTTATAACTAGAAGAGGAAAGGAAGGACAGGAATTAGAATAGAATGGGAGAATAAAAATGGAAATTCCTAGTAAGGAACGGGTACCCGAATGGTTGACTGAGGTGGTGGCCGCAAGATGATTTTGTCTTGGAATTCTTTTCTTCTATGGGGACGGAGCACATGCGAGGACCCAAAATTCGTTCTTAAATCTCGACTTTTCCAAAGTTCTTTTTCTCTTCCAATGCTATTTCTATCTTTAGTGTTCTTCGTAACCCTTCCGGCCGAAGCAACACCAAACTCGAGACCGCTCTCTCCGACGGTCTTTCCTCCTCCGGTCCAAAGCCAAAAGTGTCCTTATCGTCCCCCACTTGCCCTCTGGGCTATCTTCACTCCTTTGTCCCGAAATTGGGTCACTGACCACCCACATTCAGACGAAAGTTCCAGAAAGTATAGAAACAGAACAAAGAGAAAGGGGAATAGAATATTCTTATATATACATATATAAAATAAAAAACACAAATACCACCACAGTTTTTTTTGTGTGTTCATCTTCATTCTCTGGCAAGACATCTGGGACCATGATACCACTGGTAGTCTCACCTACACTTTCATCCCCAAGGTTGACACTACTGCAGTTCATTGCCACTTTTTACCCTAGTTACACTCTCACTCAGCTACTTATGGGACACAGAAACTTTAAGCAATACTTGCATAGATTTAACCTTGGGAACAATCTCCACAATGCAATTGTTGTATTCGGGAGGAGAAAACACCACTTCACTTAATGTGATTGTACTTACTGCAGCAAAAAACTAAGAATAGTTTAATGAGAACTGCTATTCTTGAAGGATACAACTGGCCTTGCCATCCGCACCAATTCATTCACACGTGTACAATGTTCCATCATCTCCTCACATTCATGTCTCTTAGTGGTGCTCTTGAGAGCACTTACTCTGGGGCATGGATGGTAAGTAGCTTTCCCTTGCTTTGTTTCAACTGTTGGTATATAGCTGCCTTTCAACTTTGTATTTTAATTCTTATTTTCTGTCTTCTTTTCAGTCTAAATTCAGTCAGTTCAAGTTAGTCCTAGTCGTAAGTTAGATTAGATACTCATAGCTTGGTTTCCGGTTAGGTTAAATTAGATTAGGGTTATTAGTGTTAATTTTCTGGTTACGTTTGTCCTAGGTTATGCTAGGTTAGTTTAATTAGTAAGTTAATGTTTAAAAAAAGTAAATAAATAAAATAAAAATTGGGGTATTTTTGTTTGTCTTCTGTTGGTCTGTTTGTCATTGTGTTCATTTCCTTTTTGTGCTTTTTGTCTGTCTAGCTGTTAGTAGTATTAAGATTCGTGCTCACATTCAGTTTATTAGTATTAAGTAGATATAAAAGCCTTCCTATTAACAGCCACTTGGCACTAACTTCTACACCTAGCTATTCACTCGGCACTCAATTATCGGTGTTCGCTAAACTCAAGTTTACTTTTAGACCCTTTGGGGGACTATGGCCTTGCAGCATAAAAACTGCACGCAAACATCAAAACGTAGAGGGTACTGTAGCCATAAGTATGCCATTCAGAGAGATCCTACCTTTCTCTACTGTCTATCTCCTCTCCCTCCTTCCCCCCTTCTCTTATCCTCTTTTCCGCTGGCTGTTTAGCCAGCGGAAAAGAGGATAAGAGGCCGATGTCCTTCATGTATGTATGTATGTATGTTTGTTCAATTTTGGGAATAACAGTAATCAAAAGTTTAAGGGGGCTTAATGTAAAGAATTTGGTAGTTTTGTCTGAAGTACATAGACTTGTTATATAGAAAACAATATCAGGCCTGGGAGTGCCATTTTTTCCTCTGAAAAAGTTAGAAAAAATGAGTAAGAAGTGACTTCAATAGTGACAAAACAAAGTGAAAACATAGAAGGAAAACTCAACAAAATAGTAGTAAAAGTTGTTGTTTTTCTTTTTATTCTGTTATGGTTAAATACATTTTAAAAATTTCTTTATATACTGTAATATAGTAGCCACTTGTTACATCACACTTTTTTTGGTCCTCCAAATTTTAAAACCACTTGTGTGAATAAATTTAAAATTACCAATTACCATTGGATTTTTATTTGTAACGAAATACAGTTTTTTATTTCTACCATTGTCCTCGAAACTACCACTGAAGGTGAAACAATAAATTTATCAAGATTTAAATATACAAAACAAGTGGACATATCAATTATCATTTGTTTCCTTTTGATATTAAAAGTTGTTTATTAGTTTTAAGTACCTTCTCCTCATTTACAAGTTTTTTTGAAAATAATACTTACTATATGGAATAATTATACTTGTAGTTGATTTAAACATACATTTAGGAATACAGGTATACCTCAAGTTATGTCGTTCTCAATTATACGTCATTTGTCAAAAAATATATGGAAAAATAAAAATCAAGTTCAAGTCATTTTATTCGACTTTACGTCTGTCCACCACAAACATTGAAGTCGTAATATCACTATAAAAGCATTAAAGCACATAAAATCATATTAAAATATGTACATTTACAGTAAATGTTAATATAATCATCATAAATCCTAGAGAATGAAACATGAAAACATCTGTGTTGTCTTATTTAGTGGTCTTTAAGTGCTCAATATTGGTGTTTTCCACGGTAGCTCCAATATCTACCATTTGGCATCATTGTCAGTGCCACTCGATATTGGTAAATTTAAATAATAGCGATGTACTGTAAACATCGCCAAATTGTAAACATGTGCATTCACAAGTATGTACTGTACGTACATAAATTCGTAAATTTAGATTATTTTTTTTCTGTACTATATTAAAAACTAAAATTTATTTGTTTGTAAGCTTAAAATAAATTCTTATTAATCATATGTTATTAAAAATTCATTTATAAATAAAATACAAAACTGGGAGTCGTTATTTGTGGTTTAGCCTAGTGACAAGTAAATTTGACTTGCATTGTTTTTCGACTTAAGTCGCCTCTCCTGGAACCAATTACCGACGTAAGGTGAGGTATACCTGTATATAGATGTGATTAAATGTTAAAAATATGCTATGAAATCATTAAAGTAACTTTATTTAACTGAAGTTTATGAAATTATTTAAAGATAAATAAAGTAAAAAATATTCTTGTAAACAACAACTCTATACCCCGATTGTTAATTAAATCCAAATGATCTGCCAAATTATTGGGCTATAACAAGGATAAATTTAGTTTTTGACCATTTAATTGTCTAGAGGTAGGAGGTTACACCACTATCTTATGTTAATTTTAATATATTTTAAATTTAGAAGTGGCAGCAGTGTTGTCAGCTTAAGAGATTAATCCTTTGGTGTAGTGTGTTTTCCCCTACAAAGGGCTTTAATGGATTTTCTAGAAAACAGCCAAAAATGTAGGGATGCTTAGAATACTTATTTTTAATCTCCATAGAAAGAAATGCAACTCTGAACTAGATTTTGGCTAACAATATGGCATAAGTACATAACTTTACTCAACATTGGCTGCTGAATTTGTAATGAGAGGGATTTTTTAAATGCTTGAATGACTTTTTACATGCGTGAAAGAAATTTTTGTTTCCTATAACTTAACAAAACTGAGCGGCAGTTGTGGTTTTGAGTCCCGCTCAGGGCCGAGTATTTTCTTCCAGAAAATTCTAATCCGAAAATTCGGCAGATTGTTTGGCTTTAAAATTATTTCTGATTGGTCCCACATCTTAATTGAGCATGTGGAAATGACCAAAACAGTGAGAAAAGTTGACCTGAAAGGTGAGAAAAGTGAGGATACATCAAAAAAGTGAATACAAGTGAGAAAAGTGAGTGATTCCAAGGTCTGCAATATATTTCAAAATGTCTGAGTAAAGTGGCATGTTTTATGAAATCATCATCAAAATACACAAGACATTAAATGACCATCATATGAATCATCATGCTATACATTAATAATACATATTTAATTTTAAATGTATGTTGGAGTTGGTTAAAACATGCTGCAAGTGTAAATAGATACTTAAGAAAGAAGTTTATATTAATTTTTAAAAAATACCAAATGTAACTCAAAGATATTTACAGATAGCTAGTGGAATGGCTTACATTGAAAGTAAACAACTGATACATCGTGATCTGGCAGCCAGGAATATTTTGGTCGGAGAAGAAAATATTATAAAAATTGCCGACTTTGGTTTGGCAAGAATTATCGAAGATTCAGAATATACGGCTAGACAAGGTAGAGTTAATGTTATTGGGCATTATTACTTGGTTAATTATATGTTCAATTTAGATAGATTTTTAATTTAAAAAAATTCTGTAGGAGCAAAGTTTCCAATTAAATGGACATCACCAGAAGCAGTATTATATGGAAAGTTCTCAATCAAATCTGATGTTTGGTCATATGGTATACTTTTGTGTGAGCTTATTACATATGGTCAAGTTCCTTATCCTGGTAAGTGAAATATTTCAAATATTTAATGTTAAACATAAAAATAAAAATTGTTAACTCTTACCTTTCCTATTATCCTTTACCTTCCTCCTATCATAAATTAATTCTTTCTGAAGTTTTTCTGTATTTTGTTTGTTGTGGGCATTCCCATATTTATTAGAAGTTCAGTTTATATTATAAATTCGACAAGTATCAAATAGAAAAATCATTAAAACATGAATAAATTTATTGACTTATATTTAACAATAAATCTATTAATGTTTAACCTTTAGAGACAATATACAATAAAGTTTACCTGTTTTGATATAAAAAAAAAGTGCTTGATTTTCCTTATGCTAGAAACAAATTACCCACAATGGGTAATTTCTATGTAGTGTACAGAGTATAGGGCACAAAATTAGACAGGACTAGAGATGGATGTCCATCCCTAATTGTATTGGGTATCTCATTCTTGAACCAGTCTCTTCTCATCCCCTCTAGTATTAATTTTAATTTACTCAAAAAATATTGCCCACCATCCATCTAGCCAAATTATCATTCTTTTTGTTGTTTGTATCACTAATTTCCTCTTTTTTCTTCTTGATATCTTTTCATTTGTTATCCTATTCACATAGATTATTCTTTCCATTCTTCTATATCACTTTAAGCTTAAGCTAAATCTAAATTGCCAATTATCATCATTATTGACTTGGAATCTTTATACAAAACTGCTCAAAGGACTGTCGATAATAATTGTTTTCTTTAACTTCATATTATGAAAAATTATTATAATTATTTACAAATTATCAATCATTAGTTAATTTCAACATTAACATTAATATTGTTTTTCTGAATACATGTTAGCTGGTATGTGAGCTGCTGGTTTGTCTTATGCATTTATACATTCACATTCATGGATGACATTTTGAGCAGTTCTTGTAAATGATTCTGTTTAATTTTGTAACAAATGAAATGATATTCAAAGAAAATTTACATTGAGAAATCAAGTGTTTTTAATTGTTTTTTCATTTTGTAAAGCAGATGGCTACTGCAAAATCTTAAAATGAATAAGGCTTTGTTTACATATATTACATTAGGAACTATTTGGGCACTATTTATTTACCTCAATCAGTTGATAAAAGCATAAAAAGTCAATAATGTAGTACTTTGGCAGAGAATTTGAAAAGTATCATTTTTGCAGGCTAAATCTTGAAAATGAAACAGATTTTGAAAAATACATATAGGGAATTTTAAGCTTAATTTTGACTCTAGAATCTGTCTGTCACAGATGCATACATTCATCTTGCATTGATATTTGTCATATCAATATAAGATGAATGTATGCATCTGTGCCAATACTAATTGTTTCTTTTTTTGTCTGACAAGAAGATAATTTATCAAATTTTCAAGCAGTATAGAGTTTAACAGTTATTGTAGGAAACAATTTATAATCATTCCTATTTAGCAAAAACTTATTCTTTGTTAAAATTTATTTAAACTACACTAAGAACTCATAAAATCTAAATCCAGCTATGCAACAAGAAAAAATTTAAATGGCCATCCAACCAGATAGGGGTAAAAAACCACTTACTCCACCACTCACCACTTTGAGGAATCTGAATTCGAGTCAGAAATTTTTAGGGCAGTTTATGTCAGTTTGTCTCTTGCCACCTGGCTAAACCTACAATGGGCACAAACGAAGATCCTTTCTGTGCTTGTAGGAGGGGGAAAGAAAACAAAGTTCTTTTTTCTATAAATCAAAACATTTAACTAGATTATTTTTGGGAACTATTTCTTTTCTCTTGGACCAAGTTTTCCTCATTGCAAAATCCAAACAGTAGCTTACAGTGGAAAACTTCAGTTAAGCCCTCAGTTTATTTCTTAAAGTTTAAAAAACTTCTACATCTAGAACTTTTTCTTTTCCAACCAAAATAAATAAATGAGAAAAAAGATTCATTTATTTATTTTTTAACTTTGTTACCACTTCCTGCTCAATTTTAAGCCTTTGTATAGTTGATAAAGTATGGCAATGAAACATGAGTGTAATTTAGTAAGGGAAGAGTGTCTCTCAGGAGGACTTTTATAGGAAATTGATCCCTATTTATATGTTAGACACAAGAAGAAAACTGAAAAAAATCTATGAGACCAAACCATTGGTTGGGCATGAACCTGTTCTGGGGGTTTTAATCACTCGACCACTGGTGGGCCTAAGCTTTTGTCTTTGTTCCATCAACAAAAGTTGTTGCAATTATTATGAAAATTGAAAAAATTAAAAATTTTATTTTTAATTTTATTGGATTTTCTATTTTATACTTTAAGAAGATACCAAAAAAATTTAAATCTTAAGCTTCTCTTCAATCGATTAAATTTAAATACTGTAGCATTATTTTTCTTTGAAATAAGCAGATTTATTGTTTAACATTTTTGAATTCATTATGGATAATAAATTCAAATAGTGACTTTAGTAAATTATCAATTAATATATTTTTGATACACCATTGATGAATACCTTTAGTCAACAGTAAAAATACCAACTTAAGAAAACATTATTTTATGATTTATGAAAAGAAAGCAATTGCTAAATCTAGATAGCATACAGGACTTAACAACTAAAATTTACTTAAGTATGACTATAAGCAATGCAGATTTTTGGTTATATAGGGCACTACTTACAGTTTTAGTAGTTTTTGTTAGTTTAAACATTCTTTAGTTGATGTAATCTGCCATGTTTTTTATGATAAACATTTTTTTATAAACTCCTCCTGCCCTTTGGGAACTAAGAGGATCTATTTTCATATCTATTGTGCTCACAATGTGAGCAACCAGGTGGCCTGTGAAAAACTTCGAGGCTTTTCAGCCATTTAAATTCAATCTTTGGTCTTCCCAGAGTGGTAGGCCAATGCCTTAACTGCCCACAAATAAGCATTAATTGTGCATTGTAAATATCTCTAATATATGTTAATGTGCATTAATATGGTAATTGTACAGAAGGATTTATCACATCGTATGTTCCCTACTATATTACATTGCTGCAATTTTCAGTTGTACATCTCAGTGCCACAACTGATGTCCAGAGACATTAATTTCTTGAATAAATTTAAATCAGCTGTATTATTTTTTTTTTAAACTGTAAGAATAGTATATAGAAGGCATTATATATGAATTTTCTAAAGTATACTTGAATCCAGAAAATACTGCTTTAACTTTCTTTGTACTTGAAGGATGTGATATGTATTACTATAAAAATTGCAGTTTTGTATGAATGGGAAGTATGTTATATACACTGCTGGCCAAGTAAAATGCAACACCTGCAACATCTAGAGGTCTACATGGTATTGCATTTTACTTGGCCAGTAGTATATTAATATTACCAAGAAGCTACTAGTTGGGAAATATTTGCCTGTACTTTGCGATATTGAATTACCATCAAATGTTCTCAATTAATTTATAATCTTTTCTAGGCATGCACAATCGGGAAGTGATCGAACAAGTGGACAGAGGTTATCGTATGCCCAAGCCATTAAACTACGAGTGTCCGGATTCCGTGTATAACATAATGCTGCAGTGTTGGGATTCGGATCCGGAAAAGAGGCCAACGTTTGAATTTCTATTTGGTTATTTTGACGATTATTTTATATCCACCGAACCCAGTTACAGGGATGCTGACGAATTTTGATTATGCAAAGAACTGAATAATTATTAATTAATAACTGTATTACTACTAAAATTCTGTATAGGAAGACATTTAATATAGTGTAATTATTTATATCATTTAATCTAGTATTATCTATCTTATGTAAATTTATATTTTTTTTTATGATTTTAATATTACATAAACTTTTCTAAATCACTGTTAAGCAATGTGTTTTGAGGAAAATATTGCAGGAATTTCTGAAAAATTGGATATTATCATATTTCTGTTAATTATGAAAAAGAATAATTTCAGAAAAATGTTGCCAGCTTTGGAACCTAATCCTTTGTTTTGTATAGTACAGATTTGTATAACATGGTACTTTTTTGGAACCTATCTACTGTGTTGGGATATGCATATATTGTGTTTGTGAGCTTTTCATTTGATTATCCTGTACATATAGTAAACCGCTGCATGACTGGTTATGATTTATGAAATCCTTTGTCTATCCTTTGGTGCAGTATTATACTGTATAGTTTTAACTGTATTTTTAACAAAAGAATATCTGTTTACAATACTAAGCCAATGCTGCTGCATGATGCCACTTTGAAACAATGCCAATAGCAGAATAAGTTTGATTTATTGGGAACTGGTCAGATGTACTGTATTAAAATCATAGATTTTCTTTTACTTTTTGTTATATTTTCTCATCCTGCCATGAATACTACAAAAATTTGTAAAGTCATTTTATAAGATTGAAAGTAATAATAAAAATTCTTTGTATTGAGAAATTTAAATAAATATTTTATACAAATTATTATATTGCAATATAAATGGTCTGATATTTTTGTAGCAAAATATTGATAACATTTAAAATTTTTTGATGGCAAAATTGTTATGATTGCTATAAATTGCATTTAGTTAGCATGATCTTTTTAAAACCGTGATATTGTTATTATTGTGGAATTATTTTATGCTTGAGAGTATCAAATGATCCTATGTATAAAGGCACATACCTTAACATACACAAACATAAATAATTAAGAAATATTATTGATAAAATGTATCTGTTGGTGCAACATTTAGGTCAGATTGCATGTGACAGTTCTCACAAACTAATGAGCAGTGCAGTCCCAACTTCTGGCAGCCTTTTGAACAGTTGAAAAAATTCATGTTTAGAAGACAATCCCATGCAGAAGGGTGTGATGTTCATTTCAGCTTCAAAAAATTTATTCTTCAAAACTTATCCCCTCTCTTTGGGATTTTGTTCATAACCTAGCCATGTTTGGACTTGATAATACACTCGAAATAGATGCTCTTCAGCTGCACTAGCTGTAGGTGGTAGTAAATTCAGGTTTACTGGTTTGTTCTTCACAATAGACTTTGTGAAGGACAAATATCTACCTTGTATATTCATTGATGGAATTTTCTTTTCATGAAGTGCCATATATGCCCAGGAAAAACTGTATTCCATTAAAAGAAAAAGAAAACTCATGCGAAGCATCACTTTTGTTGAAAATTTGAACAGCATGTTGCAAATCCTGTCATTTTTGTAATAGTTTCAAAGCTGCTGTTTTACCCTTACAGAAAAGAGTAGATGTTGTGTCACATCTGGAGAATGCATGTAAAAATAAAATGTGATCTCTGCAGCTTTCATGTTCATTGAAGCCTCTTGAAGAATAAATTTTCTGCTCGACCTTTCCTTTTCCTGGTTTGAGGAAAAAATTTCATTATCAACAGATGTGCGAGCGGTGAGAATCACCAACAAATCAATATCTTCCCCAATGACAACAGTCGTATTTCTACTTGCATTTTCAAGTGCAGTTTCAATAATCAAAACATCATCATCATCTTGAGGGTGTTTGACAGTTAAATTAGTAGCTTTGAACTTTTCAGTTAGCATTGTAATTAATCTGCTTTTGTTGTTGTTGTCGGAAAGAAATTTCTCTTGGTTCAATGTTACAGTCATCATTTTATCAAATAGAACATCCACAGAAGACAATTTGGAGGATCGACAAAGTTGTTCCAAGGCTTTACACTTGTGCCTCTATTACTATATCCATTGAAAACAATAATAGTGTTTGAACCAAAATGCTTTTGCATGTACAGTAAAGTGTCAATTATCCAAATGCTAATCAACCGAAAGCATTGTAGTCGTGCCGAATCGAATGTTTTTGATACTAGATTGACTTCTAAAGTATAATTTTTTGTTTTTATATTTTTCAATATTACATTAATTGAATTATCCACAACTGTGAGGCAGATAATAGTGAGGGCTTATCAGACCAATGATGGGCACAAACGCTTAGGGATCAAAGTGAAAACAATTGAATAAACTCAAAAAATTACTACATAAGTGTGAAAACAAACCCAAAATGCATTTCGGACTATTTTCCCAATAGAAAATAGTCCCTCACAGTTGGTATTAGTTAAAGGTAATGCTATAATAGAATTATACAAGGTAATGGTCGACTTAAAAACTAAGCCTAAAGTTATACAATATAAAAAAATTGAAGACACCACTGTAACAGTATGAGTAGTAAGCATCATCAGTAGGTATTATCTAAAGTAGATGGTATATTAAAAATTATACAAAGTAAAGGTAAACTTAAAACTATGCCAAAAACTATACAATATAAAGGAGAAGACGCCTTTATAACAGTATGAGCAGTAGGCAATATCAGTATAGACAGGTTTAATAAATCTTGATGACTTTGCACGGTGGAATGACATACAGGGTGCTGATACAAGACAGTTATTAGTTAGACAATTATTAGTTAACACTAATGGACTAAAGTTATACAGACAGGTAATGTACATACCAAAAACAGTAAGACGACAGAGTAGCAGGTGCCAGCTTACAACAAGATGCTGGGAGTGGTAGTGAGGGAGGTGTGTCAGTCCACATCTGGTGTACAAGTGGTGACAACATACGATACAATCACAAGTTCCCAACGGTTTTTAACAATACATATGGTGGTAACATCACAAAGATATTTAGTTTTTAAAAGATAAAATTATACCATCCTTTGTCAATTTTAACACCTAAGTTATCATTAATTCTATTAATATTATCAATTTTTAAAATCTCTATGTGCTCAAAATACTTACGTTTATAAGTGTTAGTTTCAAATTTTATTGCTTTTATTGTACTTTTATCAATTTCACAACTGCACAATTTATAGACTGGAGGGAATTAACAATTCTATCTCGGATGATACTGGGGTACATATTCTTGATGTCAAAAGACAGCATTCTAAACCTATTTTCCATTTTGACTTTTTTTAGGTTACAGTATTAAGAAATTCATCAGTGCTTTTAATGCAATGTTTAGACATTACCAGGGATTTTAGTTTGGATTTGACAAATAACTCTAAGTTATATAAACAATAAAATTTAATATCAACAAGAGGTCTATAAGCGATGGGTGTTTTATGGGTCTTGATCCTTACGTTAAACTTGGGGGTGCGGTGACCATAACTAGTGATAAACTTATAATCATCTTTATCAATAATTTTGATAGTTAATGGGTTTTTTAGACTAACAATCAATTCTTTTTTAATTTTAAGTGTCGGATGACGGGGCAGTTCCTCATACAAATTGTTATCTAAAAGAACCTGGGCTACCTTAATATAACCCCGATAGTTCGTGACTATACTCTGCCTAGATTTGTCGACCCGTAAGACGACTAAATTATTATTCTTAATGAATTTTTTTAAACCTTTAATATTATTATTACGTGTCCATAAGGATCTTATGGTTTTTACTAAGATTGTGATTTTTAACGATATTTTGGACTTTATTTTTAATTTCAATATGGTTGACTATGTCTAAACTGTTGAGAATATACTCTAACTCGATGGCAATTTTGCTTTTAGGTAAATATGTTTGGAAATTATAATCTAAACCTTTAGCTAATAAAGCTTTAATTCTATCGGGGATTTGTACATCAATTTGTTTTTCCAATTATTTATTAGATCCATCGTTGGAATAGCACAATGTCCAACTAGTTCATTATACTTCTTGGTAAAATAGCTGTTTTGGTTAAAGAGAGGAGTAGGGCTAAAATATTAGTATTTTTTTTCACTAGCTTTTTAATTTTGTATTTTTTAAATTTGATGACGGACTTGATTAACGTACCTTCTATTATTTTAACATCATGTTTTTGTATATTGTTTTTAATGCTGGGAGTGTCTTTAAAGGCCATCCTTCGTTCCGTCTCCGCTTAATATACCAGATATCAGTATTGATTAGTCTGATAAGCCCTCACTATTATCTGCCTCACGGTTGTGGATAATTTAATTAATATAATTATATCAAGGGCTAGAAGCAACTTTTGTAGTAATTTCATTTTTCAATATATTTATTTCGTTTGTACAAAATAAATAATTTTTAACCATACAATAGCCACGATTATTATTATAAAAATTTACGTTAGGCTTAACATTGACAAAAATTCAACGCGAAGCGACACGCAATGGAGAAAATTTAAACATGGGATATATTAACGCATTTTTTCGTATATAATTGGTTATCCAAAAAATCGATTTTCCGAACACCCCCAGTCCCCAATTGATTCGGATAATCGACGCTCTACTGTACTTAATATATTGTGCACGTATTAGCCCAAAAGTTTCATTTTGATGCCATACAAAATAATGCGAGAGAAATCCTCCATCGAGGACATAAGTTGCACTTTTGAAATCGGATGTGGAAGCCGTTGAAGAAAGATGACTTTTTTTTTTTTTTTTTTCTCATTCCCACTTCATCGAAGAGCGATATAGGATATGGAGCTAACTCGTATTTCAAAATGTTGCGGAGCTCTTCTCTACATCTTCTTATGGCACTGATCCTTTGAAACAACGACAATGGATCAATAGGCACAGTCACGTCGTGAACTTTTTCGTGACTATTAAGTATTAAAAGTTAAAATACTCTGTCGGTACACTAAAATTTGATGCCATTAAAACTTTTATTAACTATTTTTTCCATCGTGGTAGTGTCAATATTTAGCACATTGTGACAGTTTATTTTCTCATCACCCGTTACCCCCTGTTGCAATAGGTATGATTTGTTGAATATTCAGAAAGGGACTGTGAGAATGAAACCATTCCGATAACTGCTTTGCATCGGTGTATGCGAGATCCCATTGCATTGACATGTTGTTCTCCACTGCAAAAGGAAAGTTGACAAAACCTCTCGAGTCCCTGTGAAATATTGCTTGCAGTTCATCAACAAATTACTTTAGACACTCTCTTTGGCACTTCTTCCGTGTATGACGCGTCCTTGTATTTTTACCGATTTCACGAGTGATTGTTCTATTACCATATCGCTCGATGTTCCACAGAAAAATTTATCTGACCATTTAATTGTGAAAAATTGTTGATAAACTTTTTGAAAGTTTCCTTTTCCGTTGAACTTTCCCATTTCTTGAATATATAAACGTGCAGATTTTCTGTAAAGATAATGTCCCGCATCATGAAAGTAAGGAAGCAATATTTTTTACCGAAGCTAAATGCACCTTCCAATGTCCCATTCTTTCTGCCCTTATAAATTCTTTAATTAATTAACAATCATTATCATTTCAAAATATTGTATCCATAATTTTGTGGTCGGGCCTCTAATTTCCAATTTGTGACATTTTTCAGCAATTTTTTTTTTTCAAATATGTGACAGTACTCAACCCTTCAATCTCTCTAAATGTAGGTGTTGCTTCATTTAAATTCTCCAGATAAAGCTTAAAGAATTCGTGATCATCTCCTCCAAATGCTATCTCCTTGAAAATTATTTGTGATAAAGCAACCTCCAGCAACGTACGAGCTCCGACAGCTCTGGAGTGTGCGTGACCCGACAGCATTTTATCCACAGAATGTGGAGCATAAATAGTGCTCATCACTTCCTTAAGGCCACTTCCTGCCACGATATATCCAATTGATCCAAAAAATGACATCACCATTTGAAAACCTCCGAGCTTCACTGTTATCTTCGAAAATGGAGAAGTTTCGTCTGATGATGCAACCATTTCTCGAGCTTTAATATAGAGTGGTTGATCGGAGATTATTATGCACGCCGTATGACCGTGCCTTTGTCCATCTTCGAGAATGTACTGCAAGACGGTATAAATAGTGTTGTAATTGCTGGCTGGTTGATAGATAAATGGCAGATAAATTATTCGTGACTCGATACACACCTTGTATTTTGTTAGAAACTCCATAAATGTACTCCTTCCTGGTATTTCTGGTAGGTGTCTCCATTTCCCATACATCCATAACATATCTGTATTCCAGAGCATTGACATTGTTTTCACTTCATAATCAACTTTTTCCACCATAATTTTTTCAATCCTCCTACGCCATGATTTTCATAAATTTTCAATGGGACTTGGATAGTTTTTGACGCTTTCGCCACACTTGGCTTTGTTTTTAATCTTGATATTTGTTGATTGTCATAAATTTCAGGTATATTGGGGCAGGTAAAATAAAGATAGTTTTGGTGGAAATTCAGTACAATCGCTTGTATCAGAAAGTGATAAAATTCTCTACAGAAATGTTCGTTCTCATCTTCAAGTTTATATATACTAACAAAAGATCGATTTTATACCCTCTGTAAGCACCTTTTTAGCACTGTAAAACATTAAGTCAAAGTTCCCCAGCATTATAGCAGAATGCTGGGGAACTTTGACATTTTATTTAGTGTGACTAAATAAAGTGATATACAAAAACTCAGCTGGCTTCAAATTTTTCTGCAGAAACGACCTTTTTTTCGTCTAAAGTTACTGGACTATAATCTCGAGAATGGAGTTAAATAGATGAAAGACGAGACCAGATACGGAAACCTTAGGCCCCAATTAACTATATACGAATTTCCGACGCAAACTGGAAGTAATATTTCAGTTAAAAAAATTTTTCCCCCCAAATGTCATCTATCTATCGTTAAAGGAAAAGTATTATGGTCATTTGAGGTGAAGAGCATATATTTTAAATTAAATTTAAAATATGATCAAAAATGCAGCCCAACATTGTGACAAGTCACAGTAAATAATTGCTCATGGATGATGTCTAAGAATGATCTTATGGTCTTATGGGACTTATGATGTCTAAGAATCATCAAGATACTTTTGCCTGTTTTGTTATATCAATTTGGCTACTGACTTTCTAGTTACACAGAAAGCAACACCACGCTAAAAATTTTGATGTTTTGAATTTGATGGTACAGTACATTTTTGATAGGATAATCCCATCACTATCTTGCGCAAGGTTGATGATGTAGTATTTTGTCTCTATCATAACTTTGAACATAAACCTGTTTCAGTGATTTGCGAACAGCAGTCGCATCTTGCTTTCTTTATTTAAATTTAAATTAAAGCTATTTATTTTCATTGATTCCATTGTGAAGTGTTTTTTTGAAAAATAACATTCTTTCTAATAATATAAGATGGAGAAGTTTATAATTCTGAATCTGATTTATTTATAGTAATAGGAATATAGCCAGAAACAATATGCCATTTGAAAAGTCATAACTGTTTTATGCATTACAGTTGTTTGATGCGGCTTCTCTTTGTGATATTGCAAACTCTCCTATTCACACTCAGATTCTTTAACATTATAAAGTCAACACACCTTACTACTGAGAAAGCACATTATTCAGCTAAACAAACGTTTTCAATCCATTTCATGGGCCATCATCAGGTTAAAGACGTTCGAATGAATGGCTTTTCGAACACGTTCAAATTTAAATTATATTAGAACATACGTTAAAATAAGATTACGTAAACAAGCATAACGAAAATTAATAAACAAGAAAAACAAAATAAAATAAAATACAAAATACGGCAATTCTCCTTAATACAATATGTAAAGATTTTTTTTATAGTAACTCAGGTTTTATTGAGCTCTTTCTGATTATATATTTCCATGCCGACGGTAAAATGGTTGCATCTTTATAGTTTAAACATTTATCCGTTAAGCTAAATGTTTAAGCTATGTGCAAACATTGAGATGATAATTCATCTTGGACTAAACCCATTTTGCAATACACAGACAATTCTTACAGTTTAAAACCTGTTACCAATTCCTTACTGGTAAAATTTTGAAAATACATAATTACAATCATTCAAGCCATGTATTGCTCTTAGCTGTACTCAACTGGTCTTTTAAACACAGATAACTTGTAGGCAACACAAATATAGCGCTATATTTACTTTCATATTAAAATTATCGCAAGTTTTGTTATACACCATCAGCGTGCATTTATAAATCGTAGTGTAATTCTCTTTGTTAAAGCTTCAAGAAATTAGTTTATAACTGTAAATTACAGACGATTAAGTTAGTACTTTGCTAAATCGTGTCAATACATAATTTTTATATCGAATTTTAAATACACATGGACGATCTTGGATATGGTTAATATATCTTCGCTATATAAGATTTACAATATTAGTTTATTAAATAATGAAAATATTTCTTTGATTATATTTTCTTATTAACAGAGATAAATGGTTATCTTCATTTATATTTTTCATTTTTACTTGTCAATAAATTATTATTATATTTTGTCGTAGTTTCATTTGAATGGATCTTATTGTTTGGATAAACAAGAAATTTCTTTGTTCCGAATTATTCCAGACAGAGAAATACTAGATGTAGTTGATGATTGATCGTCTTCTGTCCAAGATAAATCATATTCTTCGTTGGATTTTGTTATCCGCAAGAGAAGGTGTTTCTGTAGCGGAAGGTAATGTTACGCACATTATTTGATTCTTTGTTAATTTACACATAATTTCATTTTTTCGTGAATAATCTAAATTTTGAAAATACAAATTTATAAACAACGTTCCCCTTTATTCAATTTTGATGATTTTAATCCAAACAATGACTTTATATTGTTTTAGTTCAGTATTTTCTTTACATCTCAAGCCCATTTCTAAACACAGGAACCTTTATCATACCCGAATATTTCGTATTTGCTTTGCTAACTTCCGAGTTGTTTGGGTTCAATTTGCACGCATCTCGTTCTTTTGTCCATCGGGCTATTTTTTCTCCGCTGTTTTTCATTGGCGTCCCGACCGACCAATTTCTGCCGTCTTTTGTTAACCATTAGCGAATCTTTCGAGGACCGACCGAAGCCGGCAAAAAATATCTGATGAATTCGGTAGTTTCATTTTCCCATTTCAAAACATTTAATATTTGAATAATTATATATATTATATAACAAAAAGTAATTTAACACAAGCGGCGCAAATTGTACTACCATAGGCCGAACTTTACCGGATAATAGACCGAGCAATAAGTTAACGCGTGCTCGGTCCATTACCATAGACTACGAAGATCGGACGAGGACGTCATTCCTATTCTTCAACCGCAACGGCAAAATCGCTTTAATGCATCAATTAACGAAACGACGAAAATTGTAATAAATAAGCGCGCTAAAATCAACATATTATCTATACAGTATTAGTTTTGTTTATATACAAAAAGTCGCGAGCAAATTGACTATTTGCCAATGTAATTTTCTCGAATAATTAATTACATTTCTTTCGGCTATGTAAATAGATGTTAAATTTAGTATTTTATACCTTAACAATTCGGTAAACGTCGAAGAGTCGACTTCTGTCATCGCATCCGTTATACATTTGTAATAAAAATTGACAAAAGTTAAAAACAAGACATACCTTACTGTAAAATATTTCGTATTCCTCATTGTCTCCGGACTTGTTATTTTCGTCTAGAATCGATAAAGTTTTTAATATTTTACCACAGAAGAAAGCGATAAAGTCTTTATTAAAATTATACGGTTACCTTCTACGCCAATCTTTCTTCCATATTCGTCGCCCCTTTAAAACACAGCCAGCGCAACGACCTTTCACTTGCCTACAGTAAAGAATTTAAAGTCAACTAAAATTATTTTAAATGACGGTTCGTACGCAATAAATCAGAATCGTCTCGTAATTTTTATATAAACGCGTCTTTACCATCAAATATCGGAATTTATACACGCCGAAGATTGTTTTCTTCCCGTTAAATAGGACGATTAACGCTATCGAATTGCCGAATTTTATCCACTATTTTTATCGTTTTGTCGTACGATTTACGACAATACACCGGAAAGCTTGGTACTCTATACTAATCTCTACGGCGGTAATAGAGAAATTTCCACGTTTTCTACGGGACGAAAGCTTTTAATATCGCGGCGCTTACAAACACTCTATTATATTACCGACGCACCCGCGCCCATTGGTACCCGACGGCCATCTTTATAGAATAGGATAGTCATTCCTATTATAGACGGACGATTAAAAAAATAATAAGTATGGGTTTACGGGAGAGAAAAATTATATTATTATTCGTATTTGTTTTACATATTTTATTTCTAGTAGGTTAATAAAGACGAAAACTTGACCAGATCGACCGAGATTGCCTTCGGAGCTCCTGTTACAAGGCGAAATTTCTTATCCGGCGCCCAGTTACGGCTAAAAGTAACCGGTAACTCCGACACATTCCTATTAAAAAATTTTCCGTTTCGCTAGATATTATTAATCCTTTTTTAAATCGAGAATTTATATATAAAATTCAATGAAATACAATAATACCTCGACTCGCACGATTTTCAAATCTCGCCGATTCGAGCGTCACTCGACTCTCGATTACTCACTCCCCCCGCACTATTGTTCGGCTTACGTGTTCGGATGTATCGCGCGGAATCGACGCGTAGCTACAATTTATTTTGTGTTATTTATTTCTGTGTTTGTTATATCTACAGAGACTCGAGAGACTCTACTATATCATCCAAAGGAAGTAGAACTAATTCTTCCGCATCAAACGAGAAAAAAAAACTTTATCTTTGGAATGTAAAGTTAACATCGGGTACGTTCGTAAAGTCGAACGAATTAAACGAAAATGACGTCATCGTTATTCCTATTTCGTTAGACTTTTCGAACGATTCGTTACTAACGCGTTTAACTCGTTTGACTTTACAAACGTCCAGTCCCGAGTTAACTCGGGAAAGTTACATAGCGTTACAAAAAATGCGGTCCTTTCGCTCCCAATTTTTTTGATTTTTGAAATGTGTTTTGTCTCCAAATTTTTTTCAAAAATTTTTACCCGCGCAAAAAAATTTTATCGCGATTTTAATGAGCCTTTGATAAGGCTCCATTAAGGCTTAATTGTTTTTAATGGGATTTTTTTTATCAAAATTAATTCATCGTTCTAAAGTTGTAGCGTACGGATTTGACTTCGGTAGTTATTTAAAGCTACTTTCTGATGTCAAAAACCACCTCCGATAGTTTTTGAATTTTTTTAATTAATAGATTTTATTATATACAAATTTAATTAAGTCNTTATGGGTAGTAGATCGACAGAAAAGAATGGTGTTTTTTATAAAGAAAAGAAAGAAAATCTTATATTTTGTCTATTATTCGTCTCTTATTTTGTCGCCCAGTCGACGGTGTCCCCGGTCGTCTAATACGGGTCCTAGGGACGGCCGGAGGGGACGATGGACTCCGACAAAGTACCAGCGATACGACGTTTTCCGTTTACTTCCTTTACTTTAACCGAGCTACTGCGGGGACCCAATATATAATTTTCCTCGGACGTCCGTTATCCTCCGAACGGAGCCGCGGGGTCTTGGGCCCGGCCCCCGAAACGTATTCCCGTTCCGTGCCGATATTACTAATTAATACGACATATAACGATAGCGCCAATCAGATAGAAGTATACGATTAATAACCAACGGAAAATTGCCTTTATTTACAAGCGTCCGTGTTCTAAATTAAACGCTGGCAAACATTTAGTCGATACAATTTTGAAAAAGTTTTTCTCTTTTATTGTCTATTACCCACGTAAGAACAATCGACGTAGTCTTCGACGATATCGGAAATTTGACGTCCGTCGGGAGTCGAACACCAACATATTCCGAAGGTATCCCAACATTGTTTGGATTTGTACGTTCCGTCTCGGTTGCATCGTGGTACGAATCTCCCTATTGCTGAAAAGAAAACCAACGCCACCGGGTTAGTGTGACAATCGGAATTTTATCGCTTAATTGGCGTCAGAAATATATCTAGTTTTTTACAAAAAAAGGAAGACGAAGTCGTCACTGTTCCGTCGAAATTAACTTCCTTTCCCCAGACCCAACTAACCGTCCGGATATCTACCCCCGTGCCTCCGTTTACGGACGAAAATCCTTTAACGCTATTGGTCGGCGATTACGATAAAACGGGCCGTTTCCCGTCGTTCGGGACAGTCGGCCCCATTTCCCGCGTAAGCGTTTCTTACCTACCGGATTCCCTGGTTAGTACGAACGTTAATGGCGTAGCCATCGTTCGTACCGTAACGGTACTTACATTCGGGTCTGGAAGCGTCGTCTCTCTCTCTGTGGCATTCGCAATCCACTACGTTAGCGAAGGAATGGGACAGAGGTCTTCCGTCCCGGCTCCAACATTGACACCGTTCCTTATCGCCGTACAGACATTGGCGTTGGTTGTAATCTCCGTCGGCGTCGCATTCCGGAATTAGTCGCGGAAAAGGGTTTTTCAGAGCTTCTTCTCTCAGTATCAAACAAGGGACGACCCGCGATGGAGCCGGAGCGTTAGCTACTTGTAAACCTATTCGAAAATAATAAACGCTTACTTAATTATTGCCATAATTAAATTTCTATTAATCTAAATCGGCGTTTTTAGTTCTTAACCGACAATTTTCTATTAACGTGGCGTAACGCCGCCACCACGTACGGTTTAGGCCCACTAACGCCCGAACGGAGGAAATCTCCCAACGGCGCGGGTTAGCGCCCGCAAACGGACCGACCGCGCGTTTTCAAAATTTTCTCTACGCCTCCGACACCCGAATAGCGGCCCGTTTCTCTTCGAAAGTCCTCCCCCCAGGCCGTGGCCCGGGCAGATCTGGTACAATCGAGCTATTCCGATCCAATTAACACTAGGGGGCTGGATTTAGGCGTAAGTTAAACCAGCTACGGTTTAATTAGCGAGAAAGAACTTAGGAACGGAGGCCAGCCGAGCGGACGGATAAAACTAGCGATACGTAATCGTACGAGCGAGGCGCGTTACTAGTGGAAAACTGTAAAAGAATTACCTTTGGGAGAATGAACGGCGATAACTAATATCTGAAACGAAAGTAATTTAAGTTTTAAAATATCTACAGATGGCCTATAAATAAGTACCGACGTCCATATCGTCGAATTGCATATCGCTTAGCAAATATCCCGTGACCGTAATTTTTTTTAAAGCTCCTCCGTCTTTATCTTTGATTTCCAGATTGTTGGGCCGGTCACTGGTTATCACCTTTACGTCGTCGTCCAGATATTCTCCCACCGGCCAGACGTCCGTCGCCCTGCAAAAACAACGTAATTAATATTATAATTAATTGGATTTAAAATCCGACCGACTAGAAAGGCGCATTACCTGGCCCGGTAGCTGGCCCCGGCCGACACCAGACAACAAAAGGCCGCGAGAAATTTAAAATTCATCTTTTCTTACCGACGTTTCTCGGCGATTAAAGCGGTTGTTTCTCGATTTATAGTTTTTCAAATAAAAAAAATGCATATCGAGCGTAATTTATAATATATTGGGCAGAAAAAGTTACTTTAGTAAACACTTTTTTCCTCTTCTGCGTTTTGATAAGTAAATGGATTTTGTAATTATAACATTTGCAATATTTGCTATTTTTGACGTTTACTTTTACAAAAGAAAAAATGACATGAAGCCCGTTTTATTATAAACTTTGCGTAAATGGCAATTTTAGATTGCCGTTCTTAGACGATGCAGGAAGAGATTCCGACTTCCCATAAAAACTTTCGACAAGCGTCTTTTCCTCGGCCGCCNATATCAAATGTGGATAACAACGAAATGACCTACACGTGTAAATAACGGAAAAAGAACAGAGAAGGACCGCCAAGTAAAAATGTGAAAATAAATACGAAATTGAGTCAATAACGTAATCGAACGAGTGGAGGCAGCTTATTGGCACGAAATTCGCGGCCGTCAATGCCAAACAATCGTTGTCATAGACTTCGGAAAGCTAAATGCTCGTAATGTAAGTCACTTAGCGTGCACGGGCGAAAGCCCGGGACCGTTCGGGCTATCGAGCTGTCTCGAATCTGCGAAATCGTAACTGCGACTTATATCGACGTCCCATCTGTCTCTTTTGTCCGTTATCACCAGGCTGAGTCACGTAATTGTAAAATGGGAACTCTACGACGGAAAAGTGACGAATCGAAAGTATCGTGAGCGCGGTATTATGATGTATGCATAAGCATACATGGACTATGATGTATGCATAAGCATACATGGACTAGAGCGATAGAGGAAAGAGAAAGGGTAGAGCAAAGACGAGCGCTTAAAAAGAAGGATAGGCAGGGTCAGACCTTCGGATGTGCGACGATTCTCGAACGAATAGGTGTGTAGTGTGCCGATCTTTGTAATTATAAATTGCGAATACGTGTGACTAATATTATTTTCTTTTTTATTTTGCGCGTGTTACAAGTTATAAATAAATATAAACAAGCAACGCTAACTCGACAACATTAAATCTAAATACCAAAATGATTAATTTACTGCGTTTTTGTTATTTATTACTCCTGTTTTTAGGTATTCGGTATTCGGCCGAATAGTGAAAAATAGGCCGAATACCGAATAGTAACCGAATATTCGTTACATCACTACAAAGAAGTTTGATCTACCGAAATCGACGGTCGAAACAATTATAAAAGGCAAAGAAAAAATTCTCGAAGCTGCGAAAAATGCTCGATCTTTAAATTCGAGCATCGTTCGTAAACGTTGAAGTATTATCGCCGAGATGGAAACGATGTTAAAATTATGGCGTGATAATCGAGTAAATGTGAAAAATTGTAAAATAATATAGGCCTAATTTGTTATACATATGTATTATCTAAGATTTTATTAGACATTTTTTTCTAAATTATTGTTTTCTTTAGTCTCCGGCCCCGATTAAAAATTATTTGTACGTATTTATATGGGAAATTATACTCCGACTTAGGCGATTAGCGCTCGGTCCCACCCATCGCGTAAGTTGGGGGTATTACCGCATAAATAATTTTAATACTCGACGACGGTTTGGACGAAATTCGTCGAATTTAGTTTAGGCAATACGACGTCGCCTTTCGTTTAATTCCGCCACTTTTCTCTTTAAAAGTTATAATTTCCTTTATCCTAATAGAATCGGAGAGCGAAATTCGAATAATAAATAGCTTTTTTAAATATTTACCGAATAAACGAAAGAATCAATTAAAAGTTTACGATATCCGAGAAAGCGGGTTTTCCTTATATTTAATTCTAAAAGGTGTGGCTGGGATTTCTTAACGTAGGCCGGATAAAATAGAAAAACGTTCCATCTGGTCGGTCGGGTTATCGACTTTTCCCGCTAAACGATTCTTTTCAAAAATTTACCGGCCTAAACGCGCAAAAATCCATTTTCTAACGACAATTTCCTGGTTTACGTTGGTTTAATTATAATAAACGTGGACAAACTTTTCCTTCCCGTCTCTCTTATCGTACGGGTTTCCCGCGGCGTGGCTATCCCCGCCCCAACCAGTATAAACGCTTGGTTTTACGCTGCTTTTGCGCGAAAATATCCCGTCCGTTCTCGCAGCTTCCGCCCGAAACGAGATTGGAAAAATTATTACTTTTTTCCAAAGTCTTGGATGGTCCTCGAAATAACGCTTCCTTTCGCCGGTATCGGGCGGATTACGTAAGCCAAATAGGGCCGGGCATTATTACGGTTATTTAAGAAGGGAAGGGCTGGGTGGGAAACGTTTACCACCGCGCGTCGTATATACCTATAGACGCGTATATCGCGCCGTTTAGGTTCCGCTCGTACTTAGACGTAACTACTACTCGATCCCGAGATATTACGCGTCCGTATATACGTTTTACGTCGGTACAATTCGGACCTATCTAACATCGAATTATACTACTAAAAGCTAATTCTCGCGGCTTGGAAACAAAAGGAATTTGCGGCTCAATCTATCGGGTATAATCGCCACGGTTATACACTTTCCTAATATATATAGAATTATAAGTATAAATCGGTGTTCCTCGACCTCTAACCAATCGTCGCCCCCTTCGATAAAACCGTTACGTAGTATCGCCCCTTGGCTTCAAAATTCCCACGCCCGGGGCCCAGGCTGACGCCAAATTCCTAGAGCATCGAATAGACTAGTGATTAGTATAATGTTATTTGTTTAATTATCGTACGACGTAACCAATAAAATATCTAATTATTCTTAATATGATGTTTTCCTATATGGCTCAGAAAATTGTTTTTCGCCCCCAAAATATAAATTGTTCCTAATCGTCCCCTGGATGTGGAAAAACGCTCCCGTCGAGAAACACCGTTATAGATTCCGCGGTTTAAGTAATCTTAACAATAATCTTACCATTAAAGACGATTCGAGTTTACTAATTCGCTTCTTTTATCGAAGAACAAAGAAATAGAAGAAAAAATTCGGTAAATTAAGAGCGGTTGGTTTTCTTTTTAAACGTTTACGCGTATTCCCGAATTAAATTTTTAAATTTCAAACGAAAATTGATCAATAATACGTTACATTTATGGGAGGAAAAAGTCCGAGGCCCGCTAAAATTACACAAAATTCTGATAAAACCGTCGGAACGCTGGATTTTACTACGAAAGGATAAACTATAATTTATTAAAGAACAATTTAAATGAGGATATTGGAGATTTTTAAATAAAAGCCGCGTTATTTTTATATCCCGACGGAGAAAGCGCGACCGTCAACGAGAACGGAGGACGAAGACATTTTTAGGAAAACGAGAAAGAAAATAATAGATTTTCGACTTATATTTGAACGATAGAACCGTCATTGTCGTCATTTCGAAAAAAAATGCCAAATTTCACTGGATAATAAACTAGCGACAGATGGTTTCGATTTGGCGTTACTCCCAATAATAATCTCTGTTTTCCAACGTATAAGACCTCCTTTAATAAGAAATTTACAAATACTTGTGGATTTAATTACATATTTCTCTTTTAAAGTTAAATCGACGTTCCCTACGTCCTTCGTTGCCTTCGGCGTAGAACATTGGTTACGCCGTAGCGTTTCTCGTATATTAAGACAACATTTTGCGCAGTTTTAGGTACGGGCGTTGAGAATTTTTCTCCCGGGACTCGTATAAGTTACGGAGTTGCGCGCCGCCACCGTAGGGGAGGACTGAACTTAAGGCCGGAACGCGGCTGGCGGTATGCGGGGCTTCGTTCGTTGGCTATAGTGTAGCGTTACGGCGCATTATATTACGCGCCAGCCTTATTACCTACAGTACATCGACACACGAGAAGCTCGAAAAGAGTCCGCGCTGGCCTAAAGCTTCGTACGATCTAAAACGAGATGGAAAAAACCTTTGATTTTTAAAAAATACCATACGATCGTCGGTAACGGAAGGGCCCGAGAAAGATAAGATTTGTTATAAAATACGAGACATTGCCTTCCAGCAAATTTTATAATTATTATATAATATTTAATTTATATAAGCCTAATTATCGGCCGCGCCAATAAATGTTTACGGAACTTTTTCGACGTCGGAGGGTTCGTCGACTATCGCGCGCGCAATTAAAGATTTGCCAGACGTATACGATTGCGCCAATGAGTCAAAAGTACGCGCGTAATTAATGGAGGCAGAAATTGAAATATTTTTATATTCGCCTCTTTAATATAAAGAGTTAAACGTTAAGAAAACAAAAGAACTTTTAACCGGCGATATAGTGGAGTGACCTTTCATCCTCCGCTGGCTGGCGTAGGTGTTCCTAGTTTCCTTTTAGGGTACGGCCACCGAGCGGTTTGCTACTTTGTCTACGTCGACTTTAACGGTCGAAATAACTTCTATATCTACACCCGTTTTTCTTTTAAAAATTATCGGCAGAAACATTAACCGCGATTTAAATGTAATTCCACATGGGTAGAGATAGAAGAGTAGGCTAAAACCCCATACTTTAGAGAGTTTTATTTCATTAGCGATTACAGTTCTTAGCAAAATGAATATTCTCGTAAGCGTAATGTAATTTGATGCTAGACGTAGGCCTATAAGGCGACATTATTACACCTTTGGAAGTTTCGAGTAGACGATTTAATCGAATGATCGTTTGGACCCTCCGAAGATTATTAATTAAGGATACGAAGGAGCCATTTATTGACTGGCTATTACGTCTCCTTCCTTTACAATGGCTACCGGTACCGCAAACTTATATAATCTATTATTTTTATAAAGAATCAAACGCGCGTTTTAATATTATTTACTCTAAAAACCATTCTTATCGGCGGAGGGTGATTTTTCTTCCTACCAGACGCTTAAGCGCTTTTAAACATACCAGAATAAAAGTCTTAAATTAAGAAATTGTATCGAATATTACCAGTCGTTTTCTCGGTCGCCCGAAGGACACCGACGGTTGATAACACCCACGTTTAACCGGTACCTACGCATTTTATACTCGTTTCTGGTTAAGTATCCAACGGTTATTCGCTAGATAAATACGTAATTTAGTATTTTAATATATTAGGAACTTATTAGCATTTATATTAAGCGCGGATATTTACGTATACGAGCTTACCACCATACGGGGTGGCCCCAAAATCGGTTAACCGCACTCGGCTAGCAATTTTTGCCGAGTTGGCGAGTAATAAGTGAATTTTGGACCACCCTACGGATTAATGGTTTAGAACAAATTATAAACGAGCTTTTAGTCTCAAACGGGTACATTTTACCTAAGAGTTTTATGTTAAACGATTCGATGCCGTAGTTAAACGCTTTCATTCGGATTATTTTAATATACTACGACGTAACGACGTTAAATACATTGAAAAACAAAGAAGAAAAAATGAAGGTTGGCAGCTCGCAGTTTAACGAATAATTCCAAGATAATATTTACGCCGGTGTTTACGAGGTCACCGACAGAAGTCAGACGACTTCCTTTATCGAGCGTGACTCATCGTCCGGCACTTGATCGGTGCGTTCCAAATTCAAATCTCGGGCGGTCCGAATTAACCAATGAGATTCGCGCGCGCTTCGAAATTCGAAATCTCGGGTCACGTGGTCCAGTGGCGGGCATTATAAAACACCGAGAGAAAAGGCAATACCTTAGATTTAAATCGACACCGTTCGGCGCTAGAACCAAGCTTTATAATTATAAAAGTAAGTATATTTTGTAGTTTTATATTTAGAAACAAGGAGTAAATTATAATTTAAATTGGTTTTATTTTAACTTATTAAATTAAAAGCGACGGTAATTAGCCTAATGGGCTAATTACCGTCGAAAGACCGTGGCGATTTTATACGTTTAGGTCCTACTTTGCTTTCGTTCTTCCTTTCTTTGCCAGGTTTTAATCGTAACATAATTCTATAAGATTAATTTTTTACATGGTTTCGGGCCCTCTAAAACTACGGGCACTCTCGTTAGACACCGGAAACACCGCGCATTACCAATCGGTGTGGTCAATCCGAGCTAGTTGCATGGGTGGCTGACCTTTCGGTAGATTAATAACACCTTAACGCTTTCGCGCGGAGTATTTCAATACATGTGTATCTAGATTTAATTTAACAAAAACACAAACAGTTGCTAACTGGTAGATCGCGCGACTCCCGTCTCTAGGACACGTAAAAAAAGAAGAAAAATTAAAAAAGACCGCATTAGAGAATATTAAAATGAGTAAATTTTATATTTTCATTTTATTTAGGTTTTTCATCCTTTTCTGTTAGAAAAAGAAGCATCGATATGTCGGGAGAACGTAAGTTTAATTTTATTATTCTTTCTTTTTAACGATTAAATATCCGACGGCGCCCGTTAATCATTCGCAAGTAGGTCACCGTACGTCGGTTTAAACGTTGGCAGGACAGTTTTAAAAAATAATAATATATAAATGTACATAGACTATATACGGGCGCTGGATTTTATGCCCCGGATGAGCCTAATTCGATGGTTCCTAAGGGGACGTATGCCAAGGGTAGAAGGTAGTCGAAATACGTAGCTGCACGAGAGAATGGTATAATTAAGGCGTTCAAATCGAGTTTTATTCCAGCGAATATAGATGGAGAATCGACCCGAGTTAAGAAACGTTACGACCGTCTGTTGCCATGGTGAAAAGTGCACCGTGTCACGTTGTAGGAGAGAGAGGGAGAGATAGATCCACGCATTCTTCCACCAGCGGTCATTTACACCTTCGATTTTTAACCTCGATGCTTATATAACAATATTCGTACATTTATTAATCGCGCGGATTTGATAATCGATTACGACCCTCCCCAAAAATCGAAGACTTCCGCAATTTAAATACGATGAATAATAATAATAATAATAATTAATGTTTTAAGTTACATTAAAACTAGCGTAAAATGTGTCGTGACAGGGGTGGGTATATTGGAAAGATTCCAATAAGGATAGAAAGATTTAAACTACCCCAATATGTATAAGTGTATATATACTGTATATATATATAGAATAATTTTTCTATATGTAAAAAAGCTTTAATATTTATAGGATACTTTAGAAAGATCTAAATTTAAACATTTTCGGAGGAAGGACGTTTTGGGCTAATTCGAATCCGGAAAGCGAGCTTTATGATCGATGGACGTTCTCGCGTGACGTCAACGAAGATATCGGCAAAGTGACGCTATTGGTGACGTCACGTCGTCCGTACCTTTTTGTCGTGCTAACGTTGCCCTTTAAACCGCAGCGGGGACGATTAAACGTCCGTAAACCCCGCCTCTTATTAGTCATAACGTTAGATTTTGCGAAAATTCTGTCCGACGCCAGGGCGCGCGGCATTAAAGCGTAGAGAATAATTTTTGGAAAGACGGCTGGAGATGGTACCATTTACGCTGAATCATCCGCTGCCGCAACAAATAAGTATATAGGGGTGTCCCTTCGTTCCGTCTCAAACTGCCCGCACCCTCCGTTGGAAACGGACGAGTCCGATCGATAAGAAAAGTCGAATCCTGCCCTCCCCTCCTATATTATCCGCAGTCGCCGGGTGTGCTGTGTCGACTCCGCAACACTCAGCAGCTCTACTGCCAAGCCGAACTCCGAGGGAGGCGATGAGAGAATCGCAATAGGGATTTTCTGCAGCGTTTGATATATAAAAGCCGTCTAGAAACAAACGGGAGACAATGGTCGGTACAACTCTAGTCGTAGAACTCGTTCGTAAGTCTGTCCTGCAATGTTTCTGTCGAACATGTCAGGCCGCAGCTATAGGTAAGTTAATCGTTAGGCTATACTTAGGCTAAAGGTCGATCTTTTTAAAATTTGACTCGATTTGCAGAGAAAAAGCCACCTCTCCCCAAAAAGAACAATGCGCCTACTGTGAAAACTCGACCACCAAAAAAAGTAGTCTTTCTCGGTAAGAAACCAAATTCATCCATTCTCGCTTTTCCAAAAATTTGTCATATTATGTTAAGTATATTCGGTTAAAACCATCGGTTTCGCTGGTCGGCGCATGCTCCTTTCGCTCCGTTCTGGATCGTTATTCCTCCATCTTTTATTTCTTCACCCGGCCCCGTCCACTTTGCATTTTTCGCAATTGTAATAAGAGATACGCCGCAACTTATGGACGTTTGCCGCATCTTAATGGATGACGCATATATATACAGTATATACGCGGAATTTTCCATTTATACGTACTGTACAGTACATATATATAAATCAATTTGAATTTTCTACATACGCCACTCTTTATATATAAATTAATTATTGGCTTAATGGAATTAAAAGTAATCCAGTCTATTTATTGCCCGGCAAAGGACTATTTTTAACGAATATATATACGTACGGTACTTTATAAAATTGGCGTAATTAGGGACCCATTTACTTATATTACTTTGGGGCAATTTAGTGACGAAAGTAAAACGTTCTCCATTTTATTTCGCCGTTGTTAAGACGGAGGTGGGAATTCTTCTTAGAAACTTAATGGGATTACGCCCTAGATAATCGTTTTAACCCGTAAAGGGGAGCTAAAAAGAAGCCGTCTTTGGGCCAAATGGTTGGGATTTTTGTGTTTTTCTCCATTTTTTAACTCTCCCTTTAATCCCCGGTTAGATTCGGATAATTCTTTCGATGGCGTTGGATGTTTTGAGGAAACGGAGATAATTTATTTAGGATTAAAGCTTTCCGGAGGAGCTAATTCTACGGGAACACGGCGGGTGAGTCATGCGACCTGCGGGGTTTATCCCAATCGATACGGCTAGACTCGCTGGAGTCTGTAATGGCTAGATTGGAGACAGCCAGTTCCTTCGACCGTCTTTACGATCTGGCGTCGAGGTCACTGTTCCTACTTTGACCGAATTTTGATTGGCAAATTCCACCTCCTCTCTCTTCTATAATTAGTCACGCGTCCAATAATTATCCTCTCTCCAAGATTTAACGCCTTTTTGTGCCCTTCTCCGATATTCGACGTATCGATGGCGAAACGTTATTAAAATTTTTCTTTATCGCTCCGATTAAAAATGCTATTAAAAAATACTTAATTAGTTGAATTTTTCGCGTAATTCCGCGCTTTTAAACCAATCTTTCTACCAGAAAATATATCTACGACAATATTTTTGCGTAAAGATGGAATTATATTACGATCGATAGTAAGCGGGCGAATAATTTACATCTAGTAATTACTATAAATTAATTTATCGTCCATCCGCTTAAAGAAAATCCCAAATTTAGGCGGGAAAAATCAATTTCTTAATTTTCACCATTGCAAATCGCTTGTAAGTTTAGTTTCCAACATTTTATAAATTTACAAAGTAATTAACGACTAATTTTACGTAGGGTAATCCCGTAGGGAGATAAATTTAATGCCAGTTTAATGGCTGGATTCCGTCCCTTGCCGCCTAGGTTAATCCGTATTTTAATAATTCGGCCATTTTCTTTCTTAAATAAAGCAACCGAAGTTCGCGCATCCGAGCAATCTAAAGGCGGAATGAAGTACGAACTTTTACTGGCGGATCCGACTTCCAACTGTCCCACGCAACGGCCACCTTCTCCGCCTAAAACTAACTTATCCGTTGAAGATATTCAAAATAAACTGAAGGCAGCCGAAGAGAGAAGACTGGTTTGTACAAATTATACAATTTTCGTCTTTTCTTTCGTTTCGACCGGTAATTCTAACGGAAAAGTCTCTCCGCCTTTAGTCCATCGAGGCTCAAAAACTCAGTCAGCTAATCGAGAAACGTAGCCGATTGAACGAAGTGAATCAAAAGAAACAAGAATATAATAATAACTTCATGCAGACTGCTCGAGAGATTTTGGAACAGAAGACCGAAGCTTATAAAGAGAATAGAGAAGCTCACTTGAAATCCATTCAAGAGAAATTGAGAGAACACGTGAGTCATTCCGGCATTTTTTAAAATTTAAATTATAAATATTCGATCGATACGCGAAGGATGGATTTAATAGGTTGCGCCTGGCGCAGTAAACCAAACCGCGCAATTAATGTATATATAGAATGGATTAAAGGTGAGTCGATTAGGAATGGGGGCGCGAAGAATTTTCAATTTTCTTTTTATGTTTTGTTGACTCGTTTAATCTGATGTTTTAAGGATTTGCACGTTAACGAAGTACGCAAACTCTTGGACGATCACGCGCAAGATATTTTGCAAACGATCGAGAAAAAACTGGAAAATGCCACGGAAGCGAGATTAAATCAGCTTAACGCTTTGCAAGAGAAATTACGTGAACACGTGGGTTTTGCAATAATTCTAATTCTTTTCTGTTTATTTTCTGTTTATTTTTTGTTATTTATGCACGCAATGTGTGGGTTTTGTTTGAAAAGGATAAGCACATAGCCGATGTTAAAAAGCAATTCGAAGAGCAGGTAGATAATTTAAGGGAGCGCATGAATAAAAAGTTAGAAGCCGCTCGAGAGAAACGGGACGTTATCACCAAGGAACTTCAGGAAAAATTGCAGGATCACGTAAGTAATGGAAAGAATTTAGACTGTAAGATCAAAATGAACTTTTACTTTGTCCGAAGCAAAATGATGTCTGGAATAAGGTAAGACAAATGTCCTCGACCACACTTAATTTCCATATGGCGCCAATCTAAAATTTTCAATGACCACCGGTCGCTCTCCTCTAAATTCTTATAGTTATTGCGCTATTGATTTTTATTTTCTCTTTATTCCGAAATACCTGTATCAAACTATTAAAAAATATCGCTGAGCTCATGGAAATTTTTATCACTCGGTTACGTACATCAGAGGAAGCACGTTCTTCAAGTTCGTCAGCTCAATGAATTGAACGAAAAGGACACCGGAGATAAACTGGAACGTATCTGCAGAAAATTGGATGAAGCCGAAACCAAGAGGCTTATTCAACTACAAGCTCTTCAGGAGAGGCTACAGGAACACGTAAGATAAATCAATTATATATTGGGCTAAGCTTTATTCCTGGCTTTCCCTGTTTTATCGGCATTCTCCTTCTATCTGTAGAAAACACGCGTGTCTGTAAGCTACCTATATTCTCGATTAACTTGTCTTTTTGGAGAAAGTATTGAATGGAAACTTTGGATTTGCCTACGTTTCTGCATGCTTAATTTACTTTATGTAATTACTTAAATATTTACGAATATTTTAATAAGTTATTTGCACACGTAGGAACGTCATATTGAAGAAGTTCGTCAACAGAAGGCGCAATACGCCGTTGCAGTAACCAATACCTCTGGTTAGAAGATTGTGGCACCGTTCGTTTGTCACCGAAGGAGAATATGCAGCCCTGCCCTAGGACTTGGCTTTATCGTTTACACCCTGGCACTTGATTTTATCAATTTAGTGTTTAGAATATCTGTGCCCTCCGCCCCAATGTTATTATGGTTACTACTTCATTTGTGTGTGTGGATAAAGTTCTTCAAAACTGCTGTATCTTCTATGTGATAATGGTGAATGTTTACTCAGATGGATATAGAAATTCTTTCATCTGTGGTACAATGTCAATTGTGTATATCTTGTCAAAGCACTATCCCGTTGAATGCTATCGAGAGTGGCAAAAAAGAGTGTTTTTCTGCTGACTTGCATGATCAGTAATCCTCAAGCTCGATTAGAATTAAGAATTGAAGAATTTTATAACAATATCATCAAAGGTTTCGAGTCAGTGTTATTAGGGCCTTCTATGTGCTAACGTTGTCGTCTTTCCGACAATGTTGCGAGCTAAGAAATCTATTTACCCCTATGTTGGTTTTTGTCTTAATCCTTCTTTTCTACATCCGTATCGAAAGATTAAAAATACGAGACAAATTTAGAATATCTTTAGGCCTTGTACATTAATTGATTTATGCACAATATGCAATCTTTTGTACATTACGATTCAGCTTTCGGCCTGATGTCACAAGTGCCCAAGTAAAAATTTCTTTTGTAAAATGACTAATGGACCAATGATTGCAAGAACGATAAATGTAACGATCGATGGTTTGCCTTAAAAGATCATGCGTAACACAGGGATGCGGAGTTTCATTTGTCTGTTGCTGTTGAACGAATATCATGCTCAGAGGTTATTGCTACTTGATATTTTTCTACAACTGTTAATTTCAAAAATAATAAGAAGGGTTGTATGCTATTATAATGTACTATTATAATGATGTTCAACTTAGTTTTATGCGAATAAGAGCAAAGGTAAAAAATTGGTGAAAAATAGTGTTTTATGTATGTACGATTAAACATTAGTAGCTAAACCGGCTATATCAATCTCAATATTATATGAATCTTGGAAATTAAAACTTTTGGCTTATTAACTAGGACTGTAGTGTAACCTATGAATAGTGATGATAATGTCAGTGCTTTTTGCATCTTCCCTATGTAGTGGATTTTCCCAATGCATTCATTAAATGTCCTTTCTCGGGCACTGCAAATTGATATTATGTGTTTGTCCTTACTTTTTACCTACTCGTTTAAAGGTTAAATCCATTTAATTAGCGGTATATATTTATAGTTTAAGACGGACGATAGGGAGGGTTCTATCGATCGTGGCCTAATTCAATTCCCCCGGGGAAAACAGTTGTAATAACCACGCCACCGGCATCAATTACAAATTTGGATCGATGCCGTTTAATTCGAAGGAGTCGATCGATAAACCGTTATTCAAACGTTTCGAACAATGCCCTTCCATTAAAATAAATACAATTTTCAACTTGTTAGTCGGCACGGAAAAATAAACAATTTAAATACACAGAAATTACAATTGTCTGTCGGTCTTCTTCACTTAATTTAAATATTTAACAGATTGCCAATGTTTAGGTTCCTTCTCCACCCATCGAAATTCGGTAACGTAAGAAACTACTTTGGAAAATTAGAGTTTTATAGTCAAAGAAATTTCGTTTTCTTTATTTTTATGGATATCGACGTCATAAATGAAAGAAATTTCTTCTTTACTCGGTTCACCCGCAGTTGCAACGCTCCCACTTTCTTACATTCACTTATACGAACATAAAAATTCTTCTACTCATTTTGTATTATTCGTAAGACTGCCGCCTCCAAACACGGCAGTTTTTTAAACAAAAATGCGCAAAATAACCACCTAATTTTTTACGTTCGGTATATAAATTTATCTACAAAATATACTTTCATTTATTCTTAACGAGCGTAATGCTCGAATTATAAAACTAAACTCGACTCGGTAAATAACGTTCCGTCCGTAATTTAATGCGTAGAAGGTTGGTGGTAATTAGAAAAAGGGACGGCGTCCCAAAAGTCGGCTAACCATTATAGAGTTTAAATTATACTTAACCGCGGTATAGAATAGAATCGTACGTAACGTTTAAAAGTTCTAGACTGGCTTTACCGCGCGTAATGGCCATTTTGCCCGCAACACTCTATTCTAAAGAGTAGTTTGTGTTTAAACTACAATTACGACGATTGCGCTATTCTTTCAAACCCAGGCTGACCGAAAGTCGGTTAACGGGTATTAATCGATATAAAATTTTAAAGAATTTGCAAATCTAAATGACCGAAACGGCAAAATTTCGTGGCGCAAACATTTTTAGATTTTAAATTTAGATAAAATATTTACGCAGTTTATTATGTTTTTATGGCTTTATAATTTTTAAAAATAGAAAGAAATTTACTTTTCACAACGAATAAAGAAGCCGAGAGGGATTCTATTCGACGGGATAACATTAAATATAGGAAGAAATATAGACTATATATACATCAGGCCAGTCGATTATTACTTTAATTAATGGATTTATAAACGAAATAATTTTAATTTACTTTATTTCGTTAACTAATTTAAATGGTTTTTTATATTTTTTAATAAAATTTAACGTCCGTTGGAGGACGCTACGGCTTAGGTTAATACGTCCAGCTTAATTTCTCGGGATATATTTTTAGAAAAAATAAAAGAATAATTTTTATCTGTTTTAAAAGATTAAAAACATTTCGGAGTAAGGCTTTTTATTCGGAAAAATGTAAAAAGTAAATCTTCTTGGGCTTTGCCGGTATTTTTGGTATTACGCCACCGAAAGAAAATTTCTTTTTTACTTTCTACTTTATAGTTATAAATATAACTAAATAACACCGAACGATGGAAATGGCTGGCGTATGTCGTTCTTCGACCGTCTGTTAAATTCGACGTAGCGAGTGACGGAAGGGGGCAGCTAGCCACCCGCAAAACTGCCGACCGGGCGGTTAATAAGTCTTTTACGTATATTTTCTTAAATATTAAAGCTATTCGGCGGGATAATCGTATTCTTCGTCGTAGCGCCGTCCGTTTCACATTTTATTTACAAATTTTAATTATTCGCCGCTTTTTCGCTAATTGTTATAAACGTTGGCCAACCGTTAAAAAGTATTACGGTCGCCAGCCATTGGCGCCACCGGACGGGAAATTGGCGACTTTTTACCCGGACGGAGTAAGTTAATAAAAACTTAAAAAACTCTTTTATCCGCCGCGCCCGTCCTGGTTACGTACGTCGTTGCGCGCGTTTATACGACGTTTATCGGGTTTGGGGCCACCCGCCGAAACCTGGTTAAAATTCGCCGTCGTCAGAGTTTTAGTCTTCCGTTTTAATTACGAGTGGACGAAATTTGATTAGCGACAATCTTTTTATTTACTTGCGAAACACATTTATACTTATATTTTATAAAAATACGCTATCGATACACGTTCTTATAAAACTGTTTTTTATAGCGTAAAAGACCGTAAAATTGAAACGCTTCGGGGATGGGAATTATCGTTTCGTAAGGCTGGTCGGGCGGCAATTGGAAAAACTGGTAGACCTATAAGTTCTGGCTATCGTCCGTCCGTCCTTCCTTAATCTCGAGAATAGAGTTAGACGCGGGCGGGAGGCCCGATTAACCGTTTACCGACTTCCGATACGAACCGGAAGCGACGTTATACGGATTCGAAAGTCCCCCCGAGGAGTTAGATAGGCGATCCGCGCCACTCTATCGCCGACGGAAAAGTACGATTATAAGGGCGCTAATTCCAGGCGGAGAGCGTATATTTTAAACGAAAACTACGATTAAAAATGGCGGCCCGGCGTCGTCACCGCGCGACAATAAATAATCGCTTATAGATACGATTTGGCGGCCAACTCGGGATATATTTTTCTTCCGATTACGAGTTCGGACTAGAAAAATTTTTAATTTTTTATTCTATCTATTAATCCGTTAACGCCACCGCGGAAGTACCCGTAACGTCGGTTGGAAGAAAAACTCGGATAGACAGACTCAAAAATTAAATTCTTTGTAAGTAGTCCGAACTTCTAATTGGAAATAATTGCTCGTTTACAATATTTTTATAAATTCCTCCTAAAGTATTTTCTACGCGGTATTTACGCCTTCTCTTCGGCCAAATACTACTTTAACCCTCTAATTTTACGGCGTTTTACGGTACAAAATGCGGTTTTAAAAGTTAGTTATTATTACGTAAAAGGAAAATTTTTGAAAAACTGTTTAATAAAGCAAATTTCTACTTATCGGAATTTTGATTTTTTATAAAAATACACGCGCCGAAGTCCACGTCGAAAGTTGTTATCGGTTAAATTTAAAGTAAATATTAACCGAATAAATGTAAACATTTACGAGATTTGATCGTGGCTTAAACGAACAAATACGATTTAAAATTTTAATTATTTATTAAAATAATAATTATTTGTGCGAATAAAGCCTTTAAAGGCACGGAAAGACGGTTTACAACCCAAAGGAAACCAAAGTCGCCTTTGGTTTTTACCCTTAAAATCGTTTTATTAACGCGATAACGTTTCTTCCCAGTTTGCAGATTTAGCAAATTTTCGCAATCTTTCTATAAATATAATTAAAGGTTATAATAATATAAAGAGGTTATAAATATAATAAGTTAAAGAAATAAGCTTTATTTTCTGCATAGAATTATGGAAGAAATGGCTGGGCTTCGACTTTTCTTCGTTTTCTTTTTATTAAGTACGGCCAGGTAAGATGTTTTAAACGAAATTTATCTCTATTTTATCGTCTTTTGACCATTATCGTTAGAATTTTCTGCCAAACTTAATACGGGAAGCGGTTAGGCGTTAGTCTAATCCGCCGGCGTATCCTGGTTCTAACGCGTTAATATACTAAAATATAATCGAGCTTTCGTTGGATTAAACCAAACTTATCCGTAATTTATTGCAACTTACAAAAATTTGAGGAAAATTTGGTGAAATTTTAGTGGTAAAGCTACGAATTTCCAGTAAGAAATTTCGTACGTAACCAGCCAGCCGATGGCGTAGTTCGTTTGGCGTAAAAAACAAATTACGCCGCAGGCCGGTCACTCCGACGCGCCCGATTAAAAAATTCGGGAATTTTTAATCGAATAACTTGGAATCTTCGTTTCGATGGGCGCGCCGCTCCGTTAAAACTAGGCGTAACGTCTTCTATGCCAAGAATTCGTAATATTTTTGAATTCGACCATTCTCCATCCTCCGCCGTAACGGCCAGTTATAAAATAGTCCGTAATACGCGGGCGCCGGCGTTTTAAGCGTTGGAATCGTTTTATAAAGTTAAAATGAAAGTGGCTTTTGCCTCTACCGGCGGGCTATACAGAATATTACTGGAAAAGTTTAAATATTTCCAATAAAGGAACGTATACGACGGTGACTATAGTTTAAAATACAAAACCTAATACGGCATCCGATAAAACGCGTCGGCTTTTCGTACATCGTACAGTACCTCCTACGGATTTTAATCTCGTACCACGCTATAATAATTAGGAGTAGAAACGAGTAGACGCTTTTTATATCCGCTCGAAACGAGTAGACGCTTTTTATATCCGCTCGAAACCCGACAATGGCGAATTTTTCGTACCCAGATATATGTATATATACAGAATATTTATTACCAATTAAGTTCTAGAAGTAAAATAATAATAATTATTATTCTACCGAATTAAATAGTCTATTAATTATTTCGTTGGAAATTTAGCTGCCTTCCCGTCAACTTCGGTTTCGGTCAGAACTGGGAACAGAGCGAAAAAGAGAATAAGCAATACCAAAGGTAAACGTCGTCATTATTATTATTATTTATAGAAAATTTTAAACCGAAACATCTTTTGTAATTTAGAATGCCGTTACCCGCAAACTTTAATCCCATTCAAGGGAAATCGTCGAACGTTCCGTCGCACCCGGAGATATACAACGAATATTCCGAACACCTGTTCCGCGAATATCTAGAACAAGAAAAGAGAGTTCTAGAGACCAGGTTAAATCTTATTTATTCGTTATTTACTAAAGTGCCTTATTTTAAAGTACGTTTTCCTAAAGTATTTTATCCCGAAGTACCTTATTCCAAACCCGTCCCGTTCCCCACCGGCTCCGTCTATACTCCTTACGCCCATCGAAACAACATCGTAAGCGACAAGAGTAGCGGAAAGAATCTCTACTTCGTGCTCAACATGACTGGCTTCGCGGATAACGAAATATCGTACGACGTCAAAGAAAGCAGAATTATAGTAAGTTTACTCGATATTACGCTCGGTAAAAATTAATTGTAATATTTAATTCCTTTTCCCGTCTATAAGGTACAAGCTACGCACGAAGACCAATTCTATACGCGAGAATTGATATGGACCTTCCTCTTGCCCATGGGTACGGATGCGGACACCATTCAGTTCAACTTCGACGGTTATTATTTGACCATCTCGGGAATTTTGCCGCAAGACGTCAGTCTGTTCTCGGCTTCTCAGACTTTCCAGCATAACCTCAGGCACAAATTCTTCTACCAACAGTCAAATAATCTTCCGTATTTTCAAGGAAAGAGTTCGGGTGATTGACAACGTGTATATCCTATTGGAAATAGCGCTGTATGTATATATATCCCCCGCAACCGCTGATTTTCGAAATAAATATGTCTGGTAAACTTAATCGCGCCTACGTATCGTATTAAACGCCAACGTTTCTTGGCGCCACGGTGGAAAAGCGGTGGCGGGTTTGCGCCCGGCCGGGTGGAATTTTTCGGATTTCTTCACGCGCGCAGTTTCCGTAAAAGTTGCGCCGAGAGGCATCCCGACAAACTAAACCAAAAACACATTTCGATTTTATCCACATTCCGTATTATCCTATTCGAGCTTTTAATTTTAAATCCGACGCGCGTCGAGTTATTCGGGGGTTACCCCCGATGGAAACGGACGAAGACCCCGGCGGTTAATTTACCCTCGGCGCCGAAGATGGCGGCGGTGGCCGATTGGGTCGGTGCTTCCGATGGCCATCTCGTTGGCGCACGCGCGTACGCGAACGAAACGCCGACCGTGGACAATAACCAAAACGCGTCTATATTTAAACTTCTTTTTATATCTAAAACATTTCTAAAACGTAAATTTGCTACTTACCTTTTCCCGCGTTTTGGGCTTCGTTTCCCGCTTTTGGACCGGAGACGAAAATAAAAAAGTCACCTTACTACCCGAAAACCGCGGATAACCGGACGTACGCGGGCGGTTCGAACGGGATTTGACCGCAGCGCCAGTATAAGTTTACGGGAAACTGTAGCGTCTCTTCGGCGTACGACGTCACCTAGGTTGCCAAGGGCCAATGGCTAACCTCCGGGAGGTCCGTCGGGAGCGCCAACGGTCCAACGTCGCTTAGCGGAAAACTAAAACGGCGTGGCCAAAGGCGAGTTTTAACCGACGGATAAACGGTCAAAACAATTGGCCAAATTTTCCTACTCGTTAACTCGAAAAAAACAAAATTGTACCAACTTGAAAAAAAAAACACCAACGCCATTGGGAAAGATAACGACGCTACCGAACTCGAAATTTACATAATTCCTCGTATTTTCCCGGCGCAAACTTTTGAAGAAAATTTGCGTACGAAACCGTAGACGTCGCCGGTGGCGCCGACGTCTACGCTTCGCTTCTAAACGCGCGTGCCGCCGTCTCGGATGCTAGGGTAAATCTAACCGCATTTATTACGAAGCCGAGACTAACAAAACGAACCGAAAGGCGAAAAATAAAGTTAGAACACAATTACGGTAGAGCGTCGAATATCCGAATCGACCGGGGTCGTTCGGATAACCGATTAGGCACGAAAAAATATATTAATCCGTCCCGCGTCGAAATTAGTTGGAATCCCGGCGCGTCCTCCAGCACCCTTTGGCGGTGGCGCCGCGCTAGCAAAAATTTAAATTGGCTTTCGGTCGATCGACGCTCTATCCTACCGTCTATTTCCGACTAAAATGATTTAACTTTATTTTGTCGGTATTAACCGAGGGATTTACGCGCGCGCTTCGCCCTACTCGCGCCAAAGTTTATCTAATCGTTTATCCGTAAGCCATGGCCCGAAATGAAATTTTTCCGGTTAATTCTCGACAGCCACGCCAATTGCCCGGGTGGCGAGAGCTCCTCGGTTCGGAGTCCCTTACCGCAAATATTGCCGGAAATTTTTAAAATTTCGTTCCTTCGTTCCCCGTTCCTTCGTTCTCCGGCCGACTAGTATTACGCCCGATTCGCCACCAATAAACCGCGCCAGAAATCCGGCCGAAGCGCGCGTAACCGCGAATAAAAGTCGGCGCCGGTGGCGTCGACTCGTAACCCCTGTACGGAATATTAATTTTGGGGGTAGATATCGACCGTCCTTCGGGACTTTTCTGTTTACTCGTAAGAATAAATAAATAGACGAGTAAAACGGCCGGGCCGTATTTGAGACCGGACTGGCTACTAAGCGGAATCGCTTGGACGCTCCAGGCGGGTCTGGATCTCCGGCCGGTTTTGGGCGCCATCTTTCGGCCAAATTAACCTATCCAATTTCGAAATTTCTCTCCGTGGCGGGTCGAATTTTTGTCCGCGCCCAACGAAAATTTCCCGTTTTTGAAAAAAATAATCCGAAATTAATTTTTTATTTTGCACGAACAAGATATATGAAAAATTGGACCCGGGGCGACCCGCGACGGAGAGAAATTTCGAAATTGGCTAGGTTATACTGTAATTTTATATTAAAAGTAACTCCCGAAGCGTAGTTTGTTTTCTTTTTTCATTTATTAACATACAGTATATGAGAAGAAAAGAAACTACGCTTCGGGAGTTACTTTTAATATAAAATTATAACGACTGGCGCCGTCTGCTTTGAAAAACCAGACGTCGGGAATAACGCGGACGGGTAAATGGCTTTCTTCCAAGATTCGATTTCTCGTTTCCCACTTCCCAACCGGAACGCGTGCGCCAATCTCGCGCTACTGCCCGTTTGTAGACGGTGTGTAGACGTTATTTTAGCTGGTTTCTTAAAAAACGAATAAAGTTGTCCCTCGATAGTCCGACGCACCTCCCGTCCGGGTCGCCGTAGTCCTCGTCCCGTTACGCGTCCCGTACCTGTCGGATTATCGAGGGACAGCCGTATTTTAAATTTATGGGTAGTAGATCGACAGAAAAGAATGGTGTTTTTTATAAAGAAAAGAAAGAAAATCTTATATTTTGTCTATTATTCGTCTCTTATTTTGTCGCCCAGTCGACGGTGTCCCCGGTCGTCTAATACGGGTCCTAGGGACGGCCGGAGGGGACGATGGACTCCGACAAAGTACCAGCGATACGACGTTTTCCGTTTACTTCCTTTACTTTAACCGAGCTACTGCGGGGACCCAATATATAATTTTCCTCGGACGTCCGTTATCCTCCGAACGGAGCCGCGGGGTCTCGGGCCCGGCCCCCGAAACGTATTCCCGTTCCGTGCCGATATTACTAATTAATACGACATATAACGATAGCGCCAATCAGATAGAAGTATACGATTAATAACCAACGGAAAATTGCCTTTATTTACAAGCGTCCGTGTTCTAAATTAAACGCTGGCAAACATTTAGTCGATACAATTTTGAAAAAGTTTTTCTCTTTTATTGTCTATTACCCACGTAAGAACAATCGACGTAGTCTTCGACGATATCGGAAATTTGACGTCCGTCGGGAGTCGAACACCAACATATTCCGAAGGTATCCCAACATTGTTTGGATTTGTACGTTCCGTCTCGGTTGCATCGTGGTACGAATCTCCCTATTGCTGAAAAGAAAACCAACGCCACCGGGTTAGTGTGACAATCGGAATTTTATCGCTTAATTGGCGTCAGAAATATATCTAGTTTTTTACAAAAAAAGGAAGACGAAGTCGTCACTGTTCCGTCGAAATTAACTTCCTTTCCCCAGACCCAACTAACCGTCCGGATATCTACCCCCGTGCCTCCGTTTACGGACGAAAATCCTTTAACGCTATTGGTCGGCGATTACGATAAAACGGGCCGTTTCCCGTCGTTCGGGACAGTCGGCCCCATTTCCCGCGTAAGCGTTTCTTACCTACCGGATTCCCTGGTTAGTACGAACGTTAATGGCGTAGCCATCGTTCGTACCGTAACGGTACTTACATTCGGGTCTGGAAGCGTCGTCTCTCTCTCTGTGGCATTCGCAATCCACTACGTTAGCGAAGGAATGGGACAGAGGTCTTCCGTCCCGGCTCCAACATTGACACCGTTCCTTATCGCCGTACAGACATTGGCGTTGGTTGTAATCTCCGTCGGCGTCGCATTCCGGAATTAGTCGCGGAAAAGGGTTTTTCAGAGCTTCTTCTCTCAGTATCAAACAAGGGACGACCCGCGATGGAGCCGGAGCGTTAGCTACTTGTAAACCTATTCGAAAATAATAAACGCTTACTTAATTATTGCCATAATTAAATTTCTATTAATCTAAATCGGCGTTTTTAGTTCTTAACCGACAATTTTCTATTAACGTGGCGTAACGCCGCCACCACGTACGGTTTAGGCCCACTAACGCCCGAACGGAGGAAATCTCCCAACNGCATTGGCAATTCTCTTTTAATAATGTTTTCTTTTTCATTATACTATCTCGAGCCAAAACTTTTTAAAAATAAATTTTTAATATCGCAATAACATTCCGAATCGCTAGCCACGATATAAGGGCTAAAATTAAAAATAAAATTATAAAAACTTACTCGGTGAAATAAAATGTGTGGTGGATACACATACCTGGTACAAAACATTCAATTGTACAAATATACTTTTAAAGAAAATTATAATTAATTATAGCTTTGCAATGAAACGTACATAAAAATAACATAAAATATTCTTTACTGTTTAAACCTTAACCACTTAGTCAAATATCTCCCTACGAGTGGAATTAGAGATGGTCCTGCTAGGTGTGCGGTGTGTACATGCAAGTGGGCTGCCAAACCCTGAGAATGCCGATACTGGTCAATTTCAAATGCCTCTTTTGTCGCATCACTGATATACCTCAAAAGACATGACAGGGTTCTTGTAAATTTTAAATATTTCTCACCGTAGCTGTAAAAGTCTAAATACGTTAAACTTAATAGATTGTCCATCATTTGTTTTCTAACTAATTCGTTTTAGGACCAGGTGTTGTCCACAGAAATTTCCAAAATTTACAACTTTTCGGTCACTCTCATTGAACTGGAAAAACGTCTGTCTTTATTACGTCTAATATTTCAAAGAAATCAGTCCCACTGTACTTGGCTAGAGATTGGTTCGGTTAGGCTTTTGTTTAAGTAAAATTTTGGCTCTTTCGTCAGGGTTTTGTTTATGTCCCCAATTCCCTAATCTCTTAATTATTTAACTACTTCTTAAGTAGAAATAATTCGAAACCAGTTACTTTGTACTCGAATATTTGTAGTCTTGGGAAAAAGTGGAAAGACAAATTTTTATGTCAAATGGATATATAAATTGTAAATTTAAGGGAAATAAATTCTAGAGCTTTTTCTGTACCTCGTGCGTCTCTCTCATTCATTAAATTTAGTTGTAAATTATGCTACCAAACTAACGGTTAATTTTTTAACATTGTACAAGAATTGTACACATTTTTTTCTACAATCCCCTTAGAGATGGGACATATGAAATCGTAATATCACTGGTTTAACATTGAAATCCGTGAGTAATATAAATTCGGAGAGCGGAATAAAAATATCAAATATTTTAATGGATTTTTTAAACTCCTGTCAACTATACAGAACTATCATAAAAACATACAGGAAAATTCTTATCGGTCGGGTTAAATTATAAATCTACTCGCGATTCACATAATTGGGCGAGGGCGGCCAAATATCTAGCGGGTGGGTGGCTAACAGCCTGGAACCGGTCCCGGATAGAATTGGATGCGTTATACGTGTAGCAGCCACACAAGGTCCTAGGCTTCCACCGGCTAAACCAGGTGCGGTTGGTGCTCTGTAAAGCACATGTGTGAATCTGGCTTTTTGGATGCTGACAATACAGTGTTTCCACTCCGCTACTCCACCACTAATATTTGAATATACTATAGCAATCTTTTTTTTTTTCACGTGTAGTATAGAAATTTGTAATAAGATACATAATGCGGTTATAATAAAATATTGTGTGATTATTTTCATATAATTAAAATTACTATATTTATTTTTTAGAAAATACAAGGAAAGCNACAAAAATTTTGCTATTTTATAATAAAATATATAACCAACTTAATTTTGAGGGTAGAGACGAGATTTATAAAGATTTGTAAATCTTCGCTAAGTTAAGCCCAACCCCGCGCCAAACCGCCCTCTATCGCGTAGCCAAAATTTAATAGCCGGGCAAATTTTCGTCCCTCCCCGAGATACGAAAAGAAATGGAGGCGCAATTTTTTTCTTTTTTTGGGTTGGGGGATTCGACGCGCTTCCCTTACCGCGGCGTTTTTCGACCCGTGGGTGGCGGGCAGAAGAAAAAGAGAAGCGCCGGTAGGTCCTACACTACATTAAAAAAAGGACAATTTCGGCGAGAATCACGGCCCACCCAGAAAACGATAGCGGAAAAAGTGTTGGGCCGATTAGCCAAAGGAAATAAAAATTAAATAAGTATAAGCGGAAAATTCAGATCATAAAAAAAAAAATGGTCGACAGTTCCCCGCGCGTAATGTTATAATTAAAGGAAGTTTCGTACTCTACGCCTGTTAAGTTATTGTCGATTCTTCCGAAATTTTCATTTTAATCGACAATAATTTGTCTGGACGGAAAGAAAATTAAATACGTAGTTTTTAAAATGGCCGATATAGTTTTAATACGGCCCCGGGGGCGGCCAGAATTTTTTAACTGGTAAAGGGGTGACGTATTCGAGAAGGTGGAAAAACGCTGTAGTATGTATACGCCGCTAAAGCCACCGCCCGGCATTTTCGTCTTCGTATAAAATTAATTTTCATTTTATATTTTTAAGCCGATAATTTAATTTATTAACCATGGAATTTGGTAACGTTCTCGATAGATTACGGCCGCGTATTTTTCATTCGCGCGCAGAAAAACACCGAATTATATTATTTGAAGCGAATCGTACGGATAATTGCTAAAGTAAAATGTTTACCGACGAGTAGCGGCGAAAATAAGAGTGGTGGTCGGGTTAAATCGAGGAATACGACGAAAGCCATTCCCGTACGGAAATTCTTTTTACATTTAAAGCGTATGGGAAAGCGGATTTTGAAGAAAACGTAGGCCTTTAATGCCATAAACTGTCGGGTTAATTTATTTAACTGGTAAAATTTACATAAACACCGAGTAATGCGTCTAATGACAAACGATGGTAAAGGTGGTGGGTTCTCCCAGTCTTTTGCCGTCCGAATCCACGCACCAACACATTCCCGTATCTCCGAAACACTGTTTCGGCGCGTAATTTCCGTTTTCTTCGCATCGTGGCACGAAAACGTTTTTCTCTGTAAAATAAATTACGACAATGAAACGACACTCTTGGCGCCAATTGTCACGAAAAGTTCGACTTACGTTTTCTCCGCGAAGCCTTTATTTTGTGTACGATGCATTTACAGTTGACTATATTCTGCCGAAAGCCGGCGATAATCGATCCGTCCTTATCCCAACATTGGCACATGCTCCTGTGGGCCGAATGACATTGAAGTTCCTTATAATCTCCGTTTTCGTCGCATTCCGGGACAATTTTCGAGCCCGGGGTTTTCCGTGTCCGCTCTCTATGGTCTAAGCACGTGCTTTTGACTGGGGCGCGTTCCACCCGTCCTCTTAATTTGGCTAAGTAATAAAATTGTGGATTGAAGGATGTACATTGTTTATAAAATATAATTACGTTTCGTTCTAAACTTACCTTCCGGTTGCGAAGCCACCGCGATAATCAATATCTGAAACGTAAGTAGAAATGTAAATAATATTTAATATATTGCCGAGATTATAGACCGAACAAACGAGGTATCGAGGGACGGAATGTAAAGAATTGAGCAGTACGCTCTTATCGGTTTGATTTATTTTGCTTACGGCAATCCGCCGACAGGCTCGTATTCAGACCTTACTAATGCCGAGGAAAACCCATAAACTCCACGTGGCCGTCCCGCTTCCACCACCCACTATCGGAACTCGGTGAGTTTACCCATTGGGCCACCCATGGCCTTTTATATTACAAAGGTACAGTCCATTACGAGAGGCCCGACCGTCCGCGGGAGGGTTATTTCCAGCTTATTCCGCGGAGTCGTAAAACATTTCCGTCCGTCTCGTTAGTGGAAATCGTGAGATTCGAATTGTCGTCAACAGAATTTAATGTTTGGAAGAAACTCGGAAACTAACCTGCAAACCGCCTGGTTTCGTTTCCACTCTGTTCAACAAATGCCCGCTAGCATTTATTTCTGCCAGATCTTTTCCCTTTTCCTCGAGAATGAAGCGATCCTGTTTAGTCAAAATGACGTCTACCAATTTTCGGTCGGCATTCCTTTCCGCCCTGCCAATGAAATTAAACACTCGGATGACCGTTCGACGGATAAGGACGATTCTTACTCACCTCACTCGTAAGGCCAAGAAACAACAAGCTGCGAGAACGACAAGAAAGGAAGACATCGTTTATCGGTTGTTAAGCGCGTGCCAGACGAATATTCAATTTATACTTTTAGATAAACGATTATAACTGCGTATTATTTTTAAATATGCAGATTCGCTAAAAATATTTTATTAAAGCAAATTCAGCAGCCAGTAGACGAGTCACATTTAACATTTATAAGCGCTTATTTTGTCCCGATAATTGATTAAATCTCGATAAAATATACACAGAGAGACGTATTTACGTAGGAAGATACGGAGGAAGGATTTACGTAAATTTTACAGGATAGTTTCGTCCCGGTATGTCGGTTCTGTTCCTCGCCACTCGACAGTTCCCATTGTAGGCCTAGCCAAATCCACGTCGGGCATATAAATGGTACCCACGTGGCAGTTAAACGTGTACGGTATTGGGCTCTTTCAACATTAAAAGAGCCTTAATTGCGTACCAATCTCTTTCCGCCCCGTGGGCATTAAGAGGGCCTCTTTTAAGCGGGCCCGCAATGGGGCGACCGGGTGGCGAGGGACGTGGCCCGACTTATCCGAACGGACCCGCCCGGATTCGATACCGGCACTCCAGAACGGTAGGCCGCCACCTCGACCACTCGGCAATCCGGCCGTCAAAAGTAGACGAGGACGGGATTCGAACCCGCGCTCCGCTAGGCCTAAAACGGAAGCGGTCGTGCCGAGGGAGGGGGCCCGGACGAGATGGCCGTAGAAAAATTGGTTGGGAGTCGCCCACCAGGATTTGATTGCGAGTCTCCTTCGACTGGCTATTTAAACAGCCTCCGACCAAGATTATAAAAATTCATATTTCGTGTAATTAGTTTAATGTTCAGGGATTATTATAGCAGAGACAAGAATACGGTCGATCTTGTTCGTACAAAAATTTAAAAATATTTATTTACGAGAAAGATTCAGTAATCGGATTTACGATGAGAAAGCGCGTAATTCTTCCCACGTATTGTACATCGATAAATAGGCTGCGTAAGTCTTCGTGGAAGCTTCTTTAAGTATGGATAATTCAACGTACGCATCACGGAAAGAATCTGAAGGAATTATCCGGAATGGGATGGAAAAAATTGGGCGTCGGCGTGCCGAGTACTTTATCGATGATGTGCACCACCCCGTTTTCGGCAGTCAGGTCGCATTGATGGATTCTAGCGCGTCCGAACCAGATCCATCCGGACGTTGCTCGATGCAGTGGCACCAAAGAACCTTCTAGAGTTCTCGCGTGGTCGTGTCGAAACGGAGAGTGGAATATACCCGCGCAGCATTTCATATCTGGACAAATAAAGTATTATAGCGTTAGTTTAGCATTAGTCTATCACGCGCGGCGCTTTGCACCGACCGCCATTACCGTTCAGGATGTGCCTCTTGAGGAATCGTTCGGCTCTGTTCCAATCTTCGGTTAATTCGGAAATGGGAACTTCAGAAAAACTATAAAATGCGGTGTCCGTGGGTGCAAAGAGAGTAAAGGGCCCTTCGTCTTCTCTTAATTTACGATCCAGACCCGTTCCTCGAAGTAAATGCTTCAACACCGAAAACTCTTTCGTGTCTTCGATGACGTCCATTACGCTTTGTTTAGGAGGAAGTAACACCTGTACGTAGGCAAAATTCCCAAAATTTACACCCGAGTTAAATAAAGAAATGGATGGAAGCGGTCGAAATCTACCTGATCGACTAGGTGTAACACCCCACCGCACACTCTCCTGTCGCTGGGGATCACTCGAACGCATTGAGCGGTAATGTGTGCGGGAACGTTGGAAATTGTGGAAAACTAAGAGTTTTATTAATTACATCCAGTAAAATATTTACAAAATTCATAAAAAACTTACTTCTCCGTATTGATTTATTCTAATTGTCTTGTTATTCGCGCGAGTGGGCAACTTGACGTTGTCCTTAAAGTCGCATTCGTCCTTGTCGTGCGGCACGATATGATATAAAAGAGTTTCGCGTAGCTTCTCTTTATTGTTCTTCAGTTCCTCTTTCAAAATCGGCGACATTTTCTATTTAATTAAATTCAATATTCAGTTTTTATATCTAAATAGATTAAGCAACCAATTCTTTACCTTTAGAGCTTTTCTGGTAGGGACAAAGAATGTAAAATTATCCAATTTATCCAGTTCCTCCCGAAGATCCGCCTCTTCGATGAGATCCGTAACTTCGTGCATTCCGCCACTTTTTAGCGCATCGCTCAGCGTTTGAACTGTTTCAAAATAGCACTAACATGCGATAAAATTATAAATTTTATTCCATACAAGAAAATGATTTACCTTCGTCGGGTAGCAGGATTCCATCTATAATATGGAGGACCCCGTTGGTAGCCACGATGTCTCTAGCTACAATTTGCACGCCGTCCACGTACAGTTTATCGTTTTCGTTTCGCGACAACGTTAGATAATTTTCGAGAACGTTTATAGTTCGAGCTTGAGCAGTCAAAGCGGGCGTGCAAATAACATTTGGCAAAAGGTGATGCTTCAGAATCCCTTAAAGACGAAATTAAAGTCATTTTGTGGAATATAAACGATAATGACCGTACGAAAGATTTTTGAATCAATTTAAATCCTTCTTTACATTTAGCCGTCTCTGGCTGGATGTAAAAAGGGATTTAAATAAATAAATGTAATTATATTGTGTAGAAAATCAACTTACTCGTAGAGCACGAACTACCATCCATCACCTTTTCTAGAATTTTAAGATTAGACTCGTCGTTAAATACCGAATCGGTCGGAGCAAACAGGGTGAAGTTGCCGTTGGGATGGCGTAAAGTTTGCACTAAACCAGCTCGACTAAGCACTAACGAAAAATTCACGTGAAAATTTTTATGCAAATCACCAAAGAAATGTTTATATTTTAAAAATTACTCACATCCCTTAAGAATACTAAACTGAGGATCGCTAGAAATGATACCGGCCAAAGTTCTAGTCGGTTGAGGTAATACTTTTTCCACAATATGCACCACACCGTTCTTCGCATAATTGTTAATGCTAACTACTCGAACACAATTAGTCGTTATTATCTGCCCAAAACGTAATTACTGCATTAATTTCTTTTTCCCGCGGAGCGTGGTTAGACACAAGTCCGAGTTACCTTTTCCGGCATGAAGAACATGTTGGTACGAATTCCGCTGCGCCCATTTGCCGAAGGAACGACGCGTTCGTCTACCAAGTCACCAGATTTATGGAAACCTTCGATGGCGTGGCCCGTGAGCATATTTTTAGTATCTTCTGTGGTGGTGATGGTCATTTCGCCATTGCCCTGAAAGTTCGAAAGGTCGAATGAGGATACTTTGAAAGTAACAACGGAGTAACCGTAAAGCGGCTTTAATACAGCTTATTCTTCCGTAGTAAAACCGCTTTACCGGACTGTTACGATTCTTACGTCTCGTTGCCTTTCGTAATCTTCGAAGGCCTGGTTATTTGGCACGAAAACTGTAAAATTATTGGTCCTGAATTCGTCTTCCACGCCGATGTCTGTGGTCAGTTCCAAGAAGCGCGTCAGTGCCAACGATCGAATCGTCTGTATCAAGTCTTTCAGGTCGACTAAAGTTTCCGAAACAAAGAAAATGTAATTTCCCCGGTTTAGTTTATCGCAACCGAAAACAATTACCTTCGACGCAACCCGGTTCACCGTCGTAACGTCTTTTGAAACCGTGACAACACTCGTACTTGACGTAAACGGTCTTGTTGACGTTATCATCTTGTAAACTGAAGAGTAACGTTAATATACACGTATTGATTTATTAGAAGCGTCATACGGAATGATACTGACCTCGTTTTGCAGATGTAAGAAGTTTCGGTCTCCCTACATTCCGACATGTGTTCGTAGTTGGTGTACGTTTCGTTACTCGATTTGGCAATTCGTTCCACTTCTACGTTATCTATTAACACTTCTTTCTCTTCGCATACGTTCGCACTGTAAACGCAAAGTAATTAGCCCACATCCCGCATAGGATCATTTTATCCGTAAACGTGCCCGTGTAAAAACTATCAATAAAATATAATAAATATTCAGTATATTGATGGATAACGAGCGTTCTTAGCGCGCGTAGAAAGTAGGAAATTGCGATTATTACATCACTACTTGACGTTTGCCGACGATGGGAGAGTCTTTTATGACGTAAAATTGCACCCGTCGTTTATTCTTCTCTCTAGTCGTCGCAAAACTTGCCTATATATATATATGTATGAATGGTTTAAAACATCTCGCCCGATGATATAATTAGGGGGACGTACTGTACGGTACCTCGACTTCCGACGCCCGATAACGATGGGAAAGGGAGGACAAAAAGAAGCAAATTTTTGCCGATTTAACACCTAAAACGGACCTTTTGCGCGCGTTGGTAGGAAGAAAAAAGATTTGATTGCGTAGATAAGGCGGGAAGTACTTAATCTATACGATAATGCGAAAGTTGATGGTCGAGCGCGTAAGGTAGGCGGAAGTAATGATTATGTGATTTATACAATTATTTAAGACGAGGGAGTAAAGAATTCATTTTGTACCACAGCCAGGACTACGCAGTCGAAGGGCTTATATGCCCGTGCATTTGTGTAGGCCTACACGCGCTTCAACTGTCTATAGTCACACGCACGAACTGTACTCCTTGTCTGTTGTATATATATACCCACAGTAGATAAGGAGTAGATAGTTTACGCATAAGGCAAAATGATTCGAGTATATACAGTAACGAACGTTAAACATCCAAAGCGATTATAGTAAGTAAACGGCGATTAAACAGAACGTTTCTTTTCTTGTATGGAACGATTAAGGAAAAACGTGCTCACCCTTTCCACCAAGGTCTGTCGTTAGATGCGAAAGTCCTTCCGATTCCGGTCACGTCCACAGCCTCCCAGCGAGGTCTAGAAAACGGGGGCCAAGGATTTTGGAAAGGTCTCAATGGAAACCAATCGGGCACTTTAATCGGAGACGGGAAACTTTCCCAAAAATTAGAATCGTCGAAGAAACCATCCGGACGACGAAAATGCAATTGGCGATTCCTGTTCATTCTCCAGATCCTATAAAAAGTTACCTCAGCAGCCAAATTTTTAAATAAAAAAAACCCCACGGAAACGGTAACTAACCTGTCGGCGTGATCCTCCCACACGTGGTCGGGTGTATTAAGAAGCAAATTTGGTTGCGCGGGATTAAAATAATCCAAAAATCTCCTTTTCCTGGATCCATTTACAGCGCGCGCGAATATGCAAATCAGCAAGAAAGCGGCCAAGTACTTCATCCGGTCCGTCCCAAACGCACGATACGAGGATGGAGTCGAGTCGAAGCGGCTTTTATAAGTTTGTACGACGAGCCATTGACCTCGAGGAGTCACAAATGCTGTTGCTTACGTTACACGATCACGACGAGTCTCTTCGGTCACGGTTAAGCTCGACGGGATGCGTTCAAAATAAAAATAATACTACAGTGGCGTTACGTAAGAAGTGACCTTTTAGCGCGGTAAAAAGTGAACTCTCTCGTTTGATTAAGGCTTTAAATTGGTGGAGGACCTTCGATATTCCGTAGCCATTAGTTCCATTCCAAAGCATTACTTTTCAATGGGAACTTCCTGAATGTTTTACTTGAATTATTGTAATTTTCCTCGTCGGTAGGATAATTTTATCTTCGAATCACGTGAATGCGGAACCTTGAAAATCAATAAATATCCTTTTACTTTCTTTAGAAAACCGTCTTCACATATGGAAAGTGACGTCAGAAGTTTTCATCCGATATAATTTTTGACGTCTGCGAACATCAACGAGTCGCTCAAGGTCGAGTCTAACGCGTATTCGGGACACAAAATGTTTTTTCGTCTCCGGAAAGGATTTTATAAAGTGTTAACCACTTTCCTAGGATAATTTCATGAGCCGCGCTTAATCTTCCCAACCGATAGACCGCGAGCTACACTAACCATTATTAAATATACTAGTTAAGAAAAGGTTGGTTAATTGCTGGCCTAAACCGTTACTACGAAAAATTTGTTTTCCAACCGGTAGATCGGGAGCTGTACGTTTACGTTTTTATCACTCCAGCAAAAAAGAAAGTTAATAATTTGCTGCGCTTAGAATGCAAAATTTAAGTTTTATTTATATACTTTTTGAATTAAAATTAGAAAAATAAACAAAATTTATTTGGGACGATGTTTAATTGAGCAAACTAACTGTTATTTTTTGTGTATTTTATCTGGATGGGCAGCATTTGGCTTACCGATAAATGTGGGGCTCGCGACTCACCAGTCGAGGAACCGTAATTAATTTTGAACCGCAATAATCGAAATTATTGCTGGGAAGAATCGAATGGCTTTTATTCTATTTTCAGATCATTGGCGTGAAGAATAATCACAATTCTTAAATTCACTCTCTCGTAGATTATACAGTATTCACTTTTTAAATGGTAAGTTATTTAATGGGATGCATTGTGAGACTAGCTTAGCAGTGGCTTCCCTTGTATTTTCTAAAATATAAATACACATGGCGCGATTTTAACGTATTTGGAATTAATATTTATTACAACCGCATTATGCATCTTATTACAAATTTCTACAGTACGTGTGAGAAAAAATGATAAGATTGCTATCGTATATATACGCATTGGCTTTACAGAGCACCAACCTCGCACCGCTTTTCCCTTTCGTCGAATGTCACCGCGGGACACTGTAGCTTAGGGTGGTGATTTGGTGAAGGAGAAGGGTCTGTTATATGTCATAGCTTAGGGCCACAATAAGTTTATGTATTTTGAAATGATTCCAAATGTATTTTTATTAATGAATATTTAAAAATTACTCGAATTCTGTGTTGATGGTTGTTGCAATGTTTCCCCATGCAAATCGATCCACAGTTTCTAAAGGAAAACTACAATTTTCGCATCTAAACAATACGTGACACACATTTAAATAATTTAATTTTCTTAAATTGTGAAATGAGAGTAAAATAATTCCTGCAGTTGGTCTTCGCATTCCGTAAGGACTATGAAGGTGAATTACGACTTCTTTATTGGATGACGATGGTAAAAATACTTGTGTTAAAACATTTTTAAAAATATAATTTTTATTCTGCGGGCGCTAAGATGGTCTCTATGTTCTTTGTAAATTTGACTATGCTGGCGAGATACTCAAATTATTTGTACTAGGGATGGCGTGACTACTCTCGGTTTCTATCCATTGTTAGATAGGATGGGAACAGATAGCACCATCTCCCATCCGTCTGGCGATAGTGTGTAATGTCTCTGTTATTCGGCTCACGAATGTGATGTAGAAAACATAGCATTTAAAGTAATACAAATAACAAAATATTTTATTTCAATACAAGTTTCGTAACAAATCCAATAGAAAATTAGTTTTGCTAGAAAATTGGTACCCAGTTATAAAAAATTGTAAAATTTACATGCAATTTGGAATGCGTAAACTATACAAGTGTTAAAAAGACGTTGAAATGCTTTAAGAACGACCGAGAACGACGGCCAAGAGTGCCATTCGAACGTACATTCCCGCTTCCGCCTGACGGAAATAGGCAGCGCGAGGATCTGTGTCAAATTCGGGACTGAAAACAAAGTAAAAAGATTACAATGATAACAAAATTCTATTATAACAACGGGGTATAATGTAATAATGATGTACTGTACCTGATTTCAAAAACTCGAGGTAAAGGATGCATGACGATCATTCTCTTCTTGGCCTTTGTCATTAATTCGGGAGTGACGACGAAATGACCGCAAGCCTACATATAAACAAATTTAAATATTATTTTTTCCCCCAGTTTATCGTTTAACTGAAATATCTCGTATCTCGTGTATCAATTGATTTACCAACTCGAAGCATTGGTACGCTACAGGCTGTACAAATAATATATTTGTCCATTATGAATGGGCTTAGTCTACAACACGAGTTGGAGGGAATGTGGTCCATCTTTAACGATATCCACTGGTTCAGATTTGATTAAAACCCCGTTGGACAAAACCCTTGTTTTATATCTACAAATGCCAATGCCTAGAGAAAACGTGGTGTCTTTCTCTACCATTTTACTAGTTTTGACTAAGTTATTGTCTTTAGTAAAATTATAGAAATCAGTCATATAATCACTAACTAATACACTTACAAACTGAAACTGAAACTCTAATTACAGATAGTCCAGGACTTTTGGGCGACTCAATCTTTTGTACATTATATAATTTACTTTAATATTACTTACATACTTTAATATCCTTAAATCACTTTTCGTGTGTCTGTCAAATTTGCAATTTTGTGCATTTTCAATTGGCAAATGAAAACTTCAAGCTATTGTATGGGGTGGTGCTTTCCACAAGATGAAAATAATTTGTGAAAATTATTTTTATTGTCTGTTTTAGCATTATAACACAATCTCTTCTGTTTGAAGGCATTTTTTAATGTTTCTTTCTAGCAGTCTGGGAAAATAATTCCTCATTATAATACACAATGTCATTACTTGGCTTTTGTACGTATTACGGTTGACCCCCCATAACACTGTTGATAATTCCGTATTATATGAATTCCATGTTGTACGAGTCACTTAGATTTTCCAAATACGTGTGCCGGGCTGTGAACGGCTCACGTATTTGTAAAATCTAAGTGACTCGTACAACATGGAATTCATATAACATGAAATTATCAACAGTGTTATAAGGGGGCCAACTGTACATCCAAAAGTTGGAGGTTACTACAAGCATAAAATAATAATAATAACCTTCTCTTTCTCTAACAATAAACATTAACAACATTCTTAAACTGTGTACAGACCTAAGTTCAAGAATTGTTTTAATACATTACATGGTCAGTGGATAGGTGTTCACAGACAATTCTAGAATGGCTCTTCAACTCATAGTTTTGCTCCAAGCTGCCTTGTCAAAGAGTTTATTCTTGAACACTTGACAAACTTGCAAACAAAGTGCCTCAAGCCACTCCCCAAGCATGCAAATTTTTTGGTGAAAACACCATGCTCGTATACCATGCTCTAATTTTGGTTTACACGTGGCTTTATGAGTAAGGTTGGGATTTTTGGATGCCGCACCCACTCGGTTTTTTGAAAGGGACAGAGTGTAAAAAGATAAACGACGTCGGTTTTAGTGCAGTAATCCCACTCATTGCCAAATTGTTTAGCACCGAAATCACAAACCTGTCCCAAAATGGTGACTAGCACCCAAACTATATATTTTGCACCCAGCTTCCCCCTTTTTTACATTTTCAAAGAATATGCTGACAATTATCTCTTTTTTTGGTGGTTTTTATTCATTCACTTGAGGGGAAAAAAACAAATTTGTTAAACTGGATCACATATGCTGAGAACAAAAATACAATATTTAGCTTACTCTCTTCTTTTGTTGAGAGAAAAGGGGGTAAAAAGAAATTTGCTGGACTAAATAACTAAACCTTAGGGTTGTTCTAAGAATGTAAACAGATTCACTGAGAATCTGCAACATGTGTTTTCTTTTCTAAAAAAAGAACAATCTAGAAAATTCTGTATTGAGGTCACCTTACCCCGACTTGTGAGCGCAACAGTTCCAATTTCCTTTATTCGGTGTTGCCGCCATTAGAAAATGACAAAATTGTCCACATCTAAACTAAACATTTTAACAAATAAGTTTAAAGACAAAGGTGTATGAACAGACGAAAAAGTTCTTCACTGTTCCACATGTGATTATGTGATTTTGCTTGATGTGAAACACCAAGAAACAAAAATCAAGCAACACATGAGTTTGGAAAACCATAGAGAAGGCAAAAAAAAAAAAAAAGGAGGAATTTCAAGCAGACATTTATAGGGGCCTCATTTTAAAGAGGAGAATAATCTCAGAAGGCTAATAATACATTTTATGCAGATTTAATAACCACTCTTCTGCAGGCAAATATACCCTTATATAAGAAACAATCCAGTCTTTAAGTCATTTATTTCTCCAGAAATACACGAGAAAGCTTGTCCCTGATGAGAGCACTCTTAGAAAAAACTATGTGAAACTAGTTTATGATCAAACAATATCTAAAATCCTGGACGTTGTCGGAGACAATCCTGTAGTGTACAACCAATGTTGTTCAAAATGTACCAACTTGAAAAAACAAACTCGACTACAATGTCCCAAGCTTTCAATGATGTTTGTGTCAAGTTGACACAAACATCATTGAAAGAACCAAATGGTGTCCAGTACAAAAAAATTTGGCTTGTTGTTACATATCAAGCATCTTAGATGTCAGCATTCTCAAATTTGAAGTGTATCTACAACAACCTAAAGCATGTGACCTGTCTTGCTCATGCCCTACACTGAGTTTGTGAATGTATTCGTGTAGAATATAGCAAGGCCGACGACTTCATTTTGAAAATGAAAATGGTTCTTCTCAAGTGCCCTAGTCGGGAGCACTTGTACCGTGATGTAACTGGACTGCCATTACCACTCAGTCCAGTGGTCACCTGTTGGGGGTCTTGGATAAATGGTGTGGTATTCTACTGTGAGAACTTTGAGAAAAGTAATGCATTTATCAACGAACTTCTTCCTGACGATTCTGCGGCTATCGACAGTGTCAAGAAACTGGTCGCTGATCTAGTAGTGACCACAGAGCTCTACTTCGTGCATTCATACAAGTTATTGGTGGATAAAATCAATGAGCTGGAAAGATGTGGAACTGAAATGCAGGATCAGTGAAATGTTGTAAATCAGGCACTTGATGTACTGGACGGCCTTGCCCTGGACAAACTTAAAAAATTTACCAAAAAATTCCGATTTGAAAAATATTTTGGATTGCACCAGTAGCGTGCCGTGACATTTGATGATAGGGAAGCCGTGTTTCTATAAGAAGCCGACTTCCAGGGACAACCAGTTAATTCTTTCTTTAAATGTATTTTTAATAGATTATTTATCTGACGTACTTAATAAATAAACAAGTTCAATATAATTATCTCCGTTATTAGATCCAATATATTCCATATGACCTCTAAATGCCAATTCTCGCTTTGATAAAAACATATAACATCTATTTATTTAGATATAATATATCTATTAACTGTAACTATCTTGTTATAATTTTCAATATTTATTTTATATTATTTACTAATGTTAAATTCTATTCTGCTTCGATTTCCAAATTGCTTCAAATACGAAAGAATCGACGATTTTTCGTGTCTTTTGCCAGCTAAATTGTCAAAGCCATTCTTATTCCACACACTAATTTCATTTGAAAATAGTAGGCAAGCCAACAAAACAATTTTTGCATTTTTATGCATTTACGGAGCCATTTTATCATGAAAATGGCAAACAAATTTTTTATTGAAGTGTTTATATTTAACTTAAGCATTGGCAATTCTCTTTTAATAATGTTTTCTTTTTCATTATACTATCTCGAGCCAAAACTTTTTAAAAATAAATTTTTAATATCGCAATAACATTCTGAATCGCTAGCCACGATATAAGGGCTAAAATTAAAAATAAAATTATAAAATCTTACTCGGTGAAATAAAATGTGTGGTGGATACACATACCTGGTACAAAACATTCAATTGTACAAATATACTTTTAAAGAAAATTATAATTAATTATAGCTTTGCAATGAAACGTACATAAAAATAACATAAAATATTCTTTACTGTTTAAACCTTAACCACTTAGTCAAATATCTCCCTACGAGTGGAATTAGAGATGGTCCTGCTAGGTGTGCGGTGTGTACATGCAAGTGGGCTGCCAAACCCTGAGAATGCCGATACTGGTCAATTTCAAATGCCTCTTTTGTCGCATCACTGATATACCTCAAAAGACATGACAGGGTTCTTGTAAATTTTAAATATTTCTCACCGTAGCTGTAAAAGTCTAAATACGTTAAACTTAATAGATTGTCCATCATTTGTTTTCTAACTAATTCGTTTTAGGACCAGGTGTTGTCCACAGAAATTTCCAAAATTTACAACTTTTCGGTCACTCTCATTGAACTGGAAAAACGTCTGTCTTTATTACGTCTAATATTTCAAAGAAATCAGTCCCACTGTACTTGGCTAGAGATTGGTTCGGTTAGGCTTTTGTTTAAGTAAAATTTTGGCTCTTTCGTCAGGGTTTTGTTTATGTCCCCAATTCCCTAATCTCTTAATTATTTAACTACTTCTTAAGTAGAAATAATTCGAAACCAGTTACTCTGTACTCGAATATTTGTAGTCTTGGGAAAAAGTGGAAAGACAAATTTTTATGTCAAATGGATATATAAATTGTAAATTTAAGGGAAATAAATTCTAGAGCTTTTTCTGTACCTCGTGCGTCTCTCTCATTCATTAAATTTAGTTGTAAATTATGCTACCAAACTAACGGTTAATTTTTTAACATTGTACAAGAATTGTACACATTTTTTTCTACATCCCCTTAGAGATGGGACATATGAAATCGTAATATCACTGGTTTAACATTGAAATCCGTGAGTAATATAAATTCGGAGAGCGGAATAAAAATATCAAATATTTTAATGGATTTTTTAAACTCCTGTCAACTATACAGAACTATCATAAAAACATACAGGAAAATTCTTATCGGTCGGGTTAAGTTATAAATCTACTCGCGATTCACATAATTGGGCGAGGGCGGCCAAATATCTAGCGGGTGGGTGGCTAACAGCCTGGAACCGGTCCCGGATAGAATTGGATGCGTTATACGTGTAGCAGCCACACAAGGTCCTAGGCTTCCACCGGCTAAACCAGGTGCGGTTGGTGCTCTGTAAAGCACATGTGTGAATCTGGCTTTTTGGATGCTGACAATACAGTGTTTCCACTCCGCTACTCCACCACTAATATTTGAATATACTATAGCAATCTTTTTTTTTTTCACGTGTAGTATAGAAATTTGTAATAAGATACATAATGCGGTTATAATAAAATATTGTGTGATTATTTTCATATAATTAAAATTACTATATTTATTTTTTAGAAAATACAAGGGAAGCGGCGCATCCACCGCTTTTAATGACGGCACGCCACTGGATTGCACTGAACTAGAATTCCAAGTAAAAATGAAACATGTCCCCTTAGTCTCGATTGATGTAGAAAAATCTATTTCCTTATATAAAGACATTCTATCCTCCAAATGAGAAAACTTCACTTTTAAGAACATTGAAATGATTTACTGTTGTAAATTACAATGCTCATCTTTATGTCTAAATTGCAATAAACAATTATGTAGTTTGTAAATATAATACTTCTTGTTGGTTTTTGTCTTAATAATACAGCATTTAAAAGCACCTAAAACGGAAGAAAAAAGCACCCAAATGAGCACCCAATCCATTCTAAAAATGCTCCCAAAAATCCAGACCTTATTTATGAGGTAAATTTCAAGGCACTCAGCACAAAGTTTTACAAATTTGCTTGTTTTTCATTCAGTTCAAGAGTGTTATAGTAAAAGAACAGACTTATTACTATATGTTCAGCTTAAATTTGTACAATCAATTCATTCAGATTATGCTAATTACCTTATTAAACTCGTCTAATGATGTAAATCTCTCTTTCTGGATTCTAGTCATGTATAATACATCTGTTTCTGGGATTGCAGCTTCCAACGAGAAAAATTCTTCCTATTAAGTACAAATACGTTTAAATTAATGCTAAAACTAAAAAATTAATCAAAAAATAACTTAACCTACTTGAGAAATTCCTTTTGAAGAAACATAATTTACTACATTTTCTGGCATTTTTAAATTATCAGGCGAAACATATCTCAGCTGCACCTTGTAATGGGTTAAGAGACGAGCCAGAGAATGGACTGTTCTTCCGTGTTTTAGATCTCCAACCAACGTTATCTGTAAAAGCAATTTAAAATTTGCATGATGCTCTGATGCTTCTACTTAAGAGCATAAATCAATACAATTTAAACTCTAGAAAGTATTTCATAGTTAAAAGAAAACTGCAATTATTCTTCTGTCTCATAAATTAATAATCAATAAAAAATGGTTGACTTTTAAAATCTATTTGTAAAAAAGCTTAGCAAAATCAAAACTGGCACACAAGAACTTCATAACTGCTAGAATTTGATATGACTGATTGATTACCAAGAAGGTCACACCATAGACTACATACAGTATAAGTAATTGCAATAATGATTGTTATGGATTGATGGGATCCTCCATGGGAGGAGTACTCTTCTATGGAAAACTGGTCCCTATTTAGGCATTACACAAATAAAGAAAAGCTGGAAAACTCCACATGGCTAGCCTGTTGTTTTCATGCAAATCTAGCATCAACTACCAACATTTGGCAGTTTCATTTGTCAGCCATTGGTGCACTTGCTTGTTATAAATAGATATATCCAAAACAGAATTGATCAGTACAGAGTGGGATGGGGAACAAACAGACCCAAACTGTTCAAGAGAAAGCAAAAATCTATATTGGATTTTAACTTGGGTACCTCTAAATATGACCACCCTGATAGAGTTCAATAAACTTATAAATCTGATTTATGCTAATGTTTTTTATTAAAGTTCTAAAAATTTTAAAAAAAAATAATTGACTTTAACAAAATGTTTATTTCAATAAGCATATTACCAGTAATTTAACTTCAAGGAATAATGAATCAAATAGTCTAATTTTTTTTAAAACCACTTTAATACATTACTTACAATCAGCCCGTTAACAGTTCCAATCTCTTCTCGTATTGTAAAAACATCCAAAAGTGCTTGAGTTGGATGCTCTCCTGTTCCATCGCCTGCATTAATGACTGGTTTCTGACACACATTAGCAACTTTCTGTAAATAAAAATGGAAATTTTTGGAATTAATTTGATGATTCTCTTGAGCTCAAAAAATAAAAATAATTGCAGTAATCAAATGATAAAGTCTGGTTAACTGTCAGTGAGAATATGGCTAGTTAATTAGATAGATATTACATAATTTGGACTAAAAGTAGGTGGTTGTACTACCATCTTGTATTAAATTTGATACTCAGAAATAAATAAATTGATTTAGACTATTTTGAAGAAGAAAGATCAAACCTGAGTGAGACTTGAATCTGTAACTTCTGCTTGCTGATGTGGATGCATTAGCAATTATGCTAACCGGACTTCTGTCCAATCTTTACTTCCAGACCAATTAATTTACAAGATATAATCATATTCAGGTCATCTTTTTCTCCAGAACAGTGTAAATTAATTAGGATTAACTATCAGTCTAGAACTTGGCTATCTTATCATTAAAATAATTGGGGTTTAGTTTTCTGTATGTATTTAATAATAATTTAAAGTTTTTGCAAATATGACTGAAATTAATGTAAAATGATGAAGGCATGATGTGTGTAAACAACATATAAAATTGCATAGTTAAGCCAGTACCTATCATTTTAAATTTAACAGACTCTAAACATTCAGGGTGTGTGTAAAGTCTGGAACCAAATGGAAAGTCAGGTAATGGACTCTGTGGTCACTCAACCTCGACCTGCTGGAGAAATTTCCTTTGGAAAATTTTCAAAGTGCAGATGTATGCAGTGAAAATCAGAAATCTGCATCGTCTTTGGGTTTAAGTCCTTGCATCTGGAAATATTGCATAGAATTCAGGAGAACATAGTCAAATGCTTCAGCAAAATGTAAACAATGATGGTAGACAAGTTTAACATGTTTTACATAGTGTGAGAATAGCCGGGAATACTAATTCGCTAGGAAGTTAATATCACTTAATCGGCGCTAGTTCGTGAAACTAGTTCTCTCGGTTTCGGATCTTGTGATCCGATCCTACGACAAGATTTTTGACCGGGAGGGCTTTTGTAATAGATCCGAATTGCAGGATTCGAATCTCGTCAGGATGCTGACACCAGTTAATCAAATTTGGATATGCGGATTAACACACGTGAGGGGTCTGATTCAGAGATCGAGGAGACATTATATAAACTAGTAATAAAAGGAATTTAATAAACATATATATAAGTAAACTATACAAAAATGGAGTTACAAATGAATGAGACACAATGAATTCGACTTAAAATATATATATCGAGAGAGAGAGCTCACAATTTCATATTAAAACATACAACCTGTTAGTTGTTGTTCTTTTCCTCTGTATGTGACGTATTTACTTCGCTCCTGGAGTTCTCTGCCTTCTGTTCATGGAGAGATCAATTTAACTGAGAATATTTATGTCCATGAAGTAAGCCTTTTGTATACTGTATTGCTTATAGCAGTGTTTTTCAACCTTCTTGAATACGCGACCCCTTTACAAGTTAAAAAATTCTGGCGACCCCCCTAGGGCCATATTTTTTTTTGTTTTTTTACTCTTTCCGCCCTGTGGGCACTAAGAGGGCCTCTTTTTGCAAGCCCATTATGAGTTCGGCCAGGCCCACAATGGGGTTGCCGGGTGGTGAGAGACGGGGTCCGACATATCCGAACGGACCACCCCCCGAAAGGTTCCTGGGGATTATTCGACCCGTTCGGATTCGAACCCAGGTCCCCCAGAGAGGTAGGCTGCCACCTTGACCGCTCGGCCATCCGGCCACTACCCTAGGGCCATATTAAAACTGTATCAGTGACTTTAAAAACTATGTATTTAATTTTCTTTCTGTTGAGACAAATTATTGTTGATTAAAGTGAAAATTTCACAAGAATCGACAATAACTTAACACACATAAAGTATGAAACTTCTTTTAATTATAACATTCGGCACAGGGAGCTGTTGACATTTTCTCTTTTTTTTTAGGATCAGAATTTTCAGCTTCTACATTTCTACTTTTTATTTCTTTTTTGCAAATCAGCTCGACACTTTTTCCGCTATCATTTTCTGGGGTGGGCCGTAATTCTTGCTGAAATTGTAGGTTTTTTAATGTAGTGTAAGACCTACTAACACTTGTCTTTTTCTTCTACCCGCGACCCCCCGTGTAAGGCTTCGCGACCCCCTGGGGGGTTGCGACCCACAGGTTGAAAAACACTGGCTTATAGCATAGGGCATTGGCCTTTATAAGCTTGTATGGATTTCGTCTGAATACTCTGGGATCTGTTGACGAACTCTTCCCGAATTTGACTGAACTTCGCCTATATCTTCTGACTTACGACCAATTATCATTCAAGGCTTCATCCACATGAACGGATGGGAAGGGGGAAGAAATGAGGGTTAGACAGTTCCCATCGAAGCGAGATTTTTAGCAGATAAAGGAAAAACAGAGGATGCTCATACTTCCGTCAAAGGAAGTGACTCTCCTAGCTGTTTTCCCACGCTAGAAAACGTTATTTTTCCATCAAAATAAAAGAATATTTTATGACAAAATTTTGACATCATTTTTAAATTATTAATTTAGACCCAGGGGCTATTTGGATCTCACAATAGTTATTGCTCATTAATGTTAATCTTATTTCCTTTCATTCCTTGCTCATTTTTTCCATTGGTTCTACAGGTTCTCTCCTCTACAGGTGTGATATCACACACACTACACAAAAGCCCAGGCACATTACAATTGAATAGTAACACATACATCATACTACAGAAGGCCACTATATTGAATACATGTCATATTGTTAGGAAATTCCTGAATACAGACACAGACCCTGACACACTTATTTAGTTTTAGTTTTGTTTTGGATGCTATATCTTGACTCTGGTCCGGAATAGTACACAGCCACCGATGTCAACTGAGTATAACCCACTAAACCCAACAATAATAGAGTGAATAAATGCTAAAAAACTTATCAGCTTTTTAGATAGAAGTTCAAATAGAAGTGTGTGTGTAATAATATTAATTGAAGCAGCAGTACCAAAACAAAGTCTGGACCAAATCTGCCTGTGGCACTTGTTCATCCAATTCATAAACATATTTGAACATCACTTCTAAACAACAGAAAAGTCTTAATTTTTGTACATACAAATATACAAAATTTTTGAGGGCCACCTACATACAATTTATGCACATTTGGCCCACCAACTGAAAAGTTTGTGCACCACTGGGTTACAGCACAGGCTGACCCACAGAAAAGAAATAGGAGTGAACTAACAAGTAAGAAAAAAGGCATACATATAAATGTGAGAATCCAGAGATGGAATATTTTAATTTTATTAAGAACGAGCTGTACCCAGCCACACGTTGCTGTGGCTCAAAATGTATCTATTATAAATGTATAACATTCCCCATGGGAAAATTTTGAAAAATCCCTTCTTAGTGTACATTCTCTTGACATACCCTATTAAAATGCAATCAAAAACACAAAAAACCACATCTAAAATAAAATAATGGAAGACCAGTTCTTCATGGTAAGCCTTAATTTTGTCCCTTTCCCCCGCAGGGGGATTTTGACATCTATATAATATAAAAACAAGCACATATTTGAATGCAACATTGTGTCAAACTTTCAAAGCAATAGGTTAAGAACGTTCGGAGATTTCAGATTTTGAACAAATAAACATTTACATTTTTATTTATATAGATTTGTTAAATATTAAACTGATGTCAAATTTAACACATTTCTGTGAAATTCATGGGAAGGGAAATAAACTTCCTTTGGGAGAGATGTCATCATACATCTCAAACAAACATCTGGCCACATGCGTCAGAACGAATATTCCGTCAGATGTTACCAATCCTAAAACCCAATTGGAAACGAATTTAGAATAAAAAGGAGAGAAAGCACGAGAGCAGCCGATAACATTCTATAGACTGCCGTAAAAGGAATTACCTTATAGAAGCCATACAAAGAGAGCATAGTCCTGCTCCAGCTCCTCATCATCAGTCTCCAAACTACCTATGTCTCCATCTCTATAGGAATTCGAATTGAATCTCCATTAGCCGAGAATTGCCAATTAACCTCTCCATAAGAAGAATTTTAACAAAGGACTGACTGTACAATAGTCTGACAAAAAGATCAACATTTGCCAACCAAGGTAGTATGTTTTTAATGATGTAAATTCTCTCTCTCTCTCACTTTTAAATAGGGAATTTAGAGACTATTTGTGTAGGATCACATATTTGTATTTTTATACTCATTCTTGTCATTAAATGTTGCTTTTAGTTTGTTTAATTGATCTTCTTCTTGATCTTAAATATATGCCAAAGTCTTACTGGGAATCCACAAATCCTCCCCCTTGACCAAAAATATAAAAATATTGTATCATGTGCCTAATGTGCTAATTAGGCTGGTGTCTAAATCTAAAGGAAGATCACAAGAATTTCCTGTTGACAAAATGATAATTGTACAATCCCATCCAGCGACAGAGTGGGCAGATCTTTTGAATCTGAAGCTGAACACAGGTGAGAGACAACATTCTCTTAACCCCAGATTCCCACATATAGTTCCTTGGTGGTTTTGAGAAAAATTGCAATGACAAACAATTGTTTCTGTGTGTAAAGGAGTTCAAGTTTTCTAAGAATGTTCTTGGCAATTATATATAACCATTATTAATAATAATTATTATTGTTATCTAAATATATAAAATTACTTGTCCTGACTGACTCATCATCGCCCAGAGCAAACCGTTGAACCTAAAAAAGTGAAATTTGGTACACAGTTAGGGTATGTCACGAAAACGCACACTAAGAAGAGATTTTTCGAAATTCTCCTGCGGGGGAAGAGGGAAAGGATTAAGGCTAACTCAGAAGAATGGCTTCTACTATACTATTTTAGATGCAATTTTTTATTTTTATCTTCGTTTTAGTTGGACATGCCATGGGAATGCACACTAAGAAGGAATTTTTCGAAATTCCCTCATGGGGGAGAGGGAGAGGATTAAGGCTTAACCAGAAGAACGGCTTCTACTGTACTATTTTAGATGTGATTTTTCGTTTTCAACTACGTTTAATTTTCATTGAGTACTTAGATGTATTAAATTGATAATATTTCAGACATTGTTATAAATATTTTCATATATTTCGATTTTTTAACCAAATGTTCGAACCGTTTTAAATTTGAATTTGTTATTGCATATTGGTTCGATTATAGAACGATTGTAAATGTTCCAGAAAATTTGATCAAATTCAAAACATTTCATTTGATTCTCGGCAATTCTCATCATTCTCAGCAGTAGGTGTTATATAACAATTACTATGGTTGTTGAAATACTAAATATAAATGGGGTTTGCTTGCAAAATCCTCGCGGGCAAAGCTGTGGGTAACAGCTAGTTATTAATATATCCATAAACTTACCAAAACTGCACCTGGTTCAGGATGCCTTAAAACAACAATGTCACTATAACCTGACATAACTGTAATTGTATCTGTAAAAGAAAAAAAAAATATATATATATATATATAAACATTCATATATTGATAAAGTATCATTAAGGAGTAAACCTAAGATAAGCATCCTTGGCTTACTGTTTAACAACAGATCTCTTAACTACATCTGTCTCTACTTAATGAGGAATCATATTATGGGATTTTGATTAAAGCATTGTTGCAACATATTGAAAATTCCACACGACATTCCAAATTCTTGAAGAAATATATCCATAAACTTGTGTTTTTTCATGTTTGGGGAGGTACAGAGAATGTTTTCTAAGAATTAATGGAAAACTCTTGCCATTATGATACCAAACCAGGTGTTTCCTGTTGGGATGAGACCACCTTTACATACGGTCTTTGACCGACATGACATAAAATCGTTAGAGTCCTTAGAAATTTATATAGCTGATAGGAATGGAAATTGTATCAACTCAGATTGTAGTCAAGTTCCAAAATGTGGAATTATTATTTAGAGTGCCAAAAAAGTTATTATTAATAATTTCATTTTATAACATTACACCTTGTAAAAATTGCTTTTTTTATTTATGACGTAAATGGTGTGTCACTGTCTCAACTGAAAATCTTTGTGAATGCTTAAAAATTGGAATGTGGCGATGTTCGAATGATAGAACTGTTTCTTTTGTATTTGTTTCTGATGAGGGTTGGATAAATTGGGCCAAAAACGCTTGACCAGTAAATTGTTACTTGTTGTTTGCTGAAAATTGCTTTCAGGTATTATTTATTTGAACATTACAGTTCCAGTTTATATGTGTGTCATTTTTGAATTAATGGAAATAACAGCTATCCTCAAGAAACACCTAGAGCATTAAGATCCAAAAAAGAAAACTTCATTGTGAAGAATTCTTTGTTCAAAATGCAAGAGGTTTGGTACATGATCGATGCTGAGCCGGTGGAGTCACTTGTGAGCAGCATGACTCATCCATTCACTTGAGTGTACTGTCAAGAATGGAACAATGATTAAGTGCTAATTTTCACAACTAATCATAAATGTCAAGTTTGTAGTTTATGACTGTGAACAAATTTTGTGATTTAATTGAGAAATAAACTTGTAAAGAGACATTGCATTTTTCACAATTTTTTGCCATGTACTTTAAATAATCTCTTACCTATTGTCCAAATTATGTAGGCTCACTGGTGGAATAGAACCTTCAAACACTGGCAGTTGGTTAAAGGTTTGCACCTCACAAAATGGCGGGTCACATGGAGATTTCTGAATTTTTTTAACATTTGTAACACCAAATACAGGCCAGTTTCCCATAGAGAATCCTGCCAGAATGCACCACCCACATATTGTGTTGCTGTATCCCATCAAATTAAATTAAATTATACAGTGTTTATTATATTAATTGGCCAAGTTCTAGATCAAAAGTTAATCTGGAATCATCATTTGGTTAATAATGCTAAAATAAACTCAAAAAATTTTTAACATAAACTTACATAATATACCCAATCTCCAGCAGTGAAGTGGAATATTTACAATGAACAAATGTTTTCGGTGACCTTAAGCCTCCCTAATCAGGTTCTATATTTCTTTTGAATGTAAAACAGTGTATTGTGAAGAATGTTTTAAACATTCATTCCACATTGTAAATACTTCACTTTAGTGCTGGAGTTTGGATGTATTACACAAGTTTAGTGTTTCTCCAGTTACAATAGTAGTATTTAAATTTTGACATAAATAGTATCTGTAGTACACTGGATGTTTGAAAAGCTATCTAGGGTTGATGAGACAACCGTAGCTAGTATGACGACTCTCAGCAGGAATAATTACCCTACCAGGTGTCAACTAAATAAGTGGTCAATGATTGTGTTAATGCAAATAATTTTTTTGATCAAAAAAGTTGCAAGTAGACTCTACAATATTCAATGACATGGGTTTGAGAGATGATTACTTAGCCCTTATTCACAGTAGAGAACTTAATATACACTAAAATTGATGGTTGGCTTCTAAATAGTTCTCTAGAGAGATATAGAAAGAGAAAAATTATCAGGAATCAGGAACTTTCAAGATATAAATTCAAATAGAAGTGTGTAAAATATCATTTGAAGGTCTGTAAACAAAATTTGAATTTTCAACTAAGGCCAGTATGTTGTCATATTTTGGATACATCACTTTAAGCATATAACATTACTCTTGCATACCTTTACTTATATAATGAAAATTTTATAATTTGCATTAAAACATTCAAGTGATAAAGGCATGTGCAACACTAAGATAGGAACATTAGGTAGAATTGCTCCAGAAATTCAAGAAAACTCTTCTATAAACATTTCAAAGCCTGATGTTTTTTAATAATAAGCCAAACAATTGCCATATTGAATCAAATTATTTTACTGCTACTATTAATAATTAAATTCTAAATAATTTGGTGCTAGAAGTAGGCTATGTCCTTCTGATTCATATAGAAAGTGTGTTCTATTTAAGACAATTGTAAGTTTGTAACACTGATGATGCTGTGTACACGTGTATGGCCTGAGAGTATAGCTACTGGAGGCTCATATGATGTTATGTCATGCCTTTGGAAGGTTTTACCAGAGATTCAAAGAAATTGTGATCAGAATACAAACATTTAGCTGCCTTCTCAGATTCCAATGGAGGACAAAATAAAAACTTTAATACAATAAATATTTTGGACATTTGTAACATTTTTCTATTTAGTACTTAGCCACACCTTAGAATCATATAGACATCATCATCATAAACTCAATTTTTGATTAAAACCAGACAATCTGCTATATTACTGGGCTGTAATAATCAACCTATATGATTATATCCTAAATTATTCCAGAAGCAAAAATCAGATGGAGGTCGTGTAGCTGGCAACACATTTGCATGGTATGCAGAAGTTGAGACAATTCTTTTCTTCCATAAAAAACTATAATAAATTAAATATTAATTTATTATAATTATTAAAATTATCATGAAATGGCAACTTAACTGCCTATCTCTAGACAAATTAATTCATATCTAATTATTAACTTAGCCTTATTATAGTTTGATAATTTGGCAGATTATCCCAGTGTCTTTATGGTCTCCAATTGGATTAATTTAATAAAGAAACATGAAGCCAAAAGCTTTTTCACATGCACAAAATGCCATCTGGAGATTTCGAGCATTGAGTAAATAGAAAGTTATCTCTGCAAAAGGAAAAAGGTTGATCTTCAGAACTGCAGAATGCTAAAGTTTGACAGATCAGAGCTGTTGTTATATTTTCCAAGTAACCAGTATTTTCCTGTAGATGAAAAGATAGTAAGTGTAGCAAGAAGAGGAGGCGACATCCTTTCCCAGATACTCAGATGTCCCAATGAAGTAGCCAAACAATATTCCAATTTCTATCAAAAAACATAATGACCTCTGCAAAATGCTTGATTATATTTGGCAATAGGCAAGAGAGTTTTTCTTAGTATTAAACATCAGAAAACTTAGGGAAGAAGATACTTTACTAATTAATGATATGTTCCAAAGAGCCATTGTATTTTTGACAAAAATGAAAAATAATTGCATTGTATCCCATGTGTGTCAATACAAAACATAAACCCTAATGTTTTCATACTCCAAGAGAAGTGCAAGAGTGCAAGAGAGTATGCAAACATTATATGTCTCCAAATATGTGAATATTTTCTAGAAGAATTGCTGTCATGAGAGGACCCTACAAACAAAATTTGGTATATGTATTATAATTATTGCATAAGCTATACAACAGAACACAAAATGTTACTTATACCTGTTTTATAATTAACCATCAATTAAAATAAGAAATTAGGTTTGATGTATAAAAAATAGTTGAGAAGGCATACATATATTTACCCTTGGTGATTTCTAGAAAAACTGTAGGGGCAGATGAATATGTATAGCGTATAAAGTATTTCTCATGATTTTTTAAAAAACTTCTAGGCTAGTAGACAAAGGAAAAGTTGTTTGATGAGTTCATAACTACAATTTAAAATCAAAAGATAATCCACACCCACTTTTAAATTGCAATTAACCCAATTTCCCATCTTATTACATCTTTGAAAGAACAAAAGGTGTAAATTATTAGTGTAAATGAATAAAAATTAAAACAAAGACTCATTTATCAGAAACATATTTTAAATATATACAATGGAGTATTTCTATATGTTTTCAACTTAAACGCTGTTTATATAAAGATCAAGGCAACATTCTTTAACAGCCTTTAAATACGTTTTTTTTATACAAAGTGACAGATGTATATTTTGAGAATTGTTTTCATAATGTTCAAATTACCTTCCAAAGTTTCTCCTTTCTTCACAGAAGACGTGGATTCATCCATCTGGATGACGTGACCGCCAAGTCGTTGCATGGCTGCAGAGAAGGAGCAACTGGTGCGGGTACTCACTTCATAGAAGATGGAAGCCATCACTTTTCCCTGAGATACAATAAATTACAAAATCAGTAGTTGAAGGAGTTCAAGACGAAAATTTAATATTCAATAAATGGTTATACCTTCAAAATATGGTCCAACGACCTATCTTTTTGAACCCATAATTTGAATATGTGTGCCAAATTGAAAAGTCCATGCAACTGGAAAACTTATAATTTAGTCTTAACAGTCAAAGTGAGCTAGTTAAAGGTTATGTGATTTATAAATTTATAATAAAATTTTCAATTAAAGCTTTTTAGTTTAATAACTTTTAAATGTTAATTTGAATAAAAGCTATATTTTATAAAAATATAATACAAGTAAAGAAAAAGAGACACAAAATATATACTTGATCTCGTGTGAAACATTCCACAGATAATATATGCTGTCCTTGCAGTCCACTATTTATCTGTGAAAATGGATGATTGATTGAGGTGATGGCAGGATGAGATAGAGGCGACAGTGTGGTGCCGACATTATTTTCTGAAATCTTCATTGGAGTGGAATTCTTTATGCCCAATTCTTGAAACATTTGACTATACATTTCTATTAAATATAATAGATATATATAAACTTCTTACAATAAGATTTAAAATAACAAATAGGTAACTCTCTCATTTATGTGAAATTCAATTAATTAATATCGAAAAATGCAAGTTTCAAAGCAATATGCTTTGTGTGAATATTAAAGTATGAAGAGAAAACATAATTTTTGAGCATAGAATGGCATTTTGAGTTTGATAGAAATATATTTGCATGTTCAAACAACGGTGATTCATGAATACTCACAGACACTTTCTGTATTGGTCCGGGAAGATAGATTTAATGTAAAAACCAAACTATCAATTGTAAAGTGATTGCAAGTTAATTATCTGTTCAAATTTTATACANATATTTTAAACGAAAACTACGATTAAAAATGGCGGCCCGGCGTCGTCACCGCGCGACAATAAATAATCGCTTATAGATACGATTTGGCGGCCAACTCGGGATATATTTTTCTTCCGATTACGAGTTCGGACTAGAAAAATTTTTAATTTTTTATTCTATCTATTAATCCGTTAACGCCACCGCGGAAGTACCCGTAACGTCGGTTGGAAGAAAAACTCGGATAGACAGACTCAAAAATTAAATTCTTTGTAAGTAGTCCGAACTTCTAATTGGAAATAATTGCTCGTTTACAATATTTTTATAAATTCCTCCTAAAGTATTTTCTACGCGGTATTTACGCCTTCTCTTCGGCCAAATACTACTTTAACCCTCTAATTTTACGGCGTTTTACGGTACAAAATGCGGTTTTAAAAGTTAGTTATTATTACGTAAAAGGAAAATTTTTGAAAAACTGTTTAATAAAGCAAATTTCTACTTATCGGAATTTTGATTTTTTATAAAAATACACGCGCCGAAGTCCACGTCGAAAGTTGTTATCGGTTAAATTTAAAGTAAATATTAACCGAATAAATGTAAACATTTACGAGATTTGATCGTGGCTTAAACGAACAAATACGATTTAAAATTTTAATTATTTATTAAAATAATAATTATTTGTGCGAATAAAGCCTTTAAAGGCACGGAAAGACGGTTTACAACCCAAAGGAAACCAAAGTCGCCTTTGGTTTTTACCCTTAAAATCGTTTTATTAACGCGATAACGTTTCTTCCCAGTTTGCAGATTTAGCAAATTTTCGCAATCTTTCTATAAATATAATTAAAGGTTATAATAATATAAAGAGGTTATAAATATAATAAGTTAAAGAAATAAGCTTTATTTTCTGCATAGAATTATGGAAGAAATGGCTGGGCTTCGACTTTTCTTCGTTTTCTTTTTATTAAGTACGGCCAGGTAAGATGTTTTAAACGAAATTTATCTCTATTTTATCGTCTTTTGACCATTATCGTTAGAATTTTCTGCCAAACTTAATACGGGAAGCGGTTAGGCGTTAGTCTAATCCGCCGGCGTATCCTGGTTCTAACGCGTTAATATACTAAAATATAATCGAGCTTTCGTTGGATTAAACCAAACTTATCCGTAATTTATTGCAACTTACAAAAATTTGAGGAAAATTTGGTGAAATTTTAGTGGTAAAGCTACGAATTTCCAGTAAGAAATTTCGTACGTAACCAGCCAGCCGATGGCGTAGTTCGTTTGGCGTAAAAAACAAATTACGCCGCAGGCCGGTCACTCCGACGCGCCCGATTAAAAANTTTAGAAAATACAAGGGAAGCGGCGCATCCACCGCTTTTAATGACGGCACGCCACTGGATTGCACTGAACTAGAATTCCAAGTAAAAATGAAACATGTCCCCTTAGTCTCGATTGATGTAGAAAAATCTATTTCCTTATATAAAGACATTCTATCCTCCAAATGAGAAAACTTCACTTTTAAGAACATTGAAATGATTTACTGTTGTAAATTACAATGCTCATCTTTATGTCTAAATTGCAATAAACAATTATGTAGTTTGTAAATATAATACTTCTTGTTGGTTTTTGTCTTAATAATACAGCATTTAAAAGCACCTAAAACGGAAGAAAAAAGCACCCAAATGAGCACCCAATCCATTCTAAAAATGCTCCCAAAAATCCAGACCTTATTTATGAGGTAAATTTCAAGGCACTCAGCACAAAGTTTTACAAATTTGCTTGTTTTTCATTCAGTTCAAGAGTGTTATAGTAAAAGAACAGACTTATTACTATATGTTCAGCTTAAATTTGTACAATCAATTCATTCAGATTATGCTAATTACCTTATTAAACTCGTCTAATGATGTAAATCTCTCTTTCTGGATTCTAGTCATGTATAATACATCTGTTTCTGGGATTGCAGCTTCCAACGAGAAAAATTCTTCCTATTAAGTACAAATACGTTTAAATTAATGCTAAAACTAAAAAATTAATCAAAAAATAACTTAACCTACTTGAGAAATTCCTTTTGAAGAAACATAATTTACTACATTTTCTGGCATTTTTAAATTATCAGGCGAAACATATCTCAGCTGCACCTTGTAATGGGTTAAGAGACGAGCCAGAGAATGGACTGTTCTTCCGTGTTTTAGATCTCCAACCAACGTTATCTGTAAAAGCAATTTAAAATTTGCATGATGCTCTGATGCTTCTACTTAAGAGCATAAATCAATACAATTTAAACTCTAGAAAGTATTTCATAGTTAAAAGAAAACTGCAATTATTCTTCTGTCTCATAAATTAATAATCAATAAAAAATGGTTGACTTTTAAAATCTATTTGTAAAAAAGCTTAGCAAAATCAAAACTGGCACACAAGAACTTCATAACTGCTAGAATTTGATATGACTGATTGATTACCAAGAAGGTCACACCATAGACTACATACAGTATAAGTAATTGCAATAATGATTGTTATGGATTGATGGGATCCTCCATGGGAGGAGTACTCTTCTATGGAAAACTGGTCCCTATTTAGGCATTACACAAATAAAGAAAAGCTGGAAAACTCCACATGGCTAGCCTGTTGTTTTCATGCAAATCTAGCATCAACTACCAACATTTGGCAGTTTCATTTGTCAGCCATTGGTGCACTTGCTTGTTATAAATAGATATATCCAAAACAGAATTGATCAGTACAGAGTGGGATGGGGAACAAACAGACCCAAACTGTTCAAGAGAAAGCAAAAATCTATATTGGATTTTAACTTGGGTACCTCTAAATATGACCACCCTGATAGAGTTCAATAAACTTATAAATCTGATTTATGCTAATGTTTTTTATTAAAGTTCTAAAAATTTTAAAAAAAAATAATTGACTTTAACAAAATGTTTATTTCAATAAGCATATTACCAGTAATTTAACTTCAAGGAATAATGAATCAAATAGTCTAATTTTTTTTAAAACCACTTTAATACATTACTTACAATCAGCCCGTTAACAGTTCCAATCTCTTCTCGTATTGTAAAAACATCCAAAAGTGCTTGAGTTGGATGCTCTCCTGTTCCATCGCCTGCATTAATGACTGGTTTCTGACACACATTAGCAACTTTCTGTAAATAAAAATGGAAATTTTTGGAATTAATTTGATGATTCTCTTGAGCTCAAAAAATAAAAATAATTGCAGTAATCAAATGATAAAGTCTGGTTAACTGTCAGTGAGAATATGGCTAGTTAATTAGATAGATATTACATAATTTGGACTAAAAGTAGGTGGTTGTACTACCATCTTGTATTAAATTTGATACTCAGAAATAAATAAATTGATTTAGACTATTTTGAAGAAGAAAGATCAAACCTGAGTGAGACTTGAATCTGTAACTTCTGCTTGCTGATGTGGATGCATTAGCAATTATGCTAACCGGACTTCTGTCCAATCTTTACTTCCAGACCAATTAATTTACAAGATATAATCATATTCAGGTCATCTTTTTCTCCAGAACAGTGTAAATTAATTAGGATTAACTATCAGTCTAGAACTTGGCTATCTTATCATTAAAATAATTGGGGTTTAGTTTTCTGTATGTATTTAATAATAATTTAAAGTTTTTGCAAATATGACTGAAATTAATGTAAAATGATGAAGGCATGATGTGTGTAAACAACATATAAAATTGCATAGTTAAGCCAGTACCTATCATTTTAAATTTAACAGACTCTAAACATTCAGGGTGTGTGTAAAGTCTGGAACCAAATGGAAAGTCAGGTAATGGACTCTGTGGTCACTCAACCTCGACCTGCTGGAGAAATTTCCTTTGGAAAATTTTCAAAGTGCAGATGTATGCAGTGAAAATCAGAAATCTGCATCGTCTTTGGGTTTAAGTCCTTGCATCTGGAAATATTGCATAGAATTCAGGAGAACATAGTCAAATGCTTCAGCAAAATGTAAACAATGATGGTAGACAAGTTTAACATGTTTTACATAGTGTGAGAATAGCCGGGAATACTAATTCGCTAGGAAGTTAATATCACTTAATCGGCGCTAGTTCGTGAAACTAGTTCTCTCGGTTTCGGATCTTGTGATCCGATCCTACGACAAGATTTTTGACCGGGAGGGCTTTTGTAATAGATCCGAATTGCAGGATTCGAATCTCGTCAGGATGCTGACACCAGTTAATCAAATTTGGATATGCGGATTAACACACGTGAGGGGTCTGATTCAGAGATCGAGGAGACATTATATAAACTAGTAATAAAAGGAATTTAATAAACATATATATAAGTAAACTATACAAAAATGGAGTTACAAATGAATGAGACACAATGAATTCGACTTAAAATATATATATCGAGAGAGAGAGCTCACAATTTCATATTAAAACATACAACCTGTTAGTTGTTGTTCTTTTCCTCTGTATGTGACGTATTTACTTCGCTCCTGGAGTTCTCTGCCTTCTGTTCATGGAGAGATCAATTTAACTGAGAATATTTATGTCCATGAAGTAAGCCTTTTGTATACTGTATTGCTTATAGCAGTGTTTTTCAACCTTCTTGAATACGCGACCCCTTTACAAGTTAAAAAATTCTGGCGACCCCCCTAGGGCCATATTTTTTTTTGTTTTTTTACTCTTTCCGCCCTGTGGGCACTAAGAGGGCCTCTTTTTGCAAGCCCATTATGAGTTCGGCCAGGCCCACAATGGGGTTGCCGGGTGGTGAGAGACGGGGTCCGACATATCCGAACGGACCACCCCCCGAAAGGTTCCTGGGGATTATTCGACCCGTTCGGATTCGAACCCAGGTCCCCCAGAGAGGTAGGCTGCCACCTTGACCGCTCGGCCATCCGGCCACTACCCTAGGGCCATATTAAAACTGTATCAGTGACTTTAAAAACTATGTATTTAATTTTCTTTCTGTTGAGACAAATTATTGTTGATTAAAGTGAAAATTTCACAAGAATCGACAATAACTTAACACACATAAAGTATGAAACTTCTTTTAATTATAACATTCGGCACAGGGAGCTGTTGACATTTTCTCTTTTTTTTTAGGATCAGAATTTTCAGCTTCTACATTTCTACTTTTTATTTCTTTTTTGCAAATCAGCTCGACACTTTTTCCGCTATCATTTTCTGGGGTGGGCCGTAATTCTTGCTGAAATTGTAGGTTTTTTAATGTAGTGTAAGACCTACTAACACTTGTCTTTTTCTTCTACCCGCGACCCCCCGTGTAAGGCTTCGCGACCCCCTGGGGGGTTGCGACCCACAGGTTGAAAAACACTGGCTTATAGCATAGGGCGTTGGCCTTTATAAGCTTGTATGGATTTCGTCTGAATACTCTGGGATCTGTTGACGAACTCTTCCCGAATTTGACTGAACTTCGCCTATATCTTCTGACTTACGACCAATTATCATTCAAGGCTTCATCCACATGAACGGATGGGAAGGGGGAAGAAATGAGGGTTAGACAGTTCCCATCGAAGCGAGATTTTTAGCAGATAAAGGAAAAACAGAGGATGCTCATACTTCCGTCAAAGGAAGTGACTCTCCTAGCTGTTTTCCCACGCTAGAAAACGTTATTTTTCCATCAAAATAAAAGAATATTTTATGACAAAATTTTGACATCATTTTTAAATTATTAATTTAGACCCAGGGGCTATTTGGATCTCACAATAGTTATTGCTCATTAATGTTAATCTTATTTCCTTTCATTCCTTGCTCATTTTTTCCATTGGTTCTACAGGTTCTCTCCTCTACAGGTGTGATATCACACACACTACACAAAAGCCCAGGCACATTACAATTGAATAGTAACACATACATCATACTACAGAAGGCCACTATATTGAATACATGTCATATTGTTAGGAAATTCCTGAATACAGACACAGACCCTGACACACTTATTTAGTTTTAGTTTTGTTTTGGATGCTATATCTTGACTCTGGTCCGGAATAGTACACAGCCACCGATGTCAACTGAGTATAACCCACTAAACCCAACAATAATAGAGTGAATAAATGCTAAAAAACTTATCAGCTTTTTAGATAGAAGTTCAAATAGAAGTGTGTGTGTAATAATATTAATTGAAGCAGCAGTACCAAAACAAAGTCTGGACCAAATCTGCCTGTGGCACTTGTTCATCCAATTCATAAACATATTTGAACATCACTTCTAAACAACAGAAAAGTCTTAATTTTTGTACATACAAATATACAAAATTTTTGAGGGCCACCTACATACAATTTATGCACATTTGGCCCACCAACTGAAAAGTTTGTGCACCACTGGGTTACAGCACAGGCTGACCCACAGAAAAGAAATAGGAGTGAACTAACAAGTAAGAAAAAAGGCATACATATAAATGTGAGAATCCAGAGATGGAATATTTTAATTTTATTAAGAACGAGCTGTACCCAGCCACACGTTGCTGTGGCTCAAAATGTATCTATTATAAATGTATAACATTCCCCATGGGAAAATTTTGAAAAATCCCTTCTTAGTGTACATTCTCTTGACATACCCTATTAAAATGCAATCAAAAACACAAAAAACCACATCTAAAATAAAATAATGGAAGACCAGTTCTTCATGGTAAGCCTTAATTTTGTCCCTTTCCCCCGCAGGGGGATTTTGACATCTATATAATATAAAAACAAGCACATATTTGAATGCAACATTGTGTCAAACTTTCAAAGCAATAGGTTAAGAACGTTCGGAGATTTCAGATTTTGAACAAATAAACATTTACATTTTTATTTATATAGATTTGTTAAATATTAAACTGATGTCAAATTTAACACATTTCTGTGAAATTCATGGGAAGGGAAATAAACTTCCNGTAAGTTATTTATTACCAGATATTTTTCTATTGAAAATCTCAGGGTTTAATTATGGAAATTAACTGACATAAATCCAGGTTTGCTTTTTGAAAAGTTGTTAATAAAAATTAAATAACCATTATCAGAAGAATCATAATTTTATTTTTAGTGCCATAAATGGTTCTTCTTTATAAAAACTGTAAAGGCTTGATTTGGCAATGTGAAAGTCTAGTTTCATAATAAATAATAGCAAAACAGTCAAGAGAAAAAGAAAATAGCAGATATTTACATCATAACACTACCACTACCTCTCTTATGCTTTCCCTAAGAAAAGGATAAACTATCCATTATTATGGTAATGATTAGCTAATCTATCATCTGGAAAGAGATTTACATTTTCCATCCTTTACTTTGTGAACATTGTTGTATTTTGATGACAATAGTAAGCTTGTTATCCTAAGCTTGTGAACTTATTTACTGATATATTCAGTGATTACAATGAATAAATTTATGTGTAGTTCAATTTATTTGCACAGTGAAAAATAAAATATGATATATTTGATTTAGTGAACTAATTAGGAGTAAGCAGTATCCACTGTTACTAAAAATCCATTCAAAACTTATATTAATAATGAACTTACANAAATAAACATTTACATTTTTATTTATATAGATTTGTTAAATATTAAACTGATGTCAAATTTAACACATTTCTGTGAAATTCATGGGAAGGGAAATAAACTTCCTTTGGGAGAGATGTCATCATACATCTCAAACAAACATCTGGCCACATGCGTCAGAACGAATATTCCGTCAGATGTTACCAATCCTAAAACCCAATTGGAAACGAATTTAGAATAAAAAGGAGAGAAAGCACGAGAGCAGCCGATAACGTTCTATAGACTGCCGTAAAAGGAATTACCTTATAGAAGCCATACAAAGAGAGCATAGTCCTGCTCCAGCTCCTCATCATCAGTCTCCAAACTACCTATGTCTCCATCTCTATAGGAATTCGAATTGAATCTCCATTAGCCGAGAATTGCCAATTAACCTCTCCATAAGAAGAATTTTAACAAAGGACTGACTGTACAATAGTCTGACAAAAAGATCAACATTTGCCAACCAAGGTAGTATGTTTTTAATGATGTAAATTCTCTCTCTCTCTCACTTTTAAATAGGGAATTTAGAGACTATTTGTGTAGGATCACATATTTGTATTTTTATACTCATTCTTGTCATTAAATGTTGCTTTTAGTTTGTTTAATTGATCTTCTTCTTGATCTTAAATATATGCCAAAGTCTTACTGGGAATCCACAAATCCTCCCCCTTGACCAAAAATATAAAAATATTGTATCATGTGCCTAATGTGCTAATTAGGCTGGTGTCTAAATCTAAAGGAAGATCACAAGAATTTCCTGTTGACAAAATGATAATTGTACAATCCCATCCAGCGACAGAGTGGGCAGATCTTTTGAATCTGAAGCTGAACACAGGTGAGAGACAACATTCTCTTAACCCCAGATTCCCACATATAGTTCCTTGGTGGTTTTGAGAAAAATTGCAATGACAAACAATTGTTTCTGTGTGTAAAGGAGTTCAAGTTTTCTAAGAATGTTCTTGGCAATTATATATAACCATTATTAATAATAATTATTATTGTTATCTAAATATATAAAATTACTTGTCCTGACTGACTCATCATCGCCCAGAGCAACTCTTTCCGCCCTGTGGGCACTAAGAGGGCCTCTTTTTGCAATTTATGCAAATTGCAATTTATGCAATTTATTTGCTTTTTGCTCTTTTTTATGGGTTCAGCCAGGCCCACAATGGGGCTGCCGGGTGGTGAGGGATGAGGCCCGACATATCCGAACGGACCACCCCCCGAAAAATTACTGGAAATTTTTCGACCCGGATTCGAACCCGGGTCACCCAGAGCGGTAGGCTGCCACCTTGACCGCTCGGCCATCTGGCCGCCGATTTACACTACTGTGATTCGCAACTCCTACACTAAAACTCTCATAATCAAAGGCGTCCCCACTGATCTGAATGCACAAGAAATCTACGAACTTCTCCAAGATGATGGCCACTACCCAATTAGAGTGCAGAGATTCAGCAGAATACATGATGGCCAGCGCCTTTCGACCGGAACAATTAAACTCGAACTANATATATATATATATATAAACATTCATATATTGATAAAGTATCATTAAGGAGTAAACCTAAGATAAGCATCCTTGGCTTACTGTTTAACAACAGATCTCTTAACTACATCTGTCTCTACTTAATGAGGAATCATATTATGGGATTTTGATTAAAGCATCATTGTTGCAACATATTGAAAATTCCACACGACATTCCAAATTCTTGAAGAAATATATCCATAAACTTGTGTTTTTTCATGTTTGGGGAGGTACAGAGAATGTTTTCTAAGAATTAATGGAAAACTCTTGCCATTATGATACCAAACCAGGTGTTTCCTGTTGGGATGAGACCACCTTTACATACGGTCTTTGACCGACATGACATAAAATCGTTAGAGTCCTTAGAAATTTATATAGCTGATAGGAATGGAAATTGTATCAACTCAGATTGTAGTCAAGTTCCAAAATGTGGAATTATTATTTAGAGTGCCAAAAAAGTTATTATTAATAATTTCATTTTATAACATTACACCTTGTAAAAATTGCTTTTTTTATTTATGACGTAAATGGTGTGTCACTGTCTCAACTGAAAATCTTTGTGAATGCTTAAAAATTGGAATGTGGCGATGTTCGAATGATAGAACTGTTTCTTTTGTATTTGTTTCTGATGAGGGTTGGATAAATTGGGCCAAAAACGCTTGACCAGTAAATTGTTACTTGTTGTTTGCTGAAAATTGCTTTCAGGTATTATTTATTTGAACATTACAGTTCCAGTTTATATGTGTGTCATTTTTGAATTAATGGAAATAACAGCTATCCTCAAGAAACACCTAGAGCATTAAGATCCAAAAAAGAAAACTTCATTGTGAAGAATTCTTTGTTCAAAATGCAAGAGGTTTGGTACATGATCGATGCTGAGCCGGTGGAGTCACTTGTGAGCAGCATGACTCATCCATTCACTTGAGTGTACTGTCAAGAATGGAACAATGATTAAGTGCTAATTTTCACAACTAATCATAAATGTCAAGTTTGTAGTTTATGACTGTGAACAAATTTTGTGATTTAATTGAGAAATAAACTTGTAAAGAGACATTGCATTTTTCACAATTTTTTGCCATGTACTTTAAATAATCTCTTACCTATTGTCCAAATTATGTAGGCTCACTGGTGGAATAGAACCTTCAAACACTGGCAGTTGGTTAAAGGTTTGCACCTCACAAAATGGCGGGTCACATGGAGATTTCTGAATTTTTTTAACATTTGTAACACCAAATACAGGCCAGTTTCCCATAGAGAATCCTGCCAGAATGCACCACCCACATATTGTGTTGCTGTATCCCATCAAATTAAATTAAATTATACAGTGTTTATTATATTAATTGGCCAAGTTCTAGATCAAAAGTTAATCTGGAATCATCATTTGGTTAATAATGCTAAAATAAACTCAAAAATTTTTTAACATAAACTTACATAATATACCCAATCTCCAGCAGTGAAGTGGAATATTTACAATGAACAAATGTTTTCGGTGACCTTAAGCCTCCCTAATCAGGTTCTATATTTCTTTTGAATGTAAAACAGTGTATTGTGAAGAATGTTTTAAACATTCATTCCACATTGTAAATACTTCACTTTAGTGCTGGAGTTTGGATGTATTACACAAGTTTAGTGTTTCTCCAGTTACAATAGTAGTATTTAAATTTTGACATAAATAGTATCTGTAGTACACTGGATGTTTGAAAAGCTATCTAGGGTTGATGAGACAACCGTAGCTAGTATGACGACTCTCAGCAGGAATAATTACCCTACCAGGTGTCAACTAAATAAGTGGTCAATGATTGTGTTAATGCAAATAATTTTTTTGATCAAAAAAGTTGCAAGTAGACTCTACAATATTCAATGACATGGGTTTGAGAGATGATTACTTAGCCCTTATTCACAGTAGAGAACTTAATATACACTAAAATTGATGGTTGGCTTCTAAATAGTTCTCTAGAGAGATATAGAAAGAGAAAAATTATCAGGAATCAGGAACTTTCAAGATATAAATTCAAATAGAAGTGTGTAAAATATCATTTGAAGGTCTGTAAACAAAATTTGAATTTTCAACTAAGGCCAGTATGTTGTCATATTTTGGATACATCACTTTAAGCATATAACATTACTCTTGCATACCTTTACTTATATAATGAAAATTTTATAATTTGCATTAAAACATTCAAGTGATAAAGGCATGTGCAACACTAAGATAGGAACATTAGGTAGAATTGCTCCAGAAATTCAAGAAAACTCTTCTATAAACATTTCAAAGCCTGATGTTTTTTAATAATAAGCCAAACAATTGCCATATTGAATCAAATTATTTTACTGCTACTATTAATAATTAAATTCTAAATAATTTGGTGCTAGAAGTAGGCTATGTCCTTCTGATTCATATAGAAAGTGTGTTCTATTTAAGACAATTGTAAGTTTGTAACACTGATGATGCTGTGTACACGTGTATGGCCTGAGAGTATAGCTACTGGAGGCTCATATGATGTTATGTCATGCCTTTGGAAGGTTTTACCAGAGATTCAAAGAAATTGTGATCAGAATACAAACATTTAGCTGCCTTCTCAGATTCCAATGGAGGACAAAATAAAAACTTTAATACAATAAATATTTTGGACATTTGTAACATTTTTCTATTTAGTACTTAGCCACACCTTAGAATCATATAGACATCATCATCATAAACTCAATTTTTGATTAAAACCAGACAATCTGCTATATTACTGGGCTGTAATAATCAACCTATATGATTATATCCTAAATTATTCCAGAAGCAAAAATCAGATGGAGGTCGTGTAGCTGGCAACACATTTGCATGGTATGCAGAAGTTGAGACAATTCTTTTCTTCCATAAAAAACTATAATAAATTAAATATTAATTTATTATAATTATTAAAATTATCATGAAATGGCAACTTAACTGCCTATCTCTAGACAAATTAATTCATATCTAATTATTAACTTAGCCTTATTATAGTTTGATAATTTGGCAGATTATCCCAGTGTCTTTATGGTCTCCAATTGGATTAATTTAATAAAGAAACATGAAGCCAAAAGCTTTTTCACATGCACAAAATGCCATCTGGAGATTTCGAGCATTGAGTAAATAGAAAGTTATCTCTGCAAAAGGAAAAAGGTTGATCTTCAGAACTGCAGAATGCTAAAGTTTGACAGATCAGAGCTGTTGTTATATTTTCCAAGTAACCAGTATTTTCCTGTAGATGAAAAGATAGTAAGTGTAGCAAGAAGAGGAGGCGACATCCTTTCCCAGATACTCAGATGTCCCAATGAAGTAGCCAAACAATATTCCAATTTCTATCAAAAAACATAATGACCTCTGCAAAATGCTTGATTATATTTGGCAATAGGCAAGAGAGTTTTTCTTAGTATTAAACATCAGAAAACTTAGGGAAGAAGATACTTTACTAATTAATGATATGTTCCAAAGAGCCATTGTATTTTTGACAAAAATGAAAAATAATTGCATTGTATCCCATGTGTGTCAATACAAAACATAAACCCTAATGTTTTCATACTCCAAGAGAAGTGCAAGAGTGCAAGAGAGTATGCAAACATTATATGTCTCCAAATATGTGAATATTTTCTAGAAGAATTGCTGTCATGAGAGGACCCTACAAACAAAATTTGGTATATGTATTATAATTATTGCATAAGCTATACAACAGAACACAAAATGTTACTTATACCTGTTTTATAATTAACCATCAATTAAAATAAGAAATGAGGTTTGATGTATAAAAAATAGTTGAGAAGGCATACATATATTTACCCTTGGTGATTTCTAGAAAAACTGTAGGGGCAGATGAATATGTATAGCGTATAAAGTATTTCTCATGATTTTTTAAAAAACTTCTAGGCTAGTAGACAAAGGAAAAGTTGTTTGATGAGTTCATAACTACAATTTAAAATCAAAAGATAATCCACACCCACTTTTAAATTGCAATTAACCCAATTTCCCATCTTATTACATCTTTGAAAGAACAAAAGGTGTAAATTATTAGTGTAAATGAATAAAAATTAAAACAAAGACTCATTTATCAGAAACATATTTTAAATATATACAATGGAGTATTTCTATATGTTTTCAACTTAAACGCTGTTTATATAAAGATCAAGGCAACATTCTTTAACAGCCTTTAAATACGTTTTTTTTATACAAAGTGACAGATGTATATTTTGAGAATTGTTTTCATAATGTTCAAATTACCTTCCAAAGTTTCTCCTTTCTTCACAGAAGACGTGGATTCATCCATCTGGATGACGTGACCGCCAAGTCGTTGCATGGCTGCAGAGAAGGAGCAACTGGTGCGGGTACTCACTTCATAGAAGATGGAAGCCATCACTTTTCCCTGAGATACAATAAATTACAAAATCAGTAGTTGAAGGAGTTCAAGACGAAAATTTAATATTCAATAAATGGTTATACCTTCAAAATATGGTCCAACGACCTATCTTTTTGAACCCATAATTTGAATATGTGTGCCAAATTGAAAAGTCCATGCAACTGGAAAACTTATAATTTAGTCTTAACAGTCAAAGTGAGCTAGTTAAAGGTTATGTGATTTATAAATTTATAATAAAATTTTCAATTAAAGCTTTTTAGTTTAATAACTTTTAAATGTTAATTTGAATAAAAGCTATATTTTATAAAAATATAATACAAGTAAAGAAAAAGAGACACAAAATATATACTTGATCTCGTGTGAAACATTCCACAGATAATATATGCTGTCCTTGCAGTCCACTATTTATCTGTGAAAATGGATGATTGATTGAGGTGATGGCAGGATGAGATAGAGGCGACAGTGTGGTGCCGACATTATTTTCTGAAATCTTCATTGGAGTGGAATTCTTTATGCCCAATTCTTGAAACATTTGACTATACATTTCTATTAAATATAATAGATATATATAAACTTCTTACAATAAGATTTAAAATAACAAATAGGTAACTCTCTCATTTATGTGAAATTCAATTAATTAATATCGAAAAATGCAAGTTTCAAAGCAATATGCTTTGTGTGAATATTAAAGTATGAAGAGAAAACATAATTTTTGAGCATAGAATGGCATTTTGAGTTTGATAGAAATATATTTGCATGTTCAAACAACGGTGATTCATGAATACTCACAGACACTTTCTGTATTGGTCCGGGAAGATAGATTTAATGTAAAAACCAAACTATCAATTGTAAAGTGATTGCAAGTTAATTATCTGTTCAAATTTTATACACCAAACTATAGTGTGGTAAATTAAAAAAAAAAAAAAAAAAAAAAAAAGTTGATTTATTAGAGTTATTGTTGTGCCATACTCAATACATCTAATTTTCTGTAATTGTTGTTATTAAATTATTAATAAATAATTCAGTTTATTTCTCTTACTTGAAATACATGTTTTAAGAATTGCAAAAGCATTTACTTTGTGAAGTTCATATGCTTAAACTGTATAAAATAAGGTTCAGTGGGTGATCGGTTAAAATGGTAACAAATATCCAATGGAATGGTTAAACTCTCACCTTTTGTAAATAAAAGCCTACGCAAAACTTAACAAGTGCCTGTCTGAGAGTCTCGCGAATACTATAAAAAATTATTTGTCAGAGAGGTAAACAAAAAGCTAGAATTACAAGGGAAAATTTCAAAATTTGGAGGAATACTATCCGATTGGTATTGGATTGAGTGTCAATGTTGACGTCTCCCGTGCACCGAAAGGTTTTGAATTGTTACCCGAAGACAAGGGAAAATCAATCGGTATTCATTACTTTCTGTCACTTCTGTTTATGTTTGTTCAGTAAAGTGTTCGTTATCCGAACATGTCTTTGTTGTCCAATCATAAAAATCTTTTGCGAAAGTGTTTGTTATCAAATTTGTTTGCTATCTGAACTGTTCGTTAACCAATCACCCACTGTACTTTTAATAATAATTTCCATTTGCTCAGATAACTGAGAATTTTCTTTATTCTTAACTCTTTTATAAGAAATGACACAAGTTAATTTTACCTGTTGCAAGAACTTTGAAACTTTCTTTTCTCTTCATGTCCACATTGATTGGAAAATTGGGTTTCGTTTGGACTTTGTGTATAGAATCATCTAATTTCTAAAAAAAATTTTAAAATATTAAGAATTTTTGATGTTTTTTTAAATTCTGACAATTTATAGATTTTTATATCATTTGTTTTAACCCCATATTGCTAGTAATTACAAAATTATGAGTCCTACTATTATATTTCGTTGATTTATCTAACTTTGAAAATATGAATTGGCAAATCATCCAACATCTGATGCTGAGAAAACATTTATTAAATAAATCATCTGATGCATCAGGTGTTGGATGATTTATTATTTAAGGAGCTGAGTAAGATATTTAGTTATATGAATTGGTCTTTAAAGTTTAACTTTAAAGGCCAACTCATAATTTTAACTGTCCTCTTTTCATTGGCATTCATATTTCTAAAGAATGAAAGAAAAATGCACTCAAGCTTGTATGATCTGTTTAAAATATTACTATATTTTAAATTAAAACTAAACACCATACACAGTCTTCCAGTAAATAATATGTAGTAGTAGTTCCTCCAATGCTAGGTAGCATACTGGGCAGCAATTATCTTCCATCGATTTTGATCATGGGCAAGGGCTTCAGCTTCCTCCGAAGTCATATTGAGCATCTTCAAATCTTGAAGAAAAGTTCTACTCCAACCAAGTATTCCTGGGGCATCCTTGTGGTCATTTGGCACTAGGGGAACCCATTTCATGGCTGAGTTAGAGATCCTATTGTTCTCCATATGAAAAATGTGGCTGGCCAGTCAGACTCTTCTATGGGCGACAATGTTATGAAGTTTGCACATCCCACTCCATCAGAAAACCTCTTCATTGGTGATATGATCTAAATATTGGATCCTTAGGATTCTTTGTAGACATCTCTGTTGAAAGACATCAAGCCTTCTATTGATGTTTCCCAATGTCTTCCAGGACTCACTAGCATAAACAGCTACTAGAATCACGATGGAGGTTAACAGGCAGAATTTGATTCTCAACAGATGGATGGTGAGGACCAGATTTTTCATCTGCCAGAAGACTGTAACTGCTTTTCGATGCAGCACTTTATATCTATTTCTGCATTACCATTTTGGGAAATAACACTACTCAAGTAAGTAAATCTCTTCACTTCCTCCAACTGTTGTGCTCCAATAATTACTCCCCATGTTTGGGCAGTGTTACATACATGCATAATTTTTGACTTCATGCCGTTTATCCTGAGACCAATTTTGTGTGCCTCCCAACCCAAAGCGGCCGTAGTGTGACGGAGCATTGTCTCGCTTTCCTCTAATAGGGCAATATCATCAGCAAAAACCAAATCTCCAAGACAGTCCTGGTCAAACCAGTGGATGTTGGTCCCAATGCATGCACTGGACTCTTCTGTCTGCCGCATGACATAATCAAGGGTGATGAGGAAGAGGAAAGGGGACAGGACACAACCCTATCTGACTCCTGTCATAATTTCAAAGAAGTCCATACGACCACCTTCAGTCTTAACAACAACTTGATGCAGGTATAAGGCCTCGAAAATGGTGACAAAGTTTGTCGGTACACCATATAATCGCAAGATTTGCCAGAGGGACTCGCGGTGAACACTGTCAAAAACCTTCTTGAAATCAATGAAGCCAATGGAAAATGAATATAGCCAATGGGTGTCGATATTCAATGCATTGTTCAATGATGTTTTGAAAGGAGAAGATCTGCTCGCTGCATGATCTTCCGCAGAGAAACCCAGCTTGCTCTTCCCGTAAGTCAGCACTAGTGGGAGGAGCAAGCTGATGAGGGCAATCTGCAGGTGTCGAAGGAGGACAACACATGCCAAAGGGACTGTAGTACAGGTTTATGCACCAACCAATGATGCAAAGGACACAATAAAATATGAATTTCATGAGCAGCTTCAAGACGTCTTTGATGGTATCCCGAATCATTACCTGAGGGTACTGATCGGGGACTTTAATGCCCAATTGGGCGGTGATCATTGAAAACTCAAGACTGTGATTAGTGCATATGCATCCTCTGCTTATGAGTGACAATGGAGAAAGGTAACATCGTTTTGTAAACACAACAGGTTAGCAAATCCTATTGATTGCTCTACTAAAAATTTCCCAGGCTTCCAAGGTTTAGTTTTTGAATGTCTAAGACTTTCCTTATCAGTTTTGCTTTATCCCAGATAATCGATACCCTGGGCTCATGTGCATATTGGCGAGAGTTGTTACTAGTTTATTATTACAGATGACTTGTTGGTGCTCTTTAATTCTACACATCCATGTTCTCAGTAGAGCCACATATGTAAGATCTCTCAAATTTATTGACAACTTGGGGACTCTATTTCCATTTATCTTATCTTCGGCATTTGGTAATATACGAAAGATGGTTGGATTATGCTGATATGCTATCCTTTCATTAATTTAACATATTTGACTATGTTTGTGTAAGTGGCTTGCATCCTTGGGTCAAAGTCTCCTACAAGACTTTTTGTTCATATGCTTGTGGTTGTATCTCTTCTTCCTTGTTGTTAGTAGTGTGTGAGATCCACGATTTTTACGTAGTTATTGGAAAAATCATCTGTAAACAACTCCGATGGAAAAAACCTGCTCTTGGTGAGAAGTATATCAGATGTCACTGTTTGTTTTCACAATTAGGTGGGAAAGTTGACACTTGGGTGATTGGAATGCACCATTAGTGTCAACAGAAGTAGATCACGTGACTCCTTTCCCACGAAGAATGTATAAAAGCTCGAGTCCCTGGAAGCTCGGGGCGACCAAAGGAAGTTATACTTATTAATGTCTCCATACCCCGGACATAGCGGCCAAAAGGACATTGCCATACAACAGACCACAACTTTGAACTTCCATAATTATTGCCAACTACTGTTCCTGTGCTGACTACGATTCCTACGGACCATTCAACGAACGCATATTAGTCATATCCTCATAGATGTATTTGTATTTTAGAGCTTTGTGAACTCTCTCTCTCAGAATAGCCATTAGAGTTAAGAGCAGTCCTTGTTATAGTTAACTTATATTTACTCGCATTTAACCTATATATTGTTATCGCCTTATGTAACCTAGCTTAGCTATTCAATAAATACTTTATTTTGTTAAACCTGCCTATTGTTGTGCCTGCCGACTTACCAATGCCATCCCCACTCGATTTGCCCTCCTAAGCCATCCGGAACGACAAGGTGAGCGGTCTTTGCAGACTGTTGCCGAGTAAGTGGTCAAGAGGGATTAACCCTTGGCCCATGGTTTCTCACAAGTGTGTGCGTTTTTCTTAAGCTGGATTTTAAGAGCTAATGACAGAATAAGTTTTCTACTGTATCCATATGTTATTGCTTTGCTGTTAATATGCTCCAATTCTATCTTAATGTCTTTAGCATTGGAGCAGTGTGTGAAGGCTCTATTGACTAATGCTCTAAACCCAGCCAGCTTATAGCAGTGAGAGTCACTGGAAGCAGTGGGAATAAAACACAGACAATAAGTAGGCTTGTGATAAACCCATGTTTCAACCATGTCATATCTTGTCAGATATCTGCATCATGTTAAAAAATGACATGGTTGAAACATGGGTTACAAGCTTAGCTACTGTCCATGTTTTATTCCTGCTGAATGTTAATATGTTTCATTCATTGACTGTTCAACAATAACTGTGGTTGTGAAGTGATAGGTTTGTGTTCTTGATCAAGTTGAACTCCCAAACGTCCAGATTTCTCAAATTGAACAATCATTATTGTGAGTGCTTGTGGAGTCACTGCTCCTCAATGTAAATACTGAAATGCAGTGGCAACATAACTATTGTTTTCATAAAATAGCTTCTCAAGAAATGTACATTCCAGCAAGCTGATGGTCATTGTAGCTGATAAGAATGACATTTAACAGCTATGGTCATTTTTATATCCAAATTTTGGCTGCAACATGTGTTTATGCAAAGAACCAACTTTTTCTTTGCTTGCAGTAGTAAAAGTGCCATAGCAATGAGGTGTATTAATTTTATTTTACAGAAATGTCTTCTGTATGTTTAAAATGTCATCATAGCATATTTAGTTCCATTTGAACTGCTAAATATCTCTCTAGACAGCATTGAACAAGGAGTACTTTCTTTGATCATAATCTGTCAGTGGTCTTCAAGGCAAATTAAATGAGTTTATCACTAGTAATGCATTAAGTTTTGAAAATTAAACAAATTTAGTGTTATTTTCTCTTCTCCATTCACATGAAAAATGAACTGGCCTTTACAAATAAACTCGAAAGTTGTCCTATCTTTAAAAATGACACCAATAAAGCTGAAATAATATTCAAATGCATAACTTCTTTTTGATAAAAAACACACCTTTAACAATCCCGCAAATAAAATTTACTAAAATAAAAAATAAAAACGTTTTTGATCGTTTTTAATTGATCTTCCTCAGTTACTATAAAACAATATAAATTTAAATATAAATGAAAATGAGAATTCCAAAATAAATAAATAACTGAAAATGTAGTTGCACACAATAAAATAAATAACAAATAAATGTTTCTTAATACAATTAATTTTCATAAAAAGATTGCCATGCGGTAGCCAATGTGTCTGCATCCCTATGGTTGATGCAGCCAGTTATTGTTCATTTTAAAAATCTCTAATCTTTCAAGATATAAGCTTTCCATATCTGGTTTTGAATTTCATCCATGTAATTCCGTTCTCAAGATTAAAGAAAGACAGATAGATGGACAACAGTGGGAATTTATGTCTACAATTTTTTTAAATTGCAGTCCAATAATAAAATTAAAATATGATATATTTGATTTAGTGAACTAATTAGGAGTAAGCAGTATCCACTGTTACTAAAAATCCATTCAAAACTTATATTAATAATGAACTTACAACATACAGGATGTATCAAAATGTTATAATGTACATTGAGTAATTTATACTCATTGACCCAACCTTTTAGTGTTCTCTGTTTAGTAATTAAAAAAGATTATAAATTTTTCCTTTAGGATGAAAATTTTTGTCCAATAAATTGAGTGTCTACTTCATATGACAATAGTTATTTTTCTTAAATCTCTTTCTATGACTTAGGGTCTTTTTCATGTTCACTAATGAGGTAGTTGGATGGTGAGAGATGATGTGTTATATAGCCAGATTCCAATCTAGATTTGAATCTGGATCTATCAGAGTGGCAGGCTAATGCTTTTACTGTCTTTGTATGGCACAATTTTATTTAACTAAAGACTATTAAACTTTCAGCAGTGGATTAGTCAGGTATGGTGGTCCCTATGTAGTGGAGAATAAAAATGGAAAATTTTTAAAGTATTCTCCCATGTGTTTTTTCTCATTACTGTTTTGGAAAAAGTAAACAAATATGTCTAGTAGAGAAAAATCTTTTTTTATTGTTACACAATTCCTTTTTTATGTGAATTGTTTTTTTGCTGTAGTTTTTGGCGATATCCGCAAAATTCTTTCGCAGATATATCCGTCGTTCACCAGTGCCACACGATCGCCCTTGACGGATATATCTGTCGGTCACTGCTGAGTGGTTAATAATTTTCAAAATAATACAGAATGCATAACTGTATTATTTTTGGAATATCTGATAATGGAATAAGGTTTCGACTAATATAATGGCTTCAATACACTTACACTCGAATCCGACATGTTAGAAACAGGCTGGAAACTGGACTGGCGGATATCATCTGACTGTGTATTTATAATGTCTTTTCCGTAACCTGATTCTACAAGCACCTGGAATTAAAATGTATTAAAATGTAAGTGTATATAACAAAATAAAAAAAATATATTTAATAATTAAAGACATTGTCTTCATACTCTTCCATCAACAAAAGCCACTTCTCCACGTAATACGACACGTCTAACACGACCCTTCACCTTTCTTCCAGCATAGGGTGTCCACTTGGCTTTACTGAAAGCCTGTTTCTCGGGAATGGTCCACTCTTCTTTTAGATCAACTTCTATGTACGTGTTTGGTTGGTCAGGCAGACCAAAAATCTTTTTTGGATTATAATACAGTTTATTTACTAGATCCTGTATAAATAATAACAAAAATTTAAGATATATAGTTGACATTATTTTATGGATTTATTTTATGTCAGTTAATTTCCATAATTAAATCCTGAGATTTACAACGGAAAAATATCTGTTAATAAATAACTTACACAATAATTTTTACTATATTTTTCATGGGAGGATTCATTAATTATTGATAATTTTAGTAATAATTCTTTATGTTTACAGTAGAGCATCGATTATCCGACCCCCGATTAACCGTCACATCGATTAACCGACCGTTCTAGTCGGCACATTTCAAATGTCCGCTAGTGACGTGGCGCTACAATATTTGTCTATGTCTTGGCTACTTTAATATTATTTTTGTTAAATTTTTGCGTGTTTTAGCTGGCAACATGGCTCGACCATTGAAGGGAAGCTAGTATTTAAACGAGGATTAATTTTCTAATTATGAATGGTTGTTTGTTTTGTGAGCAGTAACATAATTTAAAAATAATTTTTAACGATACAATAGCAACGATTATTATTTTAAAAAAAATTTTGTTAGGCTTAACATCGATAAAAATTCAACGCGAAGTTGGTTAATAGCGATATACTAATATACTAATTACATGGGATATACTAATATACTATATTAATAATGTATTTTTTTCATTTTTTTCAGTTATCCAACCAACCTGAGTCCCCAATTGAGTCGGATAATCAATGCTCTACTGTAGTTTAATAAAATTATATGCTTAAAAGTTATTTATTATAAGTATTATTGTAAGTTATTTATTACCAGATATTTTTCTATTGAAAATCTCAGGGTTTAATTATGGAAATTAACTGACATAAATCCAGGTTTGCTTTTTGAAAAGTTGTTAATAAAAATTAAATAACCATTATCAGAAGAATCATAATTTTATTTTTAGTGCCATAAATGGTTCTTCTTTATAAAAACTGTAAAGGCTTGATTTGGCAATGTGAAAGTCTAGTTTCATAATAAATAATAGCAAAACAGTCAAGAGAAAAAGAAAATAGCAGATATTTACATCATAACACTACCACTACCTCTCTTATGCTTTCCCTAAGAAAAGGATAAACTATCCATTATTATGGTAATGATTAGCTAATCTATCATCTGGAAAGAGATTTACATTTTCCATCCTTTACTTTGTGAACATTGTTGTATTTTGATGACAATAGTAAGCTTGTTATCCTAAGCTTGTGAACTTATTTACTGATATATTCAGTGATTACAATGAATAAATTTATGTGTAGTTCAATTTATTTGCACAGTGAAAAAAAATCAAAATTTACTTCATCAGAATATATTGGGTTGTTCGGAAAGTAATTTCGTTTTTTTTTTTCATGAAAAAGAGAACAACTTTCTTATAATATATAAATATTTTATTCAATTATATATTGACCGTTTTGGTTCAATTCCTTTTGCCATCTTTCTGGTAGTAGCATGATTCTATGCTCATAAAATTTCTGATCTTTGCTTGCAAAAAACTGATTCAAGTGATTTTTGACATCCTCATTTGAAGTAAATGTTTTACCATTTAAAAAATTTTGTAAAGATTGGAATAAGTAATAATCCGAGGGTACCAGATCTGGTGAATATAGTGGGTGTTGTAGCATATCCCATCCAACCTGTAACAGCTTCTGATGAGTTAGCAAACCTGTGTGAGGTCTGGCATTATCATGGTGAAACACTACACCTTTTCTGTTAATCAATTCTGGTCTTTTCTTTGATAATATCACTCAATTTGTCCAGTTGACGGCAGTAGACTTTCAAAACAATTCCCTTAAAATCCCACCAAACAGAGAGCATCACTTNTTTCTCTCTTTTTTTTTTTTTTAATGAATATTGGCTTTTGAAGTGCTTTGAGCTTGCTCATCTTTTCTACTCCATAATCGCATGCGTTCGACATTGTTGTATACAATCCATTTCTCGTCGCAAGTTATGATTCACTTCAAAAATGGATCATTTTCTTGACGTTTGAGAAGCAAATCACAGGTGTTAATGCGATGGAGCAAATCTCTTTCTTTAAGAATGTGTGGAACCCATATATCAAGCTTTGAAACAAAACCAAGTTGTTTCAAGTGGTCATAACAGTCGAATTGGACATATTTAATCTGTTAGCAATTTCTCTTGTTGTTATTTGGCAGTTTGCTTCAATCAATACCATTATTTTGTTTTCATTGGCTTCAACTGGCCATCCAAAACGTGGTGCATCGTCAATATCGAAATTGCCAGAACAAAATTTTGCAAACCAGTTTTGGCACTGTCGTTTTGTCAATACATCTCCATACACGTCACACAATTTTCTTCTCGGTTAAACAGCATTCTTACCTTTTTGGTAATAAAAGAGCAAAATATGCCAAAAATGACGCTTTCGATTTTCCATATTTGATGGGACACAAAAAATAAACAATTGCACAAAATCAAACAAAATTTTTTAGAAAAAAGCCTTAAAATGCTAGCTGTCAAAATATATAATGATAATATGATTTAGAATGAAAATGGCGGGAAGAATACAACTAATCCCTCTAGTGGTAAAAAAACGAAATTACTTTCCAAACAACCTAATAGATTTGACTGAAACCAGATGAAAACATGTCAAAAACTCATAACTCAAGAAAATTCTTGCAATTTATTAAAGTTTCTAACAAAAGTGTTAAGGTTGTGAAGTGTTGGTTTTACAAATCAAATGTTAAATCCTCATGAAGCAAAGATTCAAACTTTTCAAACTTAAAATTGTTTTGTTCATTTGAATATATATTTAACAATGTATTTAATCCAAGTTCAATATGAAAATTATATTGCACCTTCTAGCAACTGAAATATATATATATTTCACTGCTAGAAGGTGTATTATAATTTTCATATTGAACTTGGATGATATATATAAACAACTTAAGTAATTGTTTAACTCAATTTATTAATATTAAATTAAATATCTAATTGCAATATGTTTGGGCTACTAATTTAATTATTAATTAACTAATTTGTATTTGTATTTTTTATTATTTGTCTTTATTTTTGACTCTCTGCCATGTGCATGCTAAGAAAGTCTTTTAACTACATTTGTCACAGATTTGACTGGGCCCACAATGGGAACAGATCCCCCATAAAAATTCCTGGGGCTGGTCTTGGGGATTTCTACACTGAGGCATGATTTGGGATAGCTAAAGATATGGGGGTGATTGCTGAAGCCAAGAGGGGCGATATCATGCTGTGGGCTAGGTGTCACCTGGCCAATTAATAAATTGTGGTGTCATGAATGACCCCCCCTCAGAGAACTAAGCAAATCCTGAATCCCTGTTGTATTTTTCTTGTGTCAGCATTGGGGTTATACCAATGTCAACTATTTTTCTCCCATATACATTCAGAAGTTTATGGATAACTGAACTCACAGGTCAAGGTCACTACTTTCTTTTCTTCTGTTTAGTAGTAGGTGGATGGCATCAGTATAACACAAAGAAGACCTTAAAAAATGCACACATCGAGAAAACTAATCAGAAACAAAAATGCCTCACCCAATGCCTCACTACTTCTAAATGGAAGAAAAGAAATTGGCAATCTTAATCCATGGACTCAGTTAGCATTGTTTCTAAAAACCTAACTAGCTTCAATTGCTGAATTATTGATATTAATCTAACATTTTTAAAAACTGATTTACATCAACCATTATGCTATTTATTTTTTGAGTCTGATGTACATTATATTACCATTGTTTAGTCTGAAAATTTAAAAAAAATTCAAACAATATACAAAGTGCTTTTTTAATTTTATTTTATGTTTCAAACAGCTTTAGAATGCTCTTACAACATTAAATCCTGCTTGTTTCCAAATCAAATAACAATGATGAGAATAGAGGCACTGAAAAACATTTTTTCCCAAATTAAAATAAATTTGGCTCCATAAATCTATTTTTGAACTTTTACTTTATTTCCTGTCTGATATTTTATTTTTTAAATAAATTGAAGTTGAATTTATTTATTGGAAATATAAATTACCATAACAATTAGATTATCACTGAATTTATTTACTCTTACCTCTATTGATATCTTTCCATCATTAACTGCCGTTAATAATAAAGGAACGATACTTTCTAGACCGGGAAATCCGGGGGGAGAGTCATTGCTACATTTTTCTTCCAAAGTATGTGGGGCTATAACAAATTTATAATTTGGGAAATTACTTAAAATATTAATTAATAAGTCATAAAAATTTTATCTACATATTAATTAATTTTTACTATTGTTTAGATTAGTTCAGAGATTCATATCAATTTGAATTCCTGGGAGTCAGCTGATTCAAAACTGCAATTGATATGAATCAGGACTTTTTGTCTGATATTTTCACACAGGCATCTCAAAACATCCATATAAATATTTTGATTCACAGTTTGACCTTTTTCAATATGGAGGGAATTCTCAAAGAATAATTCCCTCCCTATTGAAAAAGCAATGAGCATACTTGTAAGATTGCACCTCACTTGGTGAACTTTCTTTAGTCGGGGTGTGCTTTGATTTTTCCAATGGGTCAATTATTGTTTGGTCTCAGGATCATAGCTGTAAATCCATGTTTCATCTCCTGTAATCACTTTCTTTAAAAAGTTTTGGTCATTTGGAGGCTTTCTTTAAAGTCTTGACAAATGGTCAGGTATATTTGTTTTCGTTCATTAATCAAAAGTCGAGGAATGAATTTGGCAGCAATGTGCTTTTTGTTCAAATTGTCTGTCAAATGGTAATGAACAGGTTGGTGGGAGATTCCAACAGCATTTTCAATACCCTCAATTGTTTGACATCAATCTTCATAAATTTCTTCTCTCACTTTTTCAATATTTTCATTGTTTATGCTTGTTGATGGGCAATCAGAACATTCATCTTCAACAGACATTTGTCCATTTTTGAAACAAGAGTATATCACTAAAAACATTGAATTCTATTTATTGCATTATATCCAATGGCTACTTTAAGCATTGCATATGATTCTGTTGCAGTTTTGCCAAGTTTGAAACAAAATTTCACACACACATACTGTTCCTTCAAAGAATTAATTTTACAAAGCATTGAAAATTGCAAATTAATGAGAACATGGATCTAATCTAAATAGCAAAACACAAAAACTACATACAATAAAAGCACAAAATTTGATGGAAAGTTAAATAACGATGTCTATTATGCATGCTAGGTTTGTGCAAGTTCAGCACATGGCTCTAAAATCTTCTCACAGCTGGTTATATAGTAAATAACACCAACACCTTTATAATTAAATCAACAATTGTGCTTGCCAAAGTATATTTTTCATATACTTTGGCAAGCACTTTCAATCCTAATTGGGATCTGGTTCAGGTCAAAAAACATTCTATACAAAAATTTGGAATGCTTAAAGAGCAATTTTAAAGTTTAAAACCATTGGAATGATTAAATATTCAAACAAATACAAAAATTCCCATCTATATGTTAATGATTAAATATTCCAAGTATAAAAGTCACATCTGTGTGTTAATATTAACGTAAAAAATAAAAATTAACATAAACATTTAGCGTATATATTTGTAACAAATCCCAATGGAAGTAGTAAATTTCTACTTGTTATTAATGTTGTTGGGATCATCAAAAAAGTTCTCCAAGCATGCAAGATGTTTGCCACCTCCGTAAAATTGATGCATTTCCTCCCTGTAAGCATTCCAAATTTCTGTATAGAACATTTTAATCTGAACCAGATCCCAATTAGGATCAAAAGTGCTTGTCAAAGTATATCAAAAATATATTCACTGGTTTAATTGTAAAGGTTTGTTGCTGTTATTGTCAGCACATGGTTGATTATAGTGTCACATCACTAGTCCTGGAACATTTTGACTGCACCTCATATAAATTATTTATTCATGGAGTTAAAAAAAACACCAACAGCATAGCCAAAGATCTCTGATCCAAAACTCCAAACAGTAGTAAAATAAGCTTTGCTATTGTCATTGACATTACAATTGGAAAACTATATAGACTCTCACCTAAACACAAAATTTCCAGCAAAATGTCCAAATTCAACATTTGAACATCTTCAACCACTTCTTAATTGGCCTTCTTCAGGAAAAGTCAAAGTGAAAATAACTGTTCTATTTATAGAATGTAGCCACGTTCTACACACAATTTAAAAAAAATTTTTTTAAATCAGTTTGAACAATGGCTGTGACGTATAGTAACAACGTATATCCCTTTAAGAATCTAAATAATACAGTAGAGCATCGATTATCTGACTCAATTGGGGACTGGGGTTGGTTGGATAACTGAAAAAACGGATAACCNAAATTAAAATATGATATATTTGATTTAGTGAACTAATTAGGAGTAAGCAGTATCCACTGTTACTAAAAATCCATTCAAAACTTATATTAATAATGAACTTACAACATACAGGATGTATCAAAATGTTATAATGTACATTGAGTAATTTATACTCATTGACCCAACCTTTTAGTGTTCTCTGTTTAGTAATTAAAAAAGATTATAAATTTTTCCTTTAGGATGAAAATTTTTGTCCAATAAATTGAGTGTCTACTTCATATGACAATAGTTATTTTTCTTAAATCTCTTTCTATGACTTAGGGTCTTTTTCATGTTCACTAATGAGGTAGTTGGATGGTGAGAGATGATGTGTTATATAGCCAGATTCCAATCTAGATTTGAATCTGGATCTATCAGAGTGGCAGGCTAATGCTTTTACTGTCTTTGTATGGCACAATTTTATTTAACTAAAGACTATTAAACTTTCAGCAGTGGATTAGTCAGGTATGGTGGTCCCTATGTAGTGGAGAATAAAAATGGAAAATTTTTAAAGTATTCTCCCATGTGTTTTTTCTCATTACTGTTTTGGAAAAAGTAAACAAATATGTCTAGTAGAGAAAAATCTTTTTTTATTGTTACACAATTCCTTTTTTATGTGAATTGTTTTTTTGCTGTAGTTTTTGGCGATATCCGCAAAATTCTTTCGCAGATATATCCGTCGTTCACCAGTGCCACACGATCGCCCTTGACGGATATATCTGTCGGTCACTGCTGAGTGGTTAATAATTTTCAAAATAATACAGAATGCATAACTGTATTATTTTTGGAATATCTGATAATGGAATAAGGTTTCGACTAATATAATGGCTTCAATACACTTACACTCGAATCCGACATGTTAGAAACAGGCTGGAAACTGGACTGGCGGATATCATCTGACTGTGTATTTATAATGTCTTTTCCGTAACCTGATTCTACAAGCACCTGGAATTAAAATGTATTAAAATGTAAGTGTATATAACAAAATAAAAAAAATATATTTAATAATTAAAGACATTGTCTTCATACTCTTCCATCAACAAAAGCCACTTCTCCACGTAATACGACACGTCTAACACGACCCTTCACCTTTCTTCCAGCATAGGGTGTCCACTTGGCTTTACTGAAAGCCTGTTTCTCGGGAATGGTCCACTCTTCTTTTAGATCAACTTCTATGTACGTGTTTGGTTGGTCAGGCAGACCAAAAATCTTTTTTGGATTATAATACAGTTTATTTACTAGATCCTGTATAAATAATAACAAAAATTTAAGATATATAGTTGACATTATTTTATGGATTTATTTTATGTCAGTTAATTTCCATAATTAAATCCTGAGATTTACAACGGAAAAATATCTGTTAATAAATAACTTACACAATAATTTTTACTATATTTTTCATGGGAGGATTCATTAATTATTGATAATTTTAGTAATAATTCTTTATGTTTACAGTAGAGCATCGATTATCCGACCCCCGATTAACCGTCACATCGATTAACCGACCGTTCTAGTCGGCACATTTCAAATGTCCGCTAGTGACGTGGCGCTACAATATTTGTCTATGTCTTGGCTACTTTAATATTATTTTTGTTAAATTTTTGCGTGTTTTAGCTGGCAACATGGCTCGACCATTGAAGGGAAGCTAGTATTTAAACGAGGATTAATTTTCTAATTATGAATGGTTGTTTGTTTTGTGAGCAGTAACATAATTTAAAAATAATTTTTAACGATACAATAGCAACGATTATTATTTTAAAAAAAATTTTGTTAGGCTTAACATCGATAAAAATTCAACGCGAAGTTGGTTAATAGCGATATACTAATATACTAATTACATGGGATATACTAATATACTATATTAATAATGTATTTTTTTCATTTTTTTCAGTTATCCAACCAACCTGAGTCCCCAATTGAGTCGGATAATCAATGCTCTACTGTAGTTTAATAAAATTATATGCTTAAAAGTTATTTATTATAAGTATTATTGTAAGTTATTTATTACCAGATATTTTTCTATTGAAAATCTCAGGGTTTAATTATGGAAATTAACTGACATAAATCCAGGTTTGCTTTTTGAAAAGTTGTTAATAAAAATTAAATAACCATTATCAGAAGAATCATAATTTTATTTTTAGTGCCATAAATGGTTCTTCTTTATAAAAACTGTAAAGGCTTGATTTGGCAATGTGAAAGTCTAGTTTCATAATAAATAATAGCAAAACAGTCAAGAGAAAAAGAAAATAGCAGATATTTACATCATAACACTACCACTACCTCTCTTATGCTTTCCCTAAGAAAAGGATAAACTATCCATTATTATGGTAATGATTAGCTAATCTATCATCTGGAAAGAGATTTACATTTTCCATCCTTTACTTTGTGAACATTGTTGTATTTTGATGACAATAGTAAGCTTGTTATCCTAAGCTTGTGAACTTATTTACTGATATATTCAGTGATTACAATGAATAAATTTATGTGTAGTTCAATTTATTTGCACAGTGAAAAAAAATCAAAATTTACTTCATCAGAATATATTGGGTTGTTCGGAAAGTAATTTCGTTTTTTTTTTTCATGAAAAAGAGAACAACTTTCTTATAATATATAAATATTTTATTCAATTATATATTGACCGTTTTGGTTCAATTCCTTTTGCCATCTTTCTGGTAGTAGCATGATTCTATGCTCATAAAATTTCTGATCTTTGCTTGCAAAAAACTGATTCAAGTGATTTTTGACATCCTCATTTGAAGTAAATGTTTTACCATTTAAAAAATTTTGTAAAGATTGGAATAAGTAATAATCCGAGGGTACCAGATCTGGTGAATATAGTGGGTGTTGTAGCATATCCCATCCAACCTGTAACAGCTTCTGATGAGTTAGCAAACCTGTGTGAGGTCTGGCATTATCATGGTGAAACACTACACCTTTTCTGTTAATCAATTCTGGTCTTTTCTTTGATAATATCACTCAATTTGNTTTCTCTCTTTTTTTTTTTTTTAATGAATATTGGCTTTTGAAGTGCTTTGAGCTTGCTCATCTTTTCTACTCCATAATCGCATGCGTTCGACATTGTTGTATACAATCCATTTCTCGTCGCAAGTTATGATTCACTTCAAAAATGGATCATTTTCTTGACGTTTGAGAAGCAAATCACAGGTGTTAATGCGATGGAGCAAATCTCTTTCTTTAAGAATGTGTGGAACCCATATATCAAGCTTTGAAACAAAACCAAGTTGTTTCAAGTGGTCATAACAGTCGAATTGGACATATTTAATCTGTTAGCAATTTCTCTTGTTGTTATTTGGCAGTTTGCTTCAATCAATACCATTATTTTGTTTTCATTGGCTTCAACTGGCCATCCAAAACGTGGTGCATCGTCAATATCGAAATTGCCAGAACAAAATTTTGCAAACCAGTTTTGGCACTGTCGTTTTGTCAATACATCTCCATACACGTCACACAATTTTCTTCTCGGTTAAACAGCATTCTTACCTTTTTGGTAATAAAAGAGCAAAATATGCCAAAAATGACGCTTTCGATTTTCCATATTTGATGGGACACAAAAAATAAACAATTGCACAAAATCAAACAAAATTTTTTAGAAAAAAGCCTTAAAATGCTAGCTGTCAAAATATATAATGATAATATGATTTAGAATGAAAATGGCGGGAAGAATACAACTAATCCCTCTAGTGGTAAAAAAACGAAATTACTTTCCAAACAACCTAATAGATTTGACTGAAACCAGATGAAAACATGTCAAAAACTCATAACTCAAGAAAATTCTTGCAATTTATTAAAGTTTCTAACAAAAGTGTTAAGGTTGTGAAGTGTTGGTTTTACAAATCAAATGTTAAATCCTCATGAAGCAAAGATTCAAACTTTTCAAACTTAAAATTGTTTTGTTCATTTGAATATATATTTAACAATGTATTTAATCCAAGTTCAATATGAAAATTATATTGCACCTTCTAGCAACTGAAATATATATATATTTCACTGCTAGAAGGTGTATTATAATTTTCATATTGAACTTGGATGATATATATAAACAACTTAAGTAATTGTTTAACTCAATTTATTAATATTAAATTAAATATCTAATTGCAATATGTTTGGGCTACTAATTTAATTATTAATTAACTAATTTGTATTTGTATTTTTTATTATTTGTCTTTATTTTTGACTCTCTGCCATGTGCATGCTAAGAAAGTCTTTTAACTACATTTGTCACAGATTTGACTGGGCCCACAATGGGAACAGATCCCCCATAAAAATTCCTGGGGCTGGTCTTGGGGATTTCTACACTGAGGCATGATTTGGGATAGCTAAAGATATGGGGGTGATTGCTGAAGCCAAGAGGGGCGATATCATGCTGTGGGCTAGGTGTCACCTGGCCAATTAATAAATTGTGGTGTCATGAATGACCCCCCCCTCAGAGAACTAAGCAAATCCTGAATCCCTGTTGTATTTTTCTTGTGTCAGCATTGGGGTTATACCAATGTCAACTATTTTTCTCCCATATACATTCAGAAGTTTATGGATAACTGAACTCACAGGTCAAGGTCACTACTTTCTTTTCTTCTGTTTAGTAGTAGGTGGATGGCATCAGTATAACACAAAGAAGACCTTAAAAAATGCACACATCGAGAAAACTAATCAGAAACAAAAATGCCTCACTACTTCTAAATGGAAGAAAAGAAATTGGCAATCTTAATCCATGGACTCAGTTAGCATTGTTTCTAAAAACCTAACTAGCTTCAATTGCTGAATTATTGATATTAATCTAACATTTTTAAAAACTGATTTACATCAACCATTATGCTATTTATTTTTTGAGTCTGATGTACATTATATTACCATTGTTTAGTCTGAAAATTTAAAAAAAATTCAAACAATATACAAAGTGCTTTTTTAATTTTATTTTATGTTTCAAACAGCTTTAGAATGCTCTTACAACATTAAATCCTGCTTGTTTCCAAATCAAATAACAATGATGAGAATAGAGGCACTGAAAAACATTTTTTCCCAAATTAAAATAAATTTGGCTCCATAAATCTATTTTTGAACTTTTACTTTATTTCCTGTCTGATATTTTATTTTTTAAATAAATTGAAGTTGAATTTATTTATTGGAAATATAAATTACCATAACAATTAGATTATCACTGAATTTATTTACTCTTACCTCTATTGATATCTTTCCATCATTAACTGCCGTTAATAATAAAGGAACGATACTTTCTAGACCGGGAAATCCGGGGGGAGAGTCATTGCTACATTTTTCTTCCAAAGTATGTGGGGCTATAACAAATTTATAATTTGGGAAATTACTTAAAATATTAATTAATAAGTCATAAAAATTTTATCTACATATTAATTAATTTTTACTATTGTTTAGATTAGTTCAGAGATTCATATCAATTTGAATTCCTGGGAGTCAGCTGATTCAAAACTGCAATTGATATGAATCAGGACTTTTTGTCTGATATTTTCACACAGGCATCTCAAAACATCCATATAAATATTTTGATTCACAGTTTGACCTTTTTCAATATGGAGGGAATTCTCAAAGAATAATTCCCTCCCTATTGAAAAAGCAATGAGCATACTTGTAAGATTGCACGTCACTTGGTGAACTTTCTTTAGTCGGGGTGTGCTTTGATTTTTCCAATGGGTCAATTATTGTTTGGTCTCAGGATCATAGCTGTAAATCCATGTTTCATCTCCTGTAATCACTTTCTTTAAAAAGTTTTGGTCATTTGGAGGCTTTCTTTAAAGTCTTGACAAATGGTCAGGTATATTTGTTTTCGTTCATTAATCAAAAGTCGAGGAATGAATTTGGCAGCAATGTGCTTTTTGTTCAAATTGTCTGTCAAATGGTAATGAACAGGTTGGTGGGAGATTCCAACAGCATTTTCAATACCCTCAATTGTTTGACATCAATCTTCATAAATTTCTTCTCTCACTTTTTCAATATTTTCATTGTTTATGCTTGTTGATGGGCAATCAGAACATTCATCTTCAATAGACATTTGTCCATTTTTGAAACAAGAGTATATCACTAAAAACATTGAATTCTATTTATTGCATTATATCCAATGGCTACTTTAAGCATTGCATATGATTCTGTTGCAGTTTTGCCAAGTTTGAAACAAAATTTCACACACACATACTGTTCCTTCAAAGAATTAATTTTACAAAGCATTGAAAATTGCAAATTAATGAGAACATGGATCTAATCTAAATAGCAAAACACAAAAACTACATACAATAAAAGCACAAAATTTGATGGAAAGTTAAATAACGATGTCTATTATGCATGCTAGGTTTGTGCAAGTTCAGCACATGGCTCTAAAATCTTCTCACAGCTGGTTATATAGTAAATAACACCAACACCTTTATAATTAAATCAACAATTGTGCTTGCCAAAGTATATTTTTCATATACTTTGGCAAGCACTTTCAATCCTAATTGGGATCTGGTTCAGGTCAAAAAACATTCTATACAAAAATTTGGAATGCTTAAAGAGCAATTTTAAAGTTTAAAACCATTGGAATGATTAAATATTCAAACAAATACAAAAATTCCCATCTATATGTTAATGATTAAATATTCCAAGTATAAAAGTCACATCTGTGTGTTAATATTAACGTAAAAAATAAAAATTAACATAAACATTTAGCGTATATATTTGTAACAAATCCCAATGGAAGTAGTAAATTTCTACTTGTTATTAATGTTGTTGGGATCATCAAAAAAGTTCTCCAAGCATGCAAGATGTTTGCCACCTCCGTAAAATTGATGCATTTCCTCCCTGTAAGCATTCCAAATTTCTGTATAGAACATTTTAATCTGAACCAGATCCCAATTAGGATCAAAAGTGCTTGTCAAAGTATATCAAAAATATATTCACTGGTTTAATTGTAAAGGTTTGTTGCTGTTATTGTCAGCACATGGTTGATTATAGTGTCACATCACTAGTCCTGGAACATTTTGACTGCACCTCATATAAATTATTTATTCATGGAGTTAAAAAAAACACCAACAGCATAGCCAAAGATCTCTGATCCAAAACTCCAAACAGTAGTAAAATAAGCTTTGCTATTGTCATTGACATTACAATTGGAAAACTATATAGACTCTCACCTAAACACAAAATTTCCAGCAAAATGTCCAAATTCAACATTTGAACATCTTCAACCACTTCTTAATTGGCCTTCTTCAGGAAAAGTCAAAGTGAAAATAACTGTTCTATTTATAGAATGTAGCCACGTTCTACACACAATTTAAAAAAAATTTTTTTAAATCAGTTTGAACAATGGCTGTGACGTATAGTAACAACGTATATCCCTTTAAGAATCTAAATAATACAGTAGAGCATCGATTATCTGACTCAATTGGGGACTGGGGTTGGTTGGATAACTGAAAAAACGGATAACCGAAAAGTATGAAAAAATACATTATTTTTATAGTATATCAGTATATCCCATGTAATTATTATATTATTGATAGTATATCGCTATTAACCTACTTCGCGTTGAATTTTCATCGATGTTAAGCCTAACAAAATTTTTTTTAAATAATAATCGTGGCTATTGTATTGTTAAAAATTATTTTTAAATTATTTTATTGATCACAAAACAAACAATAATTAGAAAATTAAGCCTCATTTAAATACTGGCCTCTCTTTCATGGTCAAACCAGCGTTGCCAGCTAAAGCACCAAAAATTTAACAAAAATAACATTAAAGTAGCCAAGAAATAGCCAAATATTGTAGCGCCTCATCACTAGCAGACATTTGAATTTGCCGACTAGAACGTGGTCGGTTAACCAATGTGACGGTTGATCGGGGGTCGGATAATCGATGCTCTATGTGAGACTAGCTGAGGATACTAACCAGGAGTACCACTTACACGACTCAGAATCGTGGGATTCGGTCTTGACACTTTTTATAGGAAGGCTGTTAATTATGTTTAAAACGATCTGAACTTCACAGACCAGATCTATGTCAGGATTCCTTGACACCAGTTAATCAGTTATTTTAAACGTGGATTAACACGTGTTATCCTTAAACTTGGGATTCGGAGGAACTAAGGAAACTTGAATAAAAATAAATGTCTAATAAGAACCAAACCATTTTATAAACAAATCAAAATATTTTAAATACAAAACTATCTTATTTCTACCTAACGCGTGAGAGAGTTTACATCGATCTATTCAGAGTTTACATTACCTTCACTATATTTTTCGTATCTGTTCTGTATGAGGATCTTCTTCCTTCTTAAAGTATTTCTCTTCTTCTATTTCTTTGACAATCTTATCGTATATTTATACTTCAATTAATTGGTTTTGTATGGCCTTATCCGTCTGGTAGGACGATCACTTGTATCGTATTCTCTTTGTATGGCAATACCTCTTCTTAACGGACTGCCTCTTAACATATATCAAATTCTTCTGTATGGCAAACCCTTTCCTTGACGGACTGCCCTTTTATCGAATGTCAGACTTATTCTGTATGGCAAACTTCCTTCGACGGACTACTTCTGTCGTATGGCTAGTTCTCTTCTTCAGTATGGCAACCTCTTTTCGTTGGACTGCCTATGTCGTATATCAACTCTTGTGTATGGCAACCTTTCTTTGTCGGACTGCCACGAATGGAGGGGAAACGGCCATTTTATTTGGTCTTCTGTAACATGTGCAAATACTCGACTCATCCTGAGTTAGCCTGGGAAAGGAAATCAACTTCCTTTCAAAAATTCTAATGTTTCCTCCGGTTTTAGATGAAATCTTGTTGAAGTTGAAAATATTATTTTATGTTATTTTAATTTCTTTTCTCCAACTTATTATTTTAATTAAAATGATCCTTCCCTGACCGTTCAGATCTCACACTTTACTGTACTTCCATGCATTTGGTACAGGAATGTAATCCGTGTTCATGCAAGTTCCTCTTATGTCAGCCTCGAATGCACAACACATAAGAGCATTAGAGGCCGCAGAAATCTGCAGGGCTGACATAAGAGGAACGTGTATAAACACTAATTACATTCCTGTACCAAATGCATGGAAGTATTATTTAGATTCTTAAAGGGATTTACGTTGCTTACTATACGTCACAGCCATTGTTCAAACTGATTAAAAAAAACTTTTTTAAATTGTGTGTAGAATGCAGCTACATTCTATAAATAGAACAGTTATTTTTGCTTTGACTTTTCCTGAAGAAGGCCAATTAATTAAGGAGTGGCTGAAAACGTTCAAATGTTGAATTGGACATTTTGCTGGAAATTGTGTGTTTAGGTGAGAGTCTATATATATCGTTCCAGTTTATTGTTGTAATTTTTATGGACAACTATGATTATATGAAACATATTTGGAATTTCATTTAAAATAGAGATGAGCTATAATGTAAACACATTAAAGTATATACAATAAATATTGCATATACTTTAATTAAGGCACTTGACAAAAATACCAGTAGCTTAGCTATCCTAGTTGGGTGCTTCATTTTTACAAGTTTCGAAAATTTATGCAAGTCATAGCTGAAATTATTTTATATTTTTAACTAAATCCATTCATTTACAATAAATACTGGCAAGCAAAAAAAATACACATACTTTAAAGTTTTAGTTAATTGATTAATGAACACACCTGCACATTTTAGGTTATGTAACCAACTATTATCACATTTGTTACAGATGGGCAACATACAACTGTCTGAATCTATTTCTCACAGTGGCAGTGGCCAATGTCCCAACTGAAACATCCATGGTAAATTACAGGAGTTCAAATCTAGATTCCCAGTGGCAGGATGACACTTTATAATGTTTCTACATGGCCAAATGATAAGTTTTGCTAATTTTGGTTAAATTATAATGCTGTATTTTCATAGAATGACCAGCATGTCACATATAATCTGGGGAGACCAGCATGCCAGTTAAACTGCAGCTAAAAAATAAAATTAATCAAAAGTAACAAAACTAGATATTAATTAAATGTTAAAGAAAATATTCTTCAGACTACAGGATAATTAATGGCTCATTGGGAGTAGTAGTAAGTAGTAGTAGAAATTAGTAGTGTCAGCATTGGCTACACTGACAATCTATTAACCTTAAAAATTACACCCTCCTCTCAAATTTCACACAAAGTGGATGTAAATTGGTGTAACTTATATAAAAAATGTCCACAAAACCTTTGTATCTCCAGTTGAAAATTTTTTTATTAGCAACTAATGTTTTCAATCTTAAACAGATCTTCTTCAGGTTTGAATACACAATTAAATTAGAATGTGAAATAGAATATACCAG